AAAATAAAAAGAAAAATAAGAAAATATATTATTATGTAGGTTTTAAAAAGAAGGCGGATAAATGGAATAAGAAAAGTGAGAGAAAAAGAAAATTTTATGATGATATAAGAAATTAATATTTGAAATTTATCGCATTCATTTAAAATGTTAAAATGTTCTTTAAGAACATATTACACATCTTATATACTTATATACATACGTTAAAAATATATTAAATGTATTACAGTATTTCGTCATAAGAACATCATTAAACACGCATTACCATTCAAATAATGGTGGAAGAGCACATTATTATAACTGTAATATGTACGTATTTTATTTAGAAAATGATTAACTTACTTAAAAATTATGCAAAAAAATTGATAATGTTGAATAATTTAAAAAAAAAAAAATATAAGAAATTCTAAATATAAAATTCAAAAATAATCGTATCAAATTGATTTTCATAAATCCTTCTACAAGCTAAATTTAGTAAAAATTATAATTAATAAAATAAATAAGTTTTCAATTTCTTACTATCACTAAATTCAGATAAAATTAAATAATTTGTAAAGCACGCATGAACTAGTGTCTACTTAAATGATTTTTATTAGCACACATGTTTCATAATTATTCCATACATTTCGGATGAAAAAATAATTTAAGAAAATTTTAACATATTAATGAACGAATTCGGCAAATAATCAAGTTCACTGAGATAAATAATAATATTTTATTGATGACCAGGTATTTACCTTTATGAAAATTTGAAAAAGCCTACAGCTTCGAAACAATAAGATGTAAGAAGAATTAATATTAAAAAAAAAAAAAGGAAGTAAGAAGAACATTTTGAAAAAAATTATTCATAAATGTGATGAAGGTTAAAGAGAAAAAAGAAATGTCAAAATTTTAACAAAAAGACGATTTTAAGATAATAGCAAATTTCAATAGCAAATTTGATATGTTAATAATTGCTTATATAAGTAAGTCTATGTTCACGATTGAAAAAGCAAATTGCTATTTTTTTGTGTTTGCGGAATTTAAAAAATCTTTGTCATTTCCTAACAATAATTTGTCAAAAAAAAAATTATTTTTATGATTTTACGATATCTATATGATTTTATAAGTATTCATAAGGTATCTTATACATTTAAAAGTGGAAAATTTAGTTAAAATGACAGAGGGGCGGACGGATCGAAAAATACCTAGAGAACACATACATTTCCCTTAAGTTCTGTATTGCATTAAATTTCTTAATTCGACTTAATTATATATAAATTTCTAAATAGGATTGAAATATGGTATTGCTTTACCTTATAATATATAGTTCATTATATAAAATTCAAACTTCCTTAAATACAAAAACACATACACATTTATTACGAACTAATTTTGATAACCAAAAATAATTATTTTTTAGAATTAATACTTCAATGGAATTATTATAATTTATTTAAAAGGTCTGAGTTTTATTGAAAATTCAAACTAGATATATTTTGTTTATGATAATTATTACAGACCCATAGTTTAATTTAATATAAGCTATATGATTTATTTTAATATAAATTATACTTATTCGTTAGCTCGAGCCTTGTGATAAACTATAAATTTACCTCGACTATAAATAATATTATTCTAAATTCAGAATAAAATATAAAAGAAGTAGCTATATTTTCATATTCTCATAAAAAAAAACTTAAATATTTCAATTGTATATAATATATTAAATAATATTAGTGGGATCCGTGCAATATATAGTTCAAAAATAATTATTACCCAATAAACCAATTAAATAATATCTAACCAAAAAATCTATATTTGATTATTTTAATGGATAATGGTGATTAGTGAAATAAAGGTGACAATACATATTAGAGTATTTAGCTTTCAAATAAGAGCGTTACATGAATATCATACTGCATTCATATAATATGCATTATTTACATATATTTACACAATATTTACATTAATGTATATCACCACAAGTAACTCTCATCATATAGCTTATGAAAACATTTTTAAATTATTATCTGACGGTACTAATTTTGAGCACAAAAAAAAAAACAGTAAAATACACCAGGGATAAACATTCTATTGTCTGCGGACCAAGGAACACATTATAATGTAGAATTACAATTGATTTCAGATATACTAAAAATTTTATTTTGATATCCATATATGTTACAGGCAGTATTTTCAATATTTTAAATTTAACAAATTTAGTTTGGAAATTGCGGGAAAAGCTTGAAAATAGTATTAATCTTACTCCATGATATCAACATATTGAACATCACCTCCCACAAAGCTATGACAGCGTTTAAAACCATTGGATTTTCATTACCATTTAGATGCTCCTTTCAACATATCACTTTATTTGAAAACCATACATTAGCGTCAAAATTTCAATATCTATTAAATTTCATTAAAGAGAAGTTTTAAAAAATTTTCATTCAAATATACGTTTGTCATGAAAGCCTCTCTTGACCTTAACATACAGCAAAAAAAGTTTCAGATCCCTTTCTCTATACAATTTCCATATTAAAATCAAAAAATAAATAAAGTTGGGTCAAACCAATGGTTTGTATTGTAGCACTTTTCCATTCAACAAGTGAAAATTCTGCTTTCAAATACAGTCTATGTATACCTATCACACTATTAAAATTATTTTCATTCATATACAAAACTATTTCTAGGATTGCATATATTTAGGATGAACGATTTATGCAGTCTTTTAAATAAAGCAAAAATTAATATAAAGTGGGGTTAACATAATGCTCGATTTTAAGGGTTAATTGTGTGAGTTAAGAAAAATAATTATATTTTTTAATGTCATGGAATTTACCGTTAGCTTTTTGTTTTTATAGAAATTTGAAAAAGCTTGCAGTTTCAGAAATATAAGGTGTCAAAAATTCAAATTTTACAAATTTCAAGAGGCGATAACTTGAGAGGGGTGGAGATGGAAAAAAATTTTCTTCTAACGAAATGAAGAACTATTTGTTAGTGTCTAAAAGTCCCTAAAATTTCAAGCTTCTACAGGCTGGGGTCTAGAAGAAAAACGAAATCAAAATTTGGAAAAAAAATACTTTAGATAACGGTAAATTTTAACTGCCATTTTGTTTTTCTAAAGTTTAACTATAGTATAACTTCTAGAGGGGGGGAGATAGGTAAAAATTTTGTTCTACGAAAATAAGTTTCTAGTAAAGATCTATGTACGTATAAAATTTCAGCTTTCTATCTTCAAGGGTGTAGAAGTTTTGTAAACAGACACACGTACAGACGGACGGACGGACAGAGTGAAACTAATAAGCACTTTTTTTCAAAATTTTTTTGGAAAAGTGCTAAAAAAGATTATGGAATATTTTCCTATAGAATTTTGGCTTAAACTTATACACAGAGCTATTATCTTATTACAATTAATTAAAAATATGAATATTGGGTGGATTATATTTCCGCATATTCCACATAATAGTCTCTATTAAAACAATTTATCAAGCTTTTACAATTGTAAAATTTCTTGCATAACACGGATTGTAAACTAGTTAAATATCAAATCTAGATTGTGCGAAAGTCTAAAATTTAGTTATAATCTCCACATCAATAACAAAACAACATTTCCTACGTATAAATTACGACAATTGTAATATAAAATCTTATTCTTTTTATTAACCAAAAATACTATGAAACATGATTTTTATTAACTAGAATTGCTAAGTTCTTAACTAATTTTATTAGTGTTCCAGTTAAAATATATACAAAACCATTATTAAAAATGAACCTTTCCCAATAAATCACCTAGAACCGGGTCATGCCTGTTTTTCAAAATGCAAAGCTACAATCAAGCAAATCCTTTAAAAATCACCCTACAATTAATAACGTTCATAGTATTGTAATATTGGTATTCAGTTTTTGTTAAAAAATTCTATTCCTTGCTCTACATATAACCTTACCCCTTACAGTGACTTTTGGATTTTAAGAAATTCAATTTATTTATTAAATTCATGTAACACAAGTTATCAACATTAAAACGTAAAAATTATCAAAAAAAAATGTTATGTTAAAAATTTTTATTGTTTTACTCTTTAAATATTAATTGGACAAACTATCATTAGCCAATATTACAACCACTGAATTGTAATATAGAAACAAAAATTTTTTAATTCATGCAATTATTAAAAGCACGTCTATAATTTTTTAATGAAACTAAAAAATGATATTCGTTTATAAAATTTTAGTATGAAATTATTTGCCATTAAAGTTAATCCAGCAATATTATTTTTTCCTATATATTGCAATTCTATTTATAAAAACGATAATTACAATTGAAAATATTGATGAATTTTTTTTTACAATAAAATTAATTGTTTATTTTTTATTAATATTTTATTACCTTTATAGTTTTATTTTAAAAAATGTTACGAAAACTTCTTATATATTTATTAATTATTATTTTATTTTCAATACTAGTTGATGGTGGAAATAATTCAAAAATTATAAATTTAAATAAATTTAGAAATGATAATTTACAAACAAAATTATCAAATGCAATATTAAAAATTATTTATGAGTTTTATATAAAACAATCTGCACCAATTAATTTTATATTTTCAAAAAATGAAAATAATTCAAATGAAAATTTTTATCATAGTGAAATTTTAAATGAAATTTTTTTAAATTCAATTAAGATTGAAATAAATTTTTCATATCGTATTGAAATTATTGATAATATTATAAAAAAATATGATTATAATAAGAATAATAATGATGATAATAATAATGGCAATAAAATTATTGAACGAAATTATGCAATATTTTTATTAAAAGATATTAATGATTTTTTAATATTAAAAAATTATCTAATACATGATATATTTAATCCATATGGTTATTATATAATAATATTTACATATGAATATAATAATAATGAAAATAAAAATGATCATATGAAATTAATATTTCGTAATTTTTTTAATAATTTTTATACAAATGTCAATATTTTAATACCAAATAAATATTTAAATACAATTGATTTATATACATATTACCCATATGCTGAAAATTATTGTAATTCTGTATTTCCAATATTAATAAATCGTTTTAAAAATTTAAATTTTGAAAATAAATTAATAGTATTTCCAAAAAAAATTCATCAATATAATGGTTGTCCATTAAATTGTATTTTATTTAATTTTCCACCATATGTTTTTGTAAATAATAATGGCAAAGATATATATGGAATTGATATTGAAATAATAAACGAATTATCAAAACGTATTAATTTTACAATAAATATAATTGATAGTAAAATACGTGGTACGGTATTTTTAAATGGTACAGCAATTGGAAGTTTTAAATATGTAAGTTCTTAAACATATATTAAAACCTTATTTCACATTATTTATTATGACAGTAATATAACTTTCAAAATACATGTACATAATATATAAAAGTTCATTCTCTTTATTTAATAATTATTTTATAAGCTTACAAAAGATGAAGCCGGAGATTTTACAATTGGAGGGCATGGTCATTCATCGTTAAGATTGAAATATTTTTCATTTAGTATGAATTATGATCAAACTGTTTTAGCTCTTGCCATCCCTAGTGCAAAACCATATACACCACTGGAAAAATTATATTTGCCATTTAAATATAAACTATGGGGAATGATAATTGGAATATTGTGTGCCAGTTTCATTTTATTTACATTACGTAATATTTGGAAAAAATATTTTTATAAAAAAAAATTTCAACCGAAATCCCAATCACCATATTTTAATATGATACGTTTATTTTTTGGTAATTCTATGACAAAATTACCAAAATCAAATTTTTCAAGGTCAATCATTATAATATGGATATTTGGATCATTAATAATTGATAGTGCATATCAAGGAGCATTATTTCATTTTTTGAAAGGAAAATTTAATAAAAAAAATGTTAATACACTTCAAGAAGCTTTGAAACAATATGATGATATTTATATTCAACCGAGTTTAATTCAATTTTTGAGAAATTTAAAGCCATTTAAGTATATAAAAATCAATATAATAAAAATATAAAATTAATTACATACATATTTTTTTTTATTTTATAGATACAATTTAATTAACAATACTGATGATTTGCAATATTTATATAGAAAAATTATTGAACCAAACTCAAAAATTTCTGTTTTAGATACAAAAAAGCTAGTAGATTTTTTTAATAGCAGAAACTATAGAAATGGTCTTATATATGTTATACCGGAATTAGTATTTAATTTCCCAGTAACAATATTTTTTAAAAAAAATTCCTTCTTAAAATATCCTTTTGATAACATATTGCACAGACTGTCATCAAGTGGATTGATTTCATATTGGTCAAAGAAATATGTTAACATTACAAATATATTTGTATCACATCGATACGAATTACATGCTGTGAAAAAAATGGATTTTGAAATTTTTGCAGGACTTTTTGAAATATGTGAATATTTTTGGTTTATTTCGTTTTTAATACTCTTCCTTGAAATTATATCAAAAAAATCTAAATTTTTGAAAGCAATATTTGATTTAACTGTTGAATAATTCAGCACAAAATACAATATTTTCTTTAATTTAAATTGTAGACTACATAATTGTAAATATTAAAAAACTACATACTTAACTGATTCAAAATAAAAAATTTCAAAATTTTGTTAAAATATTATAAGTATTTATTATTTCTTGTTAACGTAAAAGACCGCTTATTATTAATATGTACATGTAAAACTTTTCCTTTTATTTTACTCATATGAATAGAAACGAATATATGTATATGTTTTGGTAATCACAGACATAATAAGGTAAATAAAAAAATTTTTCTATGTCAACGGAAAATGAAATAATTTTTAAATTCAAAATTATGGTGAACGAAATATAAAAAACTAAATAAAGTAAAATCCGCGTGGTAACGTGTATCATATCACATTTTAAAATAAAATAATTTTATTTACTTTTCAACTTCTTAACGTCAAAAAAAATTGGTTTTCACCGCATTTTGAAGTGATTTTACCAGAACTTATTTTATGTACGAACATCTATAAATTTTGATTTAAAATAGAGTTGGGTCAAACCAATGGTTTGTATTGTAGCACTTTTCCCTTCAACAAGTGAAAATTCTGCTTTTAAATACAGTCTATGTATAGCTATCACACTATTAAAATTATTTTCATTCATATACAAAACTATTTCTAGGATTGCATATATTTACGATGACGCATATATGCAGTCTTTGAAATAAAGCAAAAAAGGGGTTAACATAATGCTCGATTTTAAGGGTTAATTGTGTGAGTTAAGAAAAATAATTATATTTTTTAATTTCATGGAATTTACCGTTAGCTTTTTGCGTTTATAAAAATTTGGAAAAGCTTGCGGTTTCGGAAATATAAGGTGTCAAAAATTCAAATTTTACGAATTTCAAGAGGTGATAACTTGAGAGGGGGTGGAGATGGAAAAAAATTTTTTTCTAACGAAATGAACTATTTGTTAATGTCTAAAAGCTCCTAAAATTTCAAGCTTCTACAGGCTGGGGTCTAGAAGAAAAACGACATCAAAAATTTGGAAAAAAAGGACTTTAGATAACGGTAAATTTGAACGGCCATTTTGTTTTTCTAAAGTTTAACTATAGTATATCGCGCTAGGGGAAGCAAGCCACCGCCTTTCTGCGTTTACAAAATTTCAAAAATGGTTATGGTTTCATTGCAACAAATATTTAAAAAAGGCCATTTTTAGGGTTTTGGGGGGGTATAACTTCCAGAGGGGGGGAGATAGGTAAAAATTTTGTTCTACGGAAATAAGTTTCTAGTGAAGATCTATGTACGTATTAAATTTCAGCTTTCTATCTTGAAGGGTGTAGAAGTTTTGTAAACAAAAAAAGTGTCCACGGACGGACGGACGGACGGACGGACAGAGTGAAACTAATAAGCACTTTTTTCAAAAATTTTTTTGGAAAAGTGCTAAAAAAAGTACAAAATTTTATAATTAATTTTAAATATGAATACGTCGCATAATTGCAATGAATTAAATTGTGATACACGAGGATGGAAAAATGAAAATCTTCACATAAAATCAAACTAACACAAAACGACAAAAACTAATGACGCAACGAAATTTGTAGAAAATTTTTTATTTTTACGCAACGGTAATACTTATACTTTAAATTCGATTTTTCAATTTTTTACTTTTTGTATGTCAAAGTCAAAACAAAAGTATACTTGGTATGTCAAAACAAAAATCAGAAGCCTTCTGATTTACCTTTACCTCGAATCTGTAAACGGAAATATCATTTGGGTTTTATTTACATTGTAATTTTTTATTACCTAAAACGTGTGATTGTAGAAAACTTCATAATTATAGTTATAATTTGAAAATCATTAAACTATGTTATGTCCTGAGGTTTGGAAATTTGATTATCCAAAAAATAATATGTTTTTGGAAATCGGCCGTTTATCAAAAAAATCGGATCAATTCTTAGAAAAACTTATTTGTAAACATCCATTTAATCAAACTGTAAGTAAAAAATTGCTTAAGAAACAAATTTAAAGCAAGAATAGTATGAACTTTTTTTAAGCAATGTTTTCCATAAAATTAAAAAAAAAATAAACCAATTTAGCACCAAAATATACAATTGTCAAAATGATAGTGAATGCGCTTGTCCATTAGATTTTTACAAATCCAAAAATAACTCAAACTTTTCACTGAAATTTCATATTTATAAAATATTAGATTTAAAAAAAAAAAATTTATATTCAGTTTTCAGTTGTAATAGCCGAAGAGAATTCAGATAATATACCAGAAAAAATTTTATCTCATTTAAATGGATCATTTTACTATATAGTAAACGATATAAAACTTACCGATTTAATTAGGAAGGACTTTATAGAGGCATTTGTAAAAAGAGGTACGTCCACTAAAACCTATTTATATACATAGATATAGCATGTACAATAATTGTGTAACAAGTTATTGTTGTACCAAAAAAAATTTAAGTAAACAACGCAATTTTAATTAGGAAAGTTCACCGCTCTAAACTTGGTCGAATTCAATGAAATTGATGATATTTTTGCTGTAAGACCAGACGGAAAATTGATTTTAATAATAAATAAAGATTTATATCAATCAATAGGACTTGACGGTCGAGTTCATAGCAGTTTTACAAGAAGGAAAGATCGTTTCGGTAAATATAAAGAAATATCAATTTTTAAACATTAGGTAGATAGGTATATTTATAGTTGATACAAAATTTTTTTCGTTATTACAATGGGAATGATTATGTTCCTATATAATTATAATTAAAATGGTTCCGGGATAGTTACCTGATACTTTTTTGTGGACGTTGAAACTAAAATAAATTGGAAAAATTCTTTATTACAACCATAGTGGCGATTATATGTTAAACTTCAACAATTTAAAAACTTATTTGAATAGAGAATTTTTTATAGGTTAAAAAGTATTCTATTTAATATGGCAAAATTAAAACAACCGGATACACTGCAAAATTTGGCTATGAATGCGGTTATTGTTTGGTTATGCAAAACAGGGCAAAATTTAATGACGAAAATAGCTTGGGTGGCAAGAACAGATGCACAAAAAAGTTCCGAATACCTAAAGGAAAGTGTTAATATGATACACAAGCTATTTTTATACAACATACCCTGCTATTTGTTCGACAATTTAAGTAAAGTCGTTTTTAAAAAATTACCTATACTTATTGATAATATTAAAAGGAAATTAAAAATGCATGCATCGATGAGTGAATTCTTGATTCACGTAAATGTAGCCGTTTCTTTGGGTCAAATAATAATATCACCACATTTACACTTTCTTAATTTTGAAGAAATGCCAAAAATGATGCGACACTTGTTTTACATGAGACTTAAAGACCTACCCGGTTTAGTTTACTTGAATTTGTCAACTTTATCTGGTGGTTGGAAAACAGAAGATATGGAACCTATTGTATTAAATGGAATAGTTGATATGAAAAATCTGCATACTTTAATTTTAACTTATGATTGCACGGACAATATTTTGAAAATTTTGGAGACCTCTTGCCCAAGAATTCAAGTTTTGGGTAAAAAAATATGCTCTTTTTTTTTCAAATATTTCAAATAATTTTTACTATGTTGTAGATATTTCGTCATCTAAAATGATTGGAAATAACAGTATAAAATATCTTTTGGAATTACATCATTTAAAGAAAGTGCAACTTTATCGCACTTCAATAACAATTGAGGGTTATATCAGACTTTTAACTAAAATGCCTCAACTGGAAAATATTGGACGTTATGATGCAATTGGAACATGCCTAGAATATATCGATATGACTTATGAAAATTTAGATGAAAAACCAATAATTAAATTAAAAGTATTTGAAAGTCACTATGTTGTTTCTAAGCATATAAAACTTTTGGCTAAATGGTGTCCAGATATTGAATTAGTTTGTTTATTTCATAATCCACTTCTAAATGATTTAATGGGATTAATTGCAATAAATAAATTAAGTGATTTAAGATTACTTTCATGTAATTTTTTCCAGGATCATGTACGTGATGTTTTAGAAGTTAAGGGCTGTAATTTAACATATTTACATTTGGAACATGTTGAAGAAATCGACATTAACGCTCTAATGTGTATTAGCCAATATTGTCCTGATTTAAATACGTTAATAATTTATAATTGTGAACTAATAGACGGGCCTCTGAAATATTTCAGGAAACAAGTTCCCCCATTTATGAATTTGAAAAATCTAACCATAGCTGCATCATGCACCTTGCAACATTTAGAATTTCTTTTAATGAACTGTTTTAAAATCAAATTTATTCATATTGGTACAATGGTGCCGACAAATGATGAAATTTTTGATAAAATTTTAGCTAACAACCCAATGGAATATTTAGAAGAATTGCATATAATTTATTCAACTGGCTTAACTGTTTCAACAGCTTACAAATTACTTGAAACCTGTGAAAATTTAAAAGTTTTAAATGAAATGGAAAGTTGGACTAGGGTTCAAGAACAAGAACTAGAAAATTTTAGAATATTTTTAAAAATACGAAATTATAACATAGACACAAGACCCTCAACGTGGAAACCCCAGATTAGAGAAGAAAATATATAAAACATTAGAAAATACTACTAAATTAAAGCCTAAACTAAAAATTATAACTGAAAAGAATGTTTAATGGAAATTTTTTTATGTTTAGCAGAAAATTTTAATTTTTATATTTTGTAGTGACAAATTATAATTGAAAACGCTTAATAAAATTTATTTATTAAATTTGTTTGCATATTTACTTAACACTGTCTTTTTTGATTTTATTTCAGTTATCGAAATTGATTTAAAAACTATACAATTTAATAAAAAATCTTACCAGAGAATCAAATTAGCTTTATCTAACGAAGTTTTTCAAGAAATTAATATAAAAATGTACATTACGTGGGAGCCTCCTCAAAATAATATATGTAGATCCTCGTTAGCAAAATATTTTCATGATTTAGGCAGACAAATGGAATTCGTTCAACCAAAAATTAGAGTACGTAATAAAGTTAACTTAAAGTTTCCAAAATTTTCAATAGACACAATTGATAAAAGCGATTTAACCATACAAGATTTCATTGAATGCCTTAGTATGGTTATTATGGCTTGTGACGACATCAACACACAGGAACTATCTAACATATTTAATGATGAAACCGAAAATATTCCTAGTATCAAAGCTATCAATTGTAAGGGATATTTTGAAAGCGGGTCTATATGGAATATGGTACAAATAATAAGGTAATTGTTATTTAAACAAAATTACAGAAATTAAAATACATACATATGTATGTATATACATACCTTCTAATTCAATATTAAGTTTAAAAAATATTTGGAATTTTTTAATTTTGTTAATTTTGTTTAATTTTAAATACATATAAGTGTTCTCATTATAAGGAAAAAAACAATTTGTGTGAAACACTTCTTGACTCATTTAATTTATTTAAAATATTAAAGTTAAAATTATTTTACTAGAAACTATTTCTAAAACTTTCAATCTTTCTCTATTGTGGAGAAAAAAGCGAATCATACAAAAAAAAAATTTTATTTTTTTTTAAAACGAAAGCAAAGGAGGCAATCTAATGTTTAAATATGGCCTTTGAGGAATTTCGAAAATATTAAAAACAAAGCGACAAATAGTTTTATATGTACATATCGTAAAATATATATGTATATGTATATTAGTTAATAAATTTTGTTTACAATAAATATAATATGATTTCTTCTATCTTAATTTTATATACATTCATACAAATAACAATAGATTTTTCCTACAAAAATATTAACAAAAACCTACTTTTTTATCTAGAAATATATTGGATACAAAAGAAAATGTGAAATGGATTGCTTTAAATATAAATGGATTTCACGAATCACCATGCAATTTTTATAATACTGACCATTGTTACACACACAATGGTGATAATGATTATTTATTAGTATTTTACAGCGATGGAAAATTTTTGTTGCATAAAAATACCTGTTCAAATAAAATAAAGAAATAACATTTTTTTTTATAAAAAAAAATATTGTATAATTTTTTACATTTACGTATTTGTTTTAACCAGGGCATTTGAAAACATCTCAAAAATTTTTGTAAATTTTTTAGTAGCTACATGCTTCGTATGCATATTTTAATTACGACCATCTCTTTCAATACTCTTCTGATATTTTTAAAATCTGTGCCCAGTTTCTTGAAGTATTAGAGTAGGATAGTTGTTGCATTTAGGTTTACAAAAAAAATTTTATTTAAGAAAGAACACTTACGTGATTGCAATGACAAATTCTCAAAATATTTTGTGAAAAAATAAGAAAATATGTAAAATATTAAGGGAAGGCATGTAAAAACACTAGCTATCACAGCAAAAGTTGTAAAATCTGCTTCTCTTTTACAACACTTTAATGTCTTCGACCAGAGGGATCGTGTTCGATTCATCTAAAACGAAATACACATATGTTCGGATTTAATTTGAAATATCTTGTTGTAAAAGGCATTTTTTTGTTATTGCGAATGATACCTGCTTAAATTTTAACTTACATCGTCCCGAATATCAAAGCATATGTGATCTTTATGTTTTTTCACAAATTCTTCATTATAATAAAAGTTTGCTTTATCATAATCTGCCGCACAATTTTCGCATACATTTGAATCCCAGTGACTACTAATACAATTTTTCAAATCATCTAATTTCTTAAACATAATTTTGGTTTCATTTGAGTTAGTTGTAGTATTATCTAAAAAGCATCCTAAAAAAATGTATATAAATATAATTTGTGATGTACATAAGAATGTAACTTCTCTAAATGTATAAAAATAGTTAACTCTTTTTTTTCAAATAACTTTACCAAAACAAGCAGCTTTGTTCCATAAGTTTTCAAAGTGATTATGATTATCTAAAATCACATTTAAACGATCTTGGTCGATATATTTTTCTCGACATTTTACAGTTTTATTAGCCTCTTTAAATTCAGCTTTCATTAATGCATCAAAATTTTCCGTCAAATTCTGGTAATATGAAGCACAGTTAAAACAGAACGTCACTGGTACTGCGTTATGCATTGAACATCTGAGGAAATTTTCCAAAGTATCGCCATATACGTTTAACAACTCAGCACAAGAATTTGGTTCCGCGAAAAATCTCTAGAAATAAATGTCTTCTTAAAGAAAATAGGTACAATATTTATACATTTACAAAAATTTACCTTCACATTTAAGAGTAAAATCTCAAAAAACAAAATTTTTAAAAACATTTTAACATAGTATGTATACGTAATATTTAAATTATTTCTTTGTTTAGTATTTATAAGTTAATTGTCATTTAGTAAAATAATCAGTGACTAAAAGATAATTCATTTTTGATAAAAAATTACTCATTACTAAAAACAAAACATTTGCAGGGCTGTACAAGGTACAAAGCATACATACTACATAATCATTATTGGGAGAAAATAAACTACCGGGTGATTATTGAACCATAGAAACTTGAAAAATTTTATAAAAATTTCGATTAATAAAACCTTTTGTCAAATCACTAATATGAAAACTTAAACGAATTAAATTTTCCTAATTAAATTAAAAACCAAATCAATGATCAAATTGGTTAAGATATTGAAAATAAGTTTTACAACTTAAACATTCAATCCAAAAACAAAACCATTTACGTACTTGGATATTGAAGGATCATTCCGTATATATATAACGTAGTTGCTTGTTCATGTAAATATATATGTATTAAAAAATATATATATCACATAAAAAAAAACAATATAAATCTACATGTAGTTTTAAAACATTATTTTTTTATTTTAGCAATGGTGCTCTTTCTCGTTAACATTGTGAGCTCTGTATGTATATAAATGTATAAAAACCTTAAAAATTTTAATAAAATAAAATTTGCCATTATGTAAGAAACGAAAAGGCGACCACGGCAACACCACTAATTATGTCGGTATCAACCAGCTGAAAGAACATCAGCTGTTAATGTGAAAAATTTAAATAATGCATATACGTACAAATTATTACGTCAGTCAAAATGGTATCTATGAAAGTGTTTCATATGAGAAATTTTTCATATTGCCCTAAAAAATGATACATGTTTTTGGAAAACGGAATTGTAATGACTTTCCACATTCTCGAAACCTCTTTTAATTTTATTTAAATTTTATCAAACTTAATAACAAGAACACAATTTCTTGAAATTGTTCGATTAAAATTAATAATAATGGAAATGAGATGAAAGGTCTTGCTGTACAATGTACATAAATATATTGAAAAAAAAAAACAGTAGCTGGTAGTTTTGATTTAATGTTAATCATATTCTACCTGATTATTACATGTTCAACTTATTCAATACTTAAGGAATCAACAAAAAAAAAATCCAAATAATAAGACATAAATGTAATAGGACACGAAAAAAGGTTTTAATAAAAAAATTGTACGCTGATTATATCACTTTCCCAAACTTCTTGTTAACAAGCTGAATAATTGTATTATAAAGTAATTTTTATTTAGTCTTAATTTAGTATTAAATTAATCTTTGAAAGTTTTTGTCATAAAAACAAAAGTTTTGAAAGGGAAGAATCCGTTCCACCATGTCTTATTTATTAGTTGTTAAGTAACAAATCCACAGACTCTAGGTAAGTTTCATCTTTTTTTGTAGCCTTGCTTTTGACATATTCTATGTCATCAAATCCATCGGGAGCTTCTCTGGTTGTTACCATTGCAGTTCCAACTGCTCCTTCTTCCTCTTGCGATGATTCTTCACTTCTTAGGGAATCTTGTTCATTTTCTTCGATCCCTAAAAATTTATTAAATTTAATAGGTACATAATACATAGGTTTTTTATCATTAAAAATTCTACCTCGATCTATAATGGTTTGATTATCTTCTGTTGTTTGAATTTGATTACGTTTCGTGAAATAATACGACAGAAAGTAAAATAATACTGCCGGAAAAAAACCTGTAAAGGTAACCGCAGCAGCAAAAGATCCAAAATCTGCATCTTTTAGATTAACACCACATTTTAAAGTTTTCGCCCATAACAAACGTGTACGATTCAGCTGTATATATAAAAAAAATTACTTTCAAATAAAATAATAGACATGAAATAATATTAAACTTACTGTATCAAGAACATCATAACAAATATTTTTATTGTTTTGTATAAAAACCTTATTATAATAAAAATTCAATTTTCCATAATAAGTTTGACAATTTTTGCATGGTTCAGATTTATTTTTAACCACACAATGTTGAAAGTCATCTATTTGTTTTATTATATTGATAGTTTCTTCTGATATGTTTTGGTAACCGTTACTAAAACAATCTAAAAATGTTAAATTCTTATAACATTACTTATCAAGTGAATCTGAATTTTTGAGTATCTTACCAAAACAGCCAGCTTCTATCCATAAATTCGAAAAATACTCATGATTTTTCAAAACAATATTTAACTGATTTTGGTCTATATATTCCTCGCTGCATTTTACACCAGTAATGTTTTCGACCGCATTCATAAAAATATCAAAAGCTACCGTCCACTCTTGATACAGATTCGTGCAATTAAAACATAAGTGCACTGGCACGGCATTTCTAATGGAACAATCCAAAAATTGATGCAAGGAATTTGAATATTCATGTAATCTATCCTTACAATTTTTATTCTTCTTGAGCTCTAAAGCCTTGAAAGTAAAAAAATAATATAGAGTAAATCTTTACTTCTCTCGTTTTAAAAGGAAGGCTATATAAAAAATATGTGCAATTCTATTATGTAGAATCAAGTATAATTAATGAAACTATAAAAAAGAGATATACCTACTCAAAATTTGTAAAAAACTAACATATGAAATCGTTACCTTAATTTCTATAAGCAATCCGAAAGCAATAAAAAACACAGTATACCGCATCATAGTAGCCACTTTAGCCATTTAAATATTTTTAAAACCCAAAGAAGTAAGAGCAAAATATGTTTTTACAGAACTGATAATTTGCAATCGTTGAACCACAGGATAACAAAAATATAAGTCCTTTGCTTTCTAACCGATAACTATATACCTCTAGTCTAGACTACATAAGTTTTGAATTTTTGAAATGCTTTAAAATTAATGTTATGATTGGAGGGGCTTTACCAAATAATGATGTTTAATATTCGCTCCATTCAATTGTCAGCTGCAATCATTAGAAGGTGATGGTAATTGCAAACATTTTTTCCTATCAATTTCTACAAGTTTTGGAAAGGGAAATTTGTAACACACTTTTTTTTCTTTAAAATATCCCTCAGGGAACTGCACAGTGATAGTGTGATACAAATGCTATTTAGCAATAGAAAATAATGAAGTCTTCGCAATAATTCGTATTTTTAAATTTATTACTTAAGTATCAAAAACAAATGTAAAGTATGTTACTTATTTTTTTTGTTTCGAATTTCAATAATAGCTTCTATTTATTATCAGTTTTCTTTTTTCTAATTGCTGTAATAGCATGATATTTTTTTTATTATAATATTTTTCATTCGTTTGTTTACTATTCAAAAGTGTTACCTGTTTTTTAATTAACTAAATACTTAGAAATTTTTATATATCCCATCTCTAAATTTTAAATTGAACTAAATTAAGTCAAATGGATGACATTGACAAAGAGGTATAGTAGCAGATGGAAAGTTGTTTGCTTTATTTTAGTTTTAAGGTTGAGTTTATTTTTAAAAAATAAAAGTTTGGTTTATTAAAACAAATTATGTCAATCGAAATGATACTTAGAATTAGAAATTTTCGAAAGATTTAAAATGTTGAATTTTTTATTATTACCATCCAAAAAAAAAATTTTAAAACCCTTAACAGCCAAAGTTCATCAGCTTATTAAAGAATTTTTACCTCCACTTAGTTCATTAGATAATTATGATTTCACAGCAATTGAAAATAATATTAAATTACGAAAAACAACAGGAGACTTGGAATTAATAAAATCTTTGTTAAAGAAACTACAAAATGCTGACGAAGGTGAAAAAGAGAGGCTGATGCTAGAATTGAAGTCAGAATTATGGAAATTACCGAACCAAACTCATGCAGATTGCCTTAACTACAAAAATGAACCAAAGGAAATAGCCCAATTTAACAAAATGCCTAATGAAGAAGTAATTAAAACTAAAGAATTCTCAGAGATCGCGAAGAAAATGAGAATTTTAAGAACGGAACACTTGGGAAATTTTACAGGTCATAAAAGTTATTACCTTATAGATTCTTTAGCTGAAATAGAACACGCTTTAATTCGATTCGCTACAAATTACCTTAAGAGTAAAAATTTTAATATAATATCTGTGCCAGATGTTTTGCCATCACATATCATTGAGGGTTGCGGAATGCAAACAGTTGGAAAAAGAACCCAAGTCCGTATCAAATATTTAATTAATCTTAGATTTCAAAACTATTATCATTTAGGTGTACAGGTTGAATTCATTGGAGAAATGCTTATCAGGAACATCTGAAATGGCTTTGGCAGGATATTTTAAAGATAAAATATTGAAAGAGGAAGATTTACCAATTAAATTGGCCTCAGTAAGTAGGTGCTTTCGAGCTGAAACATCTGGCCTTCAAGAAGAGAAAGGAATTTATAGGTAAAATATGTATATGCTTTAATTTAACAAATTCATACCCTTGTAATACATTATATAATAACGCAATAAATTTTATTCGAAGGGTTCATCAATTCACTAAAGTGGAAATGTTTTCAGTTTGTTCCAAAGATCAATCCGATAATATTTTAAATTTATTCAAAAATATTCAAATTGAATTATTCGCTAAATTAGGTATTCACTTCAAATTATTAGACATGCCCCCTAGTGAACTTGGTGCTCCAGCATATAGAAAATATGACATTGAAGCTTGGTTGCCTGGGCGAAAAATATGGGGGGAGATTTCTAGTTGTAGTAATTGTACTGATTACCAAGCCAAAAGACTTGGAATTCATTACAAAAGAAAAGATAATACATTAGAATACGTTCACACAGTTAATGGTACAGCATGTGCTGTTCCGAGATTATTGATCGCCTTGTTAGAGACTCATCAAGTATATATATTTAGTTAAATTAAGATAATTAATAGAATTGCTATATTTTATTTCAGAACAAAGAAGGAAGCGTCCAAATTCCGAAGGAGTTGCAGATATATTTAAATAAAAATGAAATATGTAAGAATTTGAAGGTTCCTGAATTAAAACTAGTTAAACAAATCGATTGGCCTAACACAAGCTAAACAGAGTTTATAAAAAAAATCGTCATGATGCAAATTTCTATTCTTGGTTCGTTCAAAAAATGTGACATCCGAAAAATAAATGAAGAACAAAACTTTTTTACATTCTGCAAAATAATATGTGTAAGAATTTCTAATCAATATTTTTGCACATAATATATAATTAAATAAAAATTTAATTTGAAATTTTGGTAATTTAATTTTCGTATCAAAAAGACAAGATCTTTTATCATTAAGTTGTGCCTTAATGATCAAACCAAAATATTATTTCTGGGAACAACATTATTCTGGGAACAATATTATTTCTCGGAACAATAATAAGGTCCTTCCGAATCAAACATTGTTGGTGACTGAAAAAATATTAATCGTCTACAAAACTTTAGCGAATGTATTAAATAAAACGTCATTAGTTTTATTATATATTTATCTAGATTCTAGATGATTTCAGATATAACTCACAGCAAAAACTGTTTTCTTCATAATATTTTGTTTGCTTAGGAATGTAATTAAACACCTACATTCAAACTACCTTGGCTTTGTACGGTTAAGTTCAAGGTTTTTAATTATTTATAACATTTTCGTATTATTTAATTATTTATGTAATACTTACCCTGACAATGTAAAATAATTCTATAATAAAAATTAATTAGTATTAAATAATTTTAGTTAGCAATGCATAGGTGTCTTGGAAATTAACGAAAATTTTCTACAAATTATAAAAAAAAATTTCTATAAAAATAAATTTTTATTGACATTTAATTTTGGAATATGTACTCTATTTATAGAATTTTGTATATAAAAACTTATATAATGCCGAATGGTCAATATAAGTCATAGATTTCAAGCACCCTGAAAAAAAATAACATAGGGAAACAAATAACTTGATTTCGGCCGTCAGTTAACGTGTCCAAAACATGAAGTTAATCTCATGCAATTGTAAAATTTTGGTTTTTTCAGAAAAAAATAATTTAAAACTACTACTTTAAAATTTCACAAAATCTAACCTTACTTGCGCTTTCTATCTTTAAACCAATTATCATCAAAGTTAAAAAAAAATAAAAGGTTCAAATTGAAATTTGTAAATGAATTTAACTAATTTAATTTTTGTTACTTAAAATACAAAAACATTTTGTAAAAGAAAGTGATTAAGAAAAAATTTTTACAATTGAACACATTCGCAAATATATTTCATTTCACTATAAAAAACTCATAAAAAAAATGATCAAAATTAAATATTTTCCAATATTATTCTTAGCAACTTATGTAATTTTTAAGAGGTCAAAATTAACTACATAATATCCATTCATTTGACAAAAATGGTAAAATAATTCGATATTTTTACACAAAACAAGAAGAAATGAATGATAAATTCATTTATTCTTAATTTTTATTTTTATTGTTAATATAAATACATATGTATTATAATATATGTATGATTTATAATTTATTATACATTTGTGTATACATTATATCATTATTGCGAATTGAACGCCTTCAATTCTATTTCATATTATATTCTTTTATAAAAATGTATGATCAAATACAATTATTAAATTTAATGTGAATATTAAATAATATTAATATGTATTTATGTTCTAGATTCTATGTACAATCATAATATATAATATTATTACGTTGAATACATACAATTTATGCATATAGTAGATAAATTTGCCGAATAAAACATTTAAAAAAATTATAGCTATAATTTCTGTTTTAAATATAAAATAATTGAGCATAAATTTAAAAATTTTGATAAAAAATGAAATTTAATACAATTTCATAAAATGACGTCATAAGAGATAAGCTATCCTACTTGATTCTGTTACAAAAACCACTAAAAATTTTCACTTAGTTGTATCAATGGAAAAAAAATCGTTAATCTTGATAAAGTTAGACAAAGAAATCAAATTGGTGTTTGGTCTGCATTTAAGGAAAAAATCTTTAGAAAGTTTAAAAAAAGATTCCAAATTACGTAAAATTTTTTTTATTAAGCAAATTTTTGTCAAATCGAAAGATTCCCTAACGTTTTCACAAAAAAATAACATGAACGTGCATACTTAGGTACCAAAATAAATATCTGATTACAAAAAAGGTTTCGAAAAACCAAACAAATAAATTTTATGAATTTATTTATACTTTAATATACTTACATTACACAAGTGCACCTAAAGTTCCATAATGCCTACTCACCTTAAATATAAATTTCTAAAATGAAAAAAAGACCTATAATATATACATACTCCATTTGTGAGCTAAAACATATCTATGTATATTGGGCCGGCTTATTTTGAATATCAAATCTAAAATTTTGAAATAAGTGATAATAATATTCATGCTAAAAATTTCAATAAATTTATGTTTACAATAATAATATCGAACTTTTTGCGACAATTTTCGATATTACTTAATGATTCTCGTAATTGTAGTTAAGCTACCCAATGTTCTTGTATCTGATACTGCAGTAATATCGTATTAGTATCAGGTTATTAGTATACATTGCTGAATTATGTAGTGATTACAATGTTATATGCAATGTAGGTATGTGATTTATATCCTTAACTGTTTCTGTGTACTGATACGATAATATATGTACATATATAAATTTAAAGATGATTAACAATGAATTTCCCAAATTTTAAAAATGAAAATACAATATCGAGAAAGTTAGTTAATGTTTTTAAAACGGTTACTGACATGGTAACAGTATGTACAAGCATACTATAGATGTTTATATACATTTGAAATTCAATTTTACTAAAATTGTCTGAAGTTGAAATTTATGTAAAATATATGTATTTAGATATATATAATGTGCAAAATAAATGTATCATGTATTATTTGCTGTATAAAAAATAAATCAAGCGATGATAATTTTGTATTGTTTTCCACATACAGACATTTTATTTTTTATTTTTTTTTTTTTTTTTGAAGAAAGAATTCATAATTTTTGGTCTTCTTCTCTATTCTTTTCAAAATGAAAACGAAAGAATTACAATTTGAAAGACAAATTATTATTATTAGAATTATTTTAAGTTGTCATATTTATATATGTATATATATATATAAATACCTACTGACTTACATAATACGAATTATACAGTTACAAGTATACAAATTTTTTAATATTTATAGTAATAGTTATTATATAAATATATAGTTATAAAATTTTGGACCGGAAAAAAAACTATAAAAAGATTATGATCAAATGAAATCGATTTCAAAGTAATTTTAAATCGCGGTAGAAAATAATCTACAATTTCATTACGACCGGATTAAAATTTTTTTTCACTCGTTAAACTGTAAACGCATACGTTTTGTTTTAATTATTATTTAAAAAAAATAATATAAAATATAAATAAATAAAAGTATACGCGGTGTAACTATAATTACATTAATTGGTTGAATCAATTTTTTCATATACATATAACAATTTAATTTAATTAGGTAAATTTGGTTTTTTTTTTAATTTCTAAATTTTTTTCTAAATTTTAAAAAATTCAAATACATATATATTCATATAATAAATATATTTAAATAAAAAAAAATATATACAAAATTTTAATAATAAAAATAATTAAGGATTTAATAAAAAAAAAAAATAAAAAAAATGTCGTACATTGGCAGCGCGTCAGACGTTGAACAAGAAAAAAATCTTAACGAATTTCATCAAAATCTATCAAAAAAATTATTAGAGAAAACAACAAAAAAGAAAATGTCATCAACATCAGCTAATAAAAATAATGAAAGATGGCATGATAATGACTCTGAAATCTCAGATTCAGAAACATTTTTGGCCAAAGGTAATAAAGAATTTATTGAAAATAAAACTAATAGAAAAAAAATAAAAAATAACGAGATCACCGAAAATTCTTCATGTTGTGAAAATTGCAATAAAATTAATAATGATAATGTTATACATAACGATTGTTGTGATAATTTACCCAACATGATGGAAAATAATTGTCAGGTGATTAAAAATTATAAAAAAAAAAAATTATTTAATTTGGTTTTTTGTTTTTCTTCTTCTTCTTTTCAATCTACTTTATTTTCAATATCCTTGATGGAATTATGTCCAATTTTTATGACATATAATTAACCTTATTTTTCACCAAAAAAAAAAATAAAACGCGAAAAAAATTTGTTCAAAATAATTGCATATTTAAAAAAAAATTATTCAATAAAATAATTGCATCTACAATTTGAACAATGATAATTGATAAATATAAAAAGGTGCATTCTTATTAACACCATCATATGAATTATCTATGGAAAGGGCCGCTCTAATATGTGAGAAAATGAGTTTCAAAGGATGTTTCAGTTTAACAAAAACTGCAACTGGAATATTATTTAAATTTTCTCATCCAGATGATTATCAGGCTGTATTTAAAAAAGGTTTCCATAAAGTAACCGGAGCTAGATTTTATAAAAAAGTAAATATAAAAAAAAAATTAATATCAAAAATAATAAAATTCTCAGAATACATATTTTATATCAATTTAAAAAATATTTTTAATGCACAAAAATATTTCTTACAAATTGAAATTTAGTATAAATTATTCTTTGTATATACAAGAAGTTTTCCACATAGAATTATATTTATATACATATGTACATGTATAAACTAAGAACAATAATAAAAAACAAATGACATTGAAATTGCATTAGGAATAATGGGAATTAAAAAAAAATAAAACTGATTCAGTAATGTTGGAATTAATTTTGAGAAACAACTGATACAATAATACTTATCAGATCAACCAATCGTTTCAGATTATTTTTAATTACATTTTTAAAATTTTCATTTTTGATTTGGTTAAATGTTTTTGAAATTTGAAGGAAAATGTAAAATTCAAATGTTTTCAAACTATTTTATTAAATAGATTAAATAGAATAATTATCAAAAATCTGAATGTTATTTTCAAATTTTGACCAAGTATTTTATATAAATGTACGTGAGATCACCAAAATCTATCGTATAAGGTGTTTTCTATCGTATTAACACTATTCATTTTATAAAATTTCTAAATTTCTTTAAATTTGAATATTAAATTTTTCCACAAATAATAATAAAAATTTCGACCAAATCCTATATTTGAAAATTGAATTTTTAAAAATGCTTTGTATGTCATATATTTTATTTGCTAAATAAATTAGCTGACATTATGTTTGCATTTATTCAGATGTTTGTCCTTTGTATAACGGTAATTATTGTGCTCAAAAGTAAGAATTCAAAATAAGAAATATAATTGCACGTATTTATTTAAAATTTAGTTAATTATATACCCTGACATTATAACTGCAACTAGCGCTAATTACTGTAAATTATGCATTGACATAATATTAATGTAATTTCAATGTCAGGGACACTTTCGATTTTCATAGTACAAACATGAAGGATTTACATAGTATGTACATACATATATATAAATATTTTCCATTTCATCTATTTTTCATACTCTTAAATTTTTGTACATTTTTACAAACAAAATACGTATATTTGAACATTCTCATAAAACTTCAAAATGAATATATTATGTACATATATTTATATATTATATATATACATATGTATGTACATGTATTTTATATTCATTTACGTACTATGTATTCACCTATTTAATTTACATAATATTATATCTAACAGTATAATAATTTCTTTATAATACACCTGTAATATTGTATAATACAATTTTATCAATAATATAAATATTAAAATTGGATATATACATATATAATATATACATACTAATAGGAAATCTTTGCATTTTAAACACAAAAATAACTTCAACAAATTTTCAAATATAAATATTTCTAAAAAATATATTTACATATAATAATTTTTAAATGTTATACTTTAAATAGGTTGCTGTACCATGTCGACCACAAAAAACATTTACACTTTATGTGTTAGATGTGCCAGAAGATATTCCAGTTGAAGATATTCGTCATGCACTTTATAAATTTAATTCGGTTGTTGAAGTTGTACGTTTGGTTGTATCTAATGTAGCACATAAAAAGGATCAAACGGTTAATGAAGATGGTAAGTAAATGTATAACTATATGTTAAATAGTAAACATATAAGTACTAAAATACAAAAAGTAAAACTATGTAGTTTTACTTTTGTTCTTTCAAAAAATAGCCATATCATATGGATAACAATATCCATATTATAAATTATCCACTTGTATGCATATAAAAATTTTATTTCGCTTTTATGTACTATTACCGCTCTTCTTCAAGTCGTTACAATGCAAATTTTTAAGAAATTCTTGTTTTCAAACTAAAATGAAAAGTTAAAATCCAAAAAAATTTTAAATAGTTTTAACTTCAGTTTTTTAATACATACATATATATATTTTAATACATATATATATTTTTACATGTTTAGGAACAGCAACACCTGTTAAAGATCCAAAACCAGGCGAGTCTTTGACAAATAAAGAAGCTCCACCACCACTAATTCGAGTTACTTTGGCATCATTGGATGAATTCAATATACTATTACAAAATGGATTGAACTTTTATGATGCAACATTCTTTCCAACTGATGCAAATTTACCAGTTACTGCTGGTAAAATTGTTTATAAACGAAGGTAAAGTATAAACATATAACCCAATTCTCTAATTGTATGTTACATAAAATGTACTCATAAATTTAATAATATTACCAACATAATTAACATTTTGTTATGTACATACAATTATATTATGTGTTAATAAATTTTATAATATATTTTAATTAAAACAAAAATAATTTTTCAATAATTTAATATTGAATAGAATTGCACAATAGAAAAATTTTAATTAAGGATCTTCTTGACTTTCGAATTGCAGTAATATTGTATTGCTATACAATTCAGCTTAAAAATGAAGTATGTAATTGTTGAATAGGGAAACAATACAGTATTAAAGCAATTTTAATATCACGGAAAAAAAAATTAATAGTTTTAATATAAAAATTATTAAAAAATGATAAAATACAATTTAAGATTACTATTAATTTAATTTAATTAAATTTTGTACAGGATAAAAAAATAAATATTTTCGTGTGTACATATAGGCGTCAACCAAAATGCAAATACAACATCAAATTGATTTATTGATCAATTGAATTTTAATAATTATAGGTTAATTTTCATTTAGACAAACGCCCCTATATATTCCAAGTGTATAAGCTTCATCTGCTATTTATTTATGACAAAGTTATATTGATTTTTTACCAAACATCGACGTTTTAATAGGTAAAACTAAACAGAAAAGTGCTTCCCAACAGAATTTAGTATTTTAAATACAAGTACCAATTTTCACTGTACAGCACTTTTCCTAAGCAGCACTTTTATTTTTATGAAAACATTTAAAGTATATAGCAAAAAATTTCAGAATAAAAGAATTATTTTAACTAAAACACAGCAGATATAGCTTTATATACGTGGTATATATATTGTATGTTTATATATAAAATATGTTTATTTCTAGTAAATTAAAGTATATGAATAACTTAATACTATAGGGCATTTATTGGAATTTAAAATATCCGCACAAATTTTAACACAACACAAAATATTTTTCAATTAGAATATTTTTTTCATACTGCAGTTTTTAAATCTCATTCAGTTTATTAATAAATTGCTAAATGTAACCGCAGCTCTATTACTGCGTTATGGAACTTAAATATTGTAATACGCACAAACTCATTACGTAAAATGTAGATTTAATTATAAATATGTTTAAACTCATCTTCCGAAATGTAGATCTAACGTTAACCTTATTTAACTAATACAATTCTAGTTGCTGAATAAAGTACATTGTAAATTAGATTATATTCAGGTAAATGAAATATTTTTTTTTATATTCTACGTTTGTTTCCAATATTAAAAATGTTAATTTTAATATTAGTTATAAAATAATAATTGTTGTTGTAGATTGTTGTTGTTAATTTAATTTTAAATAATAATTGTTGTTGCTGTAAATTTCAAACTATTTAAATTTTCTTAAATAATAGATAATATTAAATGAACAAATATCGAAACCTGATTACTTAATAGGGAATTTTTGAGTTTCAATTCAGTATAGAATTAGAACCTATATTAAATATATACATATATATTTACAAAGCCATTATGTATTCAGAAAAAAAAATAATAAAGAACAAAAGTATAAAACAATGCTAAAGAAATCAAGTTCAGAAACAAATATATCAAATCGAAGCGACATGCTTACAATAACGCGATTGGGGATTTTGGATAATTCTGTTCTAGCTTAGGTCTTAATATATAAATAACGTTCGGTAAATTCAAACTGTAAAATCTGCAGTAATAGCATGTTTGAAAAATGACAGTTCTGCATAAAGTTCTAAAAGGAATATTCAAATATCTTTCTAACTATACTGTAAAAATGTTATAAATTATAGAAAGTGTTTCAATATTGAAAATTTACTTGAGTATATAACAAATTTGCAAAAGTAAAATATTCAATTTCTGTAGATTTATAAATATGTGTGGGAAAATACTTCTAAAATTTAATTTAGAATATTCATTCAATGCATGTTCGAATTATCGAAAATCTCCAATCTTAATATGTCAATTTGACTTATTCAGCAAATAAAATTGTGTTGTTCAATAAGTCAAATTGATGTTATAACTTCATTGAGGTACAAGTCCTCAGTTTTAATATTATTCATATAAAAATAATAAGAAGCAATAAATATGTAATAAAACCTTAAATAATAAATTAATTTTATTTAACTACAACAAATAAATTAAAAAATAATAAAATATTGTTGTAGGTTACCGGCATCACTAAGAATTTTTATGCATTTCATTACATACTTTAAAATTTCAATATTGTTTACTGTAAATAATAAATTTGCATTATTTTTTTATTTTTGTTTTTCAATTTTTTAACTGTTTGTTTGCAATTTTTTTTTTATATATTTCCTTTTTTTATTATTGTTATTAATTTAAAATATGATTTTGTTTCATTTTATTTGTTTTTATTTTTTAATTTTCAAAACTTTTCTTTATTTTCTTTTCTAATGTCATATATGTACATGCATACGATTTCTGTTATACACAATTATATAATTATTGTGATCATCAATGTATTTTTGATTTATTTGCATTTATTTATTTATTAAATTGTTTTTAGTTATTATTATTGTTTTGTCGTTTGTCTTTGATATTTTTTTTTGTTTTTTGCTCTTTTTTTTTTATTTGTAATAATTTTTCTACTTCTTTAGACTTATGGATGGTACGATACCAGGGCGTGTAAGAGAATTACTTCCGGTATTTGATGCTGCTGGTTTTTGTAAAATTCCACCTCCAGCACGCAAAATTATTAAGCCAGTAAAATAAAATAATAAGAAAAGAATATAATATAAAATTATAAAATAACAAAAAAAACACAAAAAAAGAATAAGAATTAAAATTAGAAAAAAAAAAGAAAATAGAATAAAACGCGTAGGCAATATAGAACAAGCTATTGTTTTCAATCTATTGAATAATTTTTTATTTTTATAATTTTTAATTCAATTCTCAAGAAATAAAAGAACAGAAAAAAAACAATACTAAGAAAAATTGTAACATTAAAAAATTTATTTTCTCTTTATTTTATTAAAATAATTTATTTTTCATTTCATTTCAAATATTGTTATTTATATACAATAATACAAAAATAATGTGCCATTCAAATAGTATTTGAAAACAAAACAAATTTGAAAAAAAAAAAAACATTTTTTTTTTCATACTTTTTAATTTTTTATTTAAATCGAAATGATGTCAAAAAAATGAAAATTGTGTGCCTAGCTGCATAGCTAGCTAGCTATATCAAAATATTATATAAAGTATGTACATATGTACGAAATGTTATACAAAAAAAAATTGCCTAAAGGACAGGTTATATCACTATACTACTGGCAATTTCCTATATATCAAAGTAAATATACATAATCCAGCAGCTATACAACTTGTAAGCTAAATTACCGGCCTTTTCATTAACGCAGTTCTCGCTATATATCGCGATTCGCAATCGCATATAGCGAGAACTGTTCTATATTTGTGTTAATAATTTTTTCAACAACATTAAAAATTAGTATAGCGCGGTAAGAGCATATGAACTGTTTTGATTTTAAAAAATAATTAAAAGTATATTGTATAATCATAACTTTATGTTTTCGCATTATTGCATTTCGTAGTTTATTTTTTTGAATTATTGCGTTTACGAAAATCTATTATATATGAACAGCATATTACTGGCAATTTTAAAATCAACTCAACAATTTCTATTCCAGAAATTTGTAATTTTCGATTTTTCAGCAATATTTTAAATGACATTTATTTTGTTGCTTTTCATTAACACTAACTGTTATAGCGTATATATACAATCATAGAAACTATTATCATATATTATGGCTAACATTTTATAAAAGTATGTACATACTTTTAATTAGTTCGAATATCAATAACAATTTTTCTTTTTTTTTTGACATCATATTTCGATACCAAAATCAGTAATTATTAATCATTCATAAAACAACTAAAAAAATTTCTAACCAAAACATTTTAAAACAAAACTTATAAATTATTACAAAATTTTATTTAAAAATCGCATATGATATAATATAGAGTCTATTAATTTAATAAATTTGTGTTTTAAGCAATTTTTGTTTGTTTTTTTTTCCTTTTGTTTTTTATTAATTAGCTATAACAATTATTTCAATCCGTTTATGTGGAACTAACCAAGATCAGTAAATTAAAAAATTAGATTTTTTATAAGGAGAAAAGTAAGTATTGAACAAAGCAATTTATTTATTTACCTAATTTTGTTTTATTATCATTTTTTTTTCTCCAAATAAATAGCACAGATCACGTTTTTTCTTTGTTGTGTTCTCTTAAAACAATAATTATTTAACTTTCAAAAAAAAAAAAAATTGAGTAATAAATTTCAATTTCTACATCTATTTTTAATAATATTTTATTAATGCTTGTGTCATTAATAAATGGCAATTTCTTTTCATGTTCTGTTGGCAATATTGTCAAAGTAGAATTAAGATGGACTTTCGATAATCTAACTTCAGATATAAAGACCTAGTTGGAAAATTTTTAGCCAATATAAAAAATTAACAACTTCGAATAATATCCAGGCTTGTTGTTACTTCCTTTTACTTATTAGTGAAAATTATTTTTATTTCTATTTCATTTCTTTAAAAAATGTGATTGGCTAAAGTTTGACAGCGTATTTAATTCCATTTTAAGAATTTCAGAGAGAATTCCATTTTAAGAATTTCGTTGTGAACTTCACTTTTAATTATTTCATTTTACGATATAAGGCAAAAACTGCATAAAATACTCAAATAATATTCATAGTTTGAAGATTCAAAATTTAACATTTCAATTGAGAAAAACTTATAAAAAAAAAGTATGAATTTTAAAATATAAAATAATTTTTTTATAGCAAAAAGCATTTCTAGTGTACTCAATTACATAAGAATAGGTGCAAAATGATTTTTGAAATTGGATTAAATTGGTATTTTATAGTGTGGTACTATAAAGTGTGCACTTCTTTTGAAATAATATAACCTGATGTATAATGCTAAAATAAAGTAAATTAATATTATTGTGAGAATTAAAAAGAAAAAAAATTGATAAAGTGAAAATTTTTTCAATTAAAAACAAAATAAATTAAAACTCAAAAAAAAAAACAAAATTTTAAAATTCGCTATTATTTGTTTTGTTTTTTTAGCTATGCATCGGGTCATGTTGTTACAACATATCGTGATGTAAACGAAGCAAAAGAGCCCTCTTGGCCACGAAAAAGTCAATCTCCTATTCATGTAGCATTCAATTAAAAATTAATAAGGATTTTTTATATAATATGAAAACCACAAAAATTTATGTATGTACATATTATTATAAAATTTGGAACAAAGAAAAAAGAAAATGTATCATAAATTAGTAATTTGAATACTTTTACTGTTTTAAATATAAAACATGAAACAAAAATATTTCTTAATATTCACCAAAGCACGCTGTCATATAATTAAAATAATAATGCTTTTTAAATTAACTAATTTTAATTGTTTATAGGTACTTAAATTTATTTATTGAAAACGAATACCTACCTTATTTTTGTTTTTATTCCTGTTTTTTTTTTTTAATTATTTTCGAATATTAATATGTAATTTATATTTATTATGTTTAATTAAAAATATGTACTTTTATATGAAGATGAAAAACTATATTTTACATGTACATGTTGTTTTTTCTTTTTTGTTTTCCACAATAATGAAAACGCCATAAAAAATATAAGTAAGTACATTCGATTATTGAATATTGTAATAGTTTCCCTTTTGGCTTATACTATACCTCAGTTGCTTGTAAACCCATGGAATAATTTTTTGAACTTTTATTTTCTTCACCATTGAACTCATATCTCAGTTTGATTCAAGAATAAATCAGAATATTATTAAAAAATTCTTTAATATCTTAAATATAATTTAATAAAAACTAAATTTTCCGGCTTTGTAAGCTTGAAATTTTTAAAACTTGCATTTCTATAAATGTTAATTGTTATTCAAGAGAATAATTTTTTCGAGATTATAGAAATAATTAACTTCGCTGAAAATATGCACAGACTTCTTTTAACAGCAAATGCAAAAAGTGTAAGTATGTAGTAAAAGTATTATATTAAAGATATAATATGTAAATAATTAATTATCTCATGGTCATGTTACGAATCTCATACCATTAAACTATCTCTCTTGTGTTACTCAACTTATTAGATGTCCTGCCAGACACTCTTGTCAACGTTGTACACGTTTTTGTGAACAATAAATAAAAACATTTATTTTTTTTTGTGCAATTACATATATGTACTTCATTTCATACCCCACAGGTACATCTTTTTCTCATTAAATTTATACGTTGAGCAATGTTAAAAAGAAGCCAAATTACATGTAAAAAAGGAAACCAAACTAAATTTTTTTAATTATAAATAACACTTAATACAAGAGTGATAAATATTTAAGATTTGATTTTTTTTTTGAAAATATTTAAAACATTTATATTTAACAAAGTTTTACTATTTAATTGATTGACAAAACGGAAACTCTAAAAATAGAAACAACCGATTGGTAAACAATGTTGTCACAGTTTCTCAAATTTTTAAAGGTTCTTCGCGAAACAAAAATTAAAAATAACACAGGTCACTTTTTGTTAAAAAAAATTAGCTGGCTTTTTATTACTTTCGTTTTTAAAGCTGTTCTCATCTAATGAGAGAATTACAAAAGCGACACCGCCATATAAAAAGTTTACCACCATTTCATACAAAAGAATATTAAAGTGCGAATGTCAGATAATTTATTTATTAAAAAGTAATAATCCTCAATACTAGTTTTGAAATTATTTTATTAAAAAATAATTGATGTTTTTTTTGACAACGTCGGAGTATATAATAAATTAAGTATGGAAAAATTATTATGCAATTTTTTAAGAGGTCTTATTAACTGTAATACATACATTGTCAATGTACTTTGACGTTGTCAAAAAACAGCTCAGTAATATTTTTGTCAACTTATTTAAAAGCTATCTTCAAGGGTCTTTATTTTTTAAAATTTAACTAAATTTATTATTTCTTAATTTTTTCTGTTGAAAAAATCGAGTCATTTCCTAAATTGATTATATTTGATCTTTCATCAGTTCAGTTGTTGCTACAGTTATTATCAAAATTATGCGAAAAACGAAAAACAACAATTTAAATAAGACTATTCCCTATATTTGGATGAAATGAAAAATAAAATTTTTTTATGCTCATTTTTCTAATAACTACAAATAAGGTCTGCATATAGCAAAAAAATCAAAACTCGTAATCTGGCAATACTACTTTCAAAGATTTTTTTGTGAACAGCTGCTGACGTTTAATTAATTGTTATGATATGATTCAGAATAAAATCACTGTGATAACTGTTGCGAGACTGTAACCAGCTGTAAGTTTATTCACTTTTTTGTTTACCTTTGTTGTTAATTCTTTCGCATTTTTGAGAAACTTATTTAAGTTTTTTATAAATATAAATGAAGTTCATTATTATACAAATAAAATGAAGTGCTTTGATTGCTTCAACAAATAAAAAAAAAATTTTGTTTTGAATTTTGCAATAACATTCATAATTTCTATCGAAAAATGGAATTACGCGAAAGGTAAAAGTTATCTTACATTTTCAATATAATTACGTGAATATAATTATGCTGAAATTTTTCAATTCAAAAAACAATTTAGATTTTCTTTGCTTTTGCTGGATCCTGGCGAAATATACTTTGAAGATTATGCAGTAGATTACTTGTCCAATGACGACACTAAGCTTGGGAATAACGTTGAAGCACTTATTGGCTCATTGAAAGTGTGCTCAAAATCTTTAGTTTTTGAACCAAGAAATATAAAATTACCTTTAATTAAATTACGTTATGCCGATTGTTATGAAATATCCAAATATGCAAACATGTCCAATAGAGAAAATTTACTGTCTGATCAAGACAATTGCATGACAGTTGGGTGAGTAATACTATATCAATAGAAAAAGCTTCATTATCGTTACAAAACAACTATTATTTTGTTTTTATTTTGGGGGAAAAAAATTATTTTGTAGTGAATACCCTTTGTAGTTTTTTCCAGAAATTAGATAATTGTATAACATAATCATTTCTATGTTTCAATTATATGCTCTATTGATCTGACGAGCACAGAATTATTACTAAGTCTTATTGAATAATTTTAGATCTACGCAATGTATTGAAATGCTTGATAAAAATATAATTTCTCCATATGAAGTTAATAAGAAAAACAAAATTTTCAACTTTAAGTTTCTCTACACTAATATTGATGATATATTGCCCTTTTGTCAGCAATTGCATCGTGCAGCATCATTAAGCGTCTCAGAACAAAATGGAATGGTAAATTAAGGCCTTATAGGTTGAAAAAGTCTAAGTTTAATTTTGATTTTAGATTTCATTGATAGCTTTTTCCTTTCACAATCGAAAGAAATTTAATCCATTGTGGTTGGGAAACATTTATGAAAAAAAACTGTATGATTGCAAAGTTGATGAAGTTCGACCTCTTGTTTTGAATCCTGGTAGACTGTTATTAACGAATTCTTGCATATATTTTCAACCTTTCAATAATATATTTCCTGTAAGTAAAAGATATGGAATGAGAAACACAAAATGAAAATTATTTTGTTTTAATTATTTGGCAGTATCCTGTGTTAAAAATAAAATTATCGGAAATTACAGGATTAGTTAAAAGAAGATTTTTGCTTCGGCAAATAGTAAGCTGAATTTAGAACTGAAAATATTGTGTAAAATTCTGAAGAACACTTAAATTCTAGGGTCTGGAGATTAAATGGAAGGACAAAAATTTGTATGTATCATTCAAAAATCCATCAGAAAGCAAAGAATTTTGTGAACTGGCTGAAAGACAATCAGAATTCAATTTACCTCAAGTTAAACAAGAAAGTATGACATTGAAATGGCAAAATCGTTTGATTACAAACTACGAATATTTACTTTACCTAAATAGGTATAATTTTTTTTTTCAAAGGAATAACTTTAAGTTTTTCTTTCTTATTATTTTTAAGTATTTTAAATCTTTATTCAATATTTATAGCTTAGCTGATAGAACATTTGAAGATTTAACGCAGTATCCGGTTTTCCCGTGGGTGTTAACTGACTACACTTCTCTGTCAATTGATTTACAGAATGAAAATATATATAGGGATTTAAAAAAACCAATCGGAGCTTTAAATCCAGAAAGATTGGATAGATTAAAAGAGCGCGCGCTTGAAATGGATGAACCGAAGTATGTTAAAAAACAAAAGAAATGTACTAAACTATATTTTAAAATACTTTTTCATTAGATATCTATATGGTTCTCATTATTCTAACCCTGGCTTTGTTTTATTTTACCTAGTAAGTTTATTATTGAAATAGATAAAAAATATTGAGTTTTTTAATATTTTAATTTTTATAGGTACGAAAAGTGCCACATTTGATGTTGTGCTTACAAAATGGTAAATTTGATTGCCCAAATAGAATGTTCAACAAAGTGTCAGATTCGTTCAATAATTGTTTAAATAATATGGCGGATTTCAAAGAACTAATTCCGGAATTTTATGATACAAATAGCAAAGGTGAATTTTTACAAAATACAAAAAAAATTAATTTTGGTTGCCGCAGTGATGGATCTGCGGTTAATGATGTTATTTTACCACCGTGGGCAGACAATTCTCCAAAAAAGTTTATTTCAATATTGAGGTAAGTTTAAGTGAACGGTATGCATTAAAATTATTGTAATAAATGAAATTTTTCTTTAGAGAAGCTTTAGAATCCGAATATGTGTCAGCTAATCTTCATCATTGGATAGATTTAATTTTTGGATATAAACAAAGAGGAACTGAAGCATGGAAAGCAGATAATGGTACATGGATAGTTAAATTAAAAAACTTATTTAAATTGATAATTGTATGCAATTGATAATGTTACAGTTTTCCATTACAACTGTTATGAAGGTTCTGTAGATCTGGATAAGATAAAGGATATTTCAGAAAGGCATGCATTAGAGGTTCAGATATATGAGTTCGGTCAAATTCCAAAACAACTTTTTAAAACGCCTCATGTATCCAGAAACGTAACTACGGTTTTACCGCCACGCAGTCCAATAAACAATCCAAATATAGGTTAATATTTAAAAACTAATAAAAATATTTTTCACTTAAAAAGTTGATTTAAACTCAAATATTTAGGTTCTATAAAACATTATAAATTTGAATTGAAAGGGTCTTATGCAGCTCATAAAGATGAAATTACGTCGATTTATGCCGATGATGATAAAATTTGGTCAACTGGAAAAGACGGTATTTTAAAATGTTATTCCATACTGGAAAAGAGACAAACCAGGTGCTTTAAACTATGAAAATGAATATTCGTTTTTATTTAAAATAACAAAATATTTTTAGGAGTATATCTATCGGAAGCTTGGCTTTAAGTTCTTGTGTTAATATTCCGCTTAAAAACACTATAATTGTAGGATCATGGGATAACTCAATGTAATGAAAACATGGAAATTACAATTGCTTTGGATTTATTATAATTATCTTAATTTAGATTTTTTTATGACAACACATTTGGTAGTATATCTAAGGAAGTGGAAGCGCACTTCGATTCTGTTTCTTGCTTAACTCTTGAAAAGGATTTGCTCCTATTAATTTCCGGTAGTTGGGATTGTAGTGTAAAGTAATATTTCGCAAAAAATTTTATTAATACACTTCTATAAATTAATTTTTTAGAATATGGCGAATCTCTAATTTATCACATATTGGTTCTTTTGAATTCAATGATCGTATTATATGTTTAGATCATCGAAGAACTAATGAGTTACTTCAAATTGCGATTGGAACTGAAGTTGGAGATATTTTTCTTTGGGACCTGAAATTAATTGATATAGATAATGACTGTATCTGTACCGAACCAAAATTGTTCATAAAACATTCAGATGAAGTAAAATGCCTTAAATTTAATAAATCATTAACAAAATTAGGTTCGTGCTATAGTAACGGTATGATTATGGTAAATGATATTGAAACCGGAATGGAAGTGTTTTCAACGATATTAAATAATACACCAAACTGGCTGTGTTGGCATGGTGATTTAGATGTATTGATGTGTGTCAATGATAGTGGTACCATTTTTATATGGAATTTACTTACAGGCGAACTTGATTACAATGTAGCAATTTCAAGTGGTACATAAAATTGTTTAAATATTCAGATATTGTTTTAATGCATTTACCTAAACTCTAATAACGTACATTTTCAGGTCCTCTATCTTACATAAATTACTCCGAAGTAAATAATTATGTGCTGACGGGTGGTAAAGATGGAAATGAATACAGAATAAAGTATTGGTCCTTTGTTTAATTTTAATATTTAAGGAATTCAAAAATAAGTTGAAATATTTGATATGTGTTAATCTCGAATTTATAGCTAGAATTTTTGTAATTTAGTAAAAATATATAATATTTAAATATGTATACATTAACGTATTATTAAGAGAAATTAGAATTTTTGCTAGTAATTCTATTTACTAGGTGGAGGTAATACAAAACACAATTTATATTCCATTATATAAAAAATATGTACATATTAATTTTAACATTTTAATATGTATTTATATTCTCATAACTAAGTGCATTATTTGTAACAAAATAACAATGTACTTTATATTAAATAAAGTTAAAGAAGTAAACTTTAAGTACTTGTTTTTTGTACTTTATTAATTTTAACATTTCTAAATAATATACATATACAATATTTTTTTATTCTTTAATGTTATTTAAAAATGTCTGTTGTCAAACCATTGATAACGATCCTCTCTAGACTCATCAAGCAAATATAGCTGGCAACGATTATTAAACCTATAAAATTAAATTTCCATTATTGAGTTATTAAAAATATTCAGATTAACTTTCTTTAATCAATAATGTTTTTCAAGGAAAAACTAGCTTATTTTCAACACTATAAATTCTTATATTAATGTAGCTACTTACCATTGAACGCATCTTATAACTGGATATTCTTTTCGAAAACATTTTGGTCTATAAACATTAAAATATGCAAAACCAACTTTATTAGAAACAAAGCTATTTACATTTTTTAAACAAACATAAAAATCTAAATCACAATCACAGTGCGATTTTGTGAACATTCCATCGTTATAAAGTCCATATTTTCGTGTTCGTGGTGGTATTATATCAAAACAACGATCATGATCACGGCAACATAAATCAGTTCTGAAAAAAATTCCAAAAGTATTATCACTTGGCGCTTTATTACCTGGCCCACACCATATTGTCCCAGGAAAAACGGCATTAGTTCTCAATTGTGCTGAATGACCACTATAGTAATTTTGAAAAAATTCAATATCTCTCATAGTTATTCCCGGTGAAGAATAATCATTTTGGTCGGTATTTGTTGAATCAGGTAATGATAAAATAAAAGGTTTTTTATCATTATCGCTGTATTCTTCAGAGTCTTCTAAACTTAGACTATCCTTATGATTTTGTAACTTTTGCTTAAATTCCAAATATTTTTCATTTATATCTCGAACATAGAAATTTGTATCAACACTTTCCATATTATATTCATCTTCTTCTTCAAATTTTGCATCAGTTTTGTCTGATACAATATCATATTGTGCAATCTTTATTTTATCATCAGGTTGTTCAATATCATGAAGTGGATAACTTTCAAAATTAAAATTATCTATTTTTAAAACAGGAAACTTATAATACTCTAAAATTAAATTAAAAGAAAAAATTTTCAAATTGTAATTTTTAATAATAATAAATTTTTAAATATACTTCTTCGGTCGTATTGATATATGCCAGGAAAACTAAAATTAAAAAATTTATTTTGAGTCTTTTCTTCGTCAAAGTGCTGTAAAACAAATAATTATAATTAAGGTATTAATAAAATATTTAATATACTTAAATTGAATATTTAATTGTTATAATTAATTAAATTGAATATTTAATTGTAGATATGTGTGATGAAAATAAATTTTGTCAATTAGAATTACTAAAGTTCTTTCATTATTTCAAAACTAGTGACTAAATTTTGGAAACAAACACACTTCTAAAATGTTCTTACAGCCTTTGAATCTAGGTATTATATGTAAGTGTACATAATAATTGAGATTAGATATTTCTAAACTTTTAAGAAACCACTAAATATCTTTAGAAATTAGTTATTTAAAAAAAAATTTTTATATTTTGTTGCTAGCCTATAATAACTGCACTTAAAGGCTACTTATTACAAAATCACGCATTAAACACAAGTATACTCATTAAGTTAATAGTAGACTAATATCATTTACAATTATTTACAATTTCATAAAACACACTACTATTATTTATTTAATTATCTTATAACTATATCAGCTATCATAATTTTTTCTTCTCCGTAGACTACAGTCTATAGACCATACACATATAGAAATAAAATTTGATTCGGTAATTTATGCATACCATAAATTTTAAAAGAAAGACAGAGAGAATGAAAATTTATTTAAAAATAATATTTCTATTAAATTACTTACATTTTTCGATTTATTTATAAAATCCTTATTATTTTGATTAAAGTTAATTTCATTACTTAAATTATTCATATTATTTTTAAAATAATATTCAATATATTTATTAAAATTCTGTGGAGATGCATTAAAATATTGGTTGTTTGATTTTTTATTTGAATTAAGAAATAATGTTCTTGGAGATGATTGTAATATTAATGAAGTTGATGGTGCATGGGTTGTTGTAATTTTTGTTTTATAATTAATTAATTCATAATTATTAGTTATTTTTAATGTTGTTACAAATTTAATTTGATTAAAACATATTAAATTACTTTTAAATAATAAAATAAAAAAAATTAATAAATTTTTTTTTATATTAGTTTTTAACATTTCTTATAAACATTAAAAATATAATTAATTTAATCAATTTGAAGTAATAATTATTTTTATACCTTGTGTATTCCATCAAGACAAAATTTTAACTGAACTAACAACAAAAAAACCCGAAAAATAATTTGTATGGTTGATTTGATAATAATGAAAAAATAAAAAAAAATTTAAATCATTTAAAGTTTATTTACTTTTAGAACTTGTTTTACTTTATTTTTTCTTGCTTTATGCATACATACAAGCTTACATATTTTTATTTATCGTTATTGTTTTCCGAATTATTTTATTACCAATTTACATTTTATATACCATGATTGAGTGTAGTACTTTTAGAACTAAACACATTTTATTACCATTAAAAACGAAATTTAAAAAATTTGGTATTCAAGACCCATCTCCAATATATTTTAAGAAAAATAACAGCTTATATTTGTTCTTTTAAATTATGCTTTATATTTTCGGTAATTTTATAATATTGGCCAATCCTTTTTGATTATAACATTGTTCAAAGCAATATAAAGATATATTTTAATTTTATTATAATATATTTAATGCAAATTATGGTATGAATATTGATATCCGTAAATAACAAATATACACACGTACATATTATAATGTATTTGTTCTTAAAAATTTTTAAATTTCAATATTCTATCATTAACCTTCATGTTCATCATTGCCATCGTAAAATAAATATAAAGCAAATTTAATTAATTACAATTACTTATAAGGTATTAATTATTATGATGTTTTCTCGAAGATTAAAGTTCTGATCAACTTAATATTAACTTCGTTAATTAATTAAATCAATAGTTTTTGTAAAATTTTAGGTTTAAAAATTCAGAGAAATTTTTACCATACAACCAACATAATATGATAAATAATAAATTTAAGATAAACAATTAAGTAATTTTAATTAAAACATGGATGGTATTTAATTTTAGATTTTTTTTTTCATTTTAGCAATCAACTTCTAAAAATTTCATATTTCTAAATTTCACTTTATATAAAACTAAATTTACATAATTAAGATTAAAACTATATAATTAATTTAAAAAAAAAATTGGAAAGCTTTTAAAAATTTCTTTCTAATCTTAACATTTTTTCTTCCAAAATAATAAAAGTTTACATTTTTAAAATATTTTACCGATATTCAAACAAACATAATTATTTTATAATATGTACTTAAAACAACTTTGTAAACACCAAAATAAAATTCCATATTTTTCATTTAAGTAACGTGTTCTTTTAATCATCACTCATCAACATACGGTAGTGAACTAAAAAAATGCGTTCAAATATTTTTGGAAATAAAAATTTATTTCTGTTTTTGTCTCGAATTTCCTATGTGCTATGATATTGAATAAATTTTGTTAATTTAATTTTTGGAAAAAGTTTTTTTTCTTATACGAAATTGCAATTTATTTTACGTATGATGGTTCATAAGTCTTTCGCTTTGTATGAGATATAGTTAATTTTATAACAAAAAATGTTACATAACTATTGTACTTTATTTTCGAGTTTCGAATTTCGAACTTTGAAATTGATAGTGATATATATCGTAAATGTTTGAAAAACTTTATTGTATACTTGAATCATTTCTATGAATTGGTTTGTGTTTACAATAATAATATCGATGTTTTACGATCATTTTCTCTTCAATCATTTAGTGATTTATCGACTGTACTCAGAAAAATGCTCCTGTAAGTATTTCAGATTTCAAACATTATAAAAATAATATCTAATTAATTGATTAAATAAACGGTATACTCCTTTGCACACAAACAGTCAAGTTTTTTTATATTTGAATTCGTCAAATTTTTATACATATCAAAAGTTTGTTTCGTAAATATATATTCCGAACGTAGTACAAAATAAAAAAACTTCGAAAGAGATTTAATGGTAAGTAATAGAATCTAGTATTTTTCGAGAATATAAGTATGTAAATGCTGTAAATAGAAATTTAAGAAATTTTGCTATTAACTTATTCATTAAGACTAAAGTAATAGATTAATGAAATCATACTTGAAAACAAAAGTTATTTCGTACAAAGCAGACAGAATTAATGTCCTACCTATATATTTAGAAATGTATAAATTTACTCGTATATTACTACATATATGTATATATTAAGGTGTACTTTACTTAAGAAAATAGTTTCCTCAACATTCAATAATAATGATATAATGAAATAATTTCTCGAAGCGTTTTTTTTAATGGTATATGTTATTTATTTCACGTTAAAGATTTTCTTATATTTTTCTATTATTTTCCGGTCTATTGGTGAACCATATCTTATGATAGGGTGTTTAAACCTTCATTATAGCGAAGTTACATTAAATGTACATAAAAATTTTTATCAAATATACCTAAACACCCGATTTACTGAGTGTTATTCAGTGACGTTTAATCTGTTTTGTTTGCAAATTTCTTTTTTATTGTTATGATTGGTTTCGATTTTATTTTGTGTGTAAAAATCAAAAATTTAAAAATTTATGATAAACTAACAAGTTATGCTAATTATTAACATTTGAATGCTAAATCCGAAATAAAACTACATAAATATGTATGTATGTACATAAAAAAATTTTATGAAAAAGTGAAAATTTTGACAATTTCCTTCTTATTATATACTTTATGTATGCTAATTGAAATTGCTTTGTTCGCTTAATACGTAGTTCACTAATTTTTGATTTATTGTAAGATGGTAAGTTTTTTTTTTCCTGAATTCTTCATCTTCACACTTTCTTCGTAACTTTTGTTGAAATTTCAATAACTAAAAAAGTAATAAAATAACAACAAAAGAACATTTTAGTAGTTTTTATACAAAAATTTTTTTTTATATTATACAAAGTACTTGTAAATCTTCCACTTATAGATCCAAGCAGTATGGATGGATACACTTAAAGACGGCAGATACTTGTGTTTTTTGAAAAAACAAATTATTAATTTTTTTTATTTCATAAGTTTCCCAATAAAATTTTTAAACCCCTATTTTTCTGCCTAAAGTCTTATAACTTTGTATACCACAATTTTGAACCAAACTCGCCAGAAATTGCTTTCTTAACATACTTAATTTAAATTTTTGATATGCAGGTATGGATGGATACATTAATATGTACATATGTATATGTATGTAAGAATAAAATAAATTCATTTATAAATTTATAAATTTTGTTAATGGATATGAAACCTGGGCCTGAATCTGAATATGAGAAATGATTTGATAACTGACCCAATTTTTAATATTATGCTAAGGCTTAGAAAAAGACGTGTAATCATTTAAAAAAGTAAGGTCGGACATGTGATAGTGCTCTCCAGATCTTGTTGGAAACTTCAGCTTTGTTTAAAATTGAAATTTAAAGTTTTTTTTTTACAATTTAAAACCATTTTTTTTGCAAGATGAAAATTTTTGATATTTTGAATATTGTATCCTTTGACATACGAGTACTTATATGTATATAACATAATTTTTTAGTACTGTGATTTTTTAAAACTATAGTATGATTTTAAGAGAGTATTAATTTTTTATTAAACATCGTCTCTCCTCCTCACATTATTATTTATTTATTATACCATCATCAAGAAAAAAATTAAAGAATCGAAAGAGTAGAGAAATGCAATTATTTGAAATTTATGATACGCGTACGCGTATCGTATTTTATTTTTACAACTTTGTTTCTCTTTAAATACAACCTTAATTTCTCTTTTTATTTCATTAAATACTAAATGAACCAGTATACTCGAGTCTCGAACTTGATTAATAGCACGTCAACATGCACTTGCATTTACAATACGATTTATGCTGTAAAAGTCGAGAAAAGTACATTACAAATTAATTACGGTAAAAGATTTTCAATATAATATGCTGCCTTTCAAAAAAATATATTTTTGAGTTCTCTTTTTATATTTTAGAATCGACACCATTGTGGTAAGGAAGTTCTATTTTCTCTCTTTTCCTTCAAAATCATTTTGTAATGTTGAAATTTTCAATGTGCACATACATATTCTTGCTTATATTTATATAATGTATAATAAGGTCCATTTTACAACTTCGATTAGACCACAACTATACACGAAAGTGTATAGATATTACGTATGTGGTACAAATACTATATATATGTACATATGTATGAACCATTTATGTTTGCTTACACATACAAAATGTTTGTTTGGCTAGACACTAGGTCATTGACACTAATATCGTTTCTCTTTTCTTTCATTTCTATAGATTTTTTTCTCAAAAAACCAGTGTTAATTTAAATATCGTAATACGTATTAGTTTCGTTATACTTAATTAAAAATAATTTTTTATTATTTTTATATACATACATATATTTAATATGTTTGTATACGCAAAAAAATTTACAAAATATGTACATATATATTTACGTAAATATATTTGCTATATCCCATTGCAAATGAGAAAATTTTATTTTTAATCTCTCATATCATATTAGAAAATTCAAATTTCAATTTTAATTTCTATGTCAATATACAGTTATGACGTCACTATCACTGTATACTGTTGTCTGTTGTTTATACTAACACTAGAGCAGTGCATTTATTTATATAGTATGTATAATTCGTATAGTATGTATAATTATGTATATTATATGTATGTATATAATTATACATAGTATACTATATAACATACATACATATAATGAAAATACTTAAGATTTTTTGAACATGAGCTTAAATTCGTTTAAGTGGAAATTAAATCACCAAAAAATTAAATGATTTAAAGAAATATTATTATACCAAATACTACAATACAGTTATACAGAGTACAGAAGAACCTATACATATTTACATAATATACATACATTTATTTATATATATGTACTTACATACTGCACATAAACATACATAATATGTATATACTTATGTTTATATGGACATACTTATACTGTGATTGTGTAGTACATTTTTATGCAACATTTCTAGCTCCTACTCATTTCGAATTTTTATTTTAAAATTTTAATCTTGTTTTCTCTCTTTTATATTAAAATATGTTAATAACTATGGACTATCGTTATACTTGTTTTTTTATTAATTTTATATATACACAAATATGTACATACATATACATATAATATAAGTATATCTTTATGTATACATGATTTAAATAAATAAAATATTACTTATACTTTATTTTCTATAAATTTTTGCTCTTTTGTATACTCAATGTTTTCTATTTTATTTTAGTCTCTCTAAAACCGGCGACTTACACACATTATTCAGCATAGACGGCAAACTAAATTATAATTAAATTTTGTTTTTTTTTTTACAATATTATTTGAATTAAAATACTAAAAAAATCAATTATAAAAATGGATGTAGATTTACTATCATTTGAGAATCCAATTTTTAAATCTTATGTTTTTTGGTCAGCAGTTTTAATTATCAAAATGTTATTGATGGCACCTTTAACGGGTTTCCATCGTTTTAGAACACAAGTAAGTTATAAAGAGTGAAAAAATAAAAAAAAAACAGTAAATTAATTATTAAAAAGTAAAATGGTGGGAGATTTTTTTTTTTAAATACTAAAATAATAGGATAACATGCATACGTACCATAAATACTTATTATGTTTATTAATAATAGTAAAAAAATTTTTGTGAATTTTAATTTTTAAAGTAATTATGTAGTTAAAAGTATGTATTTGTGTTTCTTAATTATTTTATAATGATGATCAAATCTAAGAAATTTTCTAGAACTTCAAACAAATGTACATTACAAAATTAACATAACTTTAGACATGAAATATGTATATTGAATTATAATTATTAATATATTCAAAAAAGTGTAAATACAATTAAAAATTAAAAAATATTTGGGTGGACCATTTTATTTTTTATTACGAATAATTAATAAACACAAATACACAAACAAAAAAATTTTAGACAAGCATTTTTTTACGATTCCGATTGGTTTTGATTTCACCAGCTATTTTATTGTTTCGCAAAAAAAAAACTTAACTTTCTATGACATAAACATACATACACACATAATGACATCATATGATTTCCATTTTATATTTCAAATTAACGGAATAAATTAAAATTTTACTAATTAATTACAATTTTTGGTTGTAGATGTTAGAATAATTTTAAAGCGGATATTTAACCTAAATAGCATTATTTTTAACCTGGGTGAAACTTATTAATTTAAAAATATTCTAATATAAAAAAAAATATTGTATAACTAGATCCTTCCATGTGTTGTGCATATTGAATATTGCAATTAATAATCAATATTGAGTAGGTCAATACTGGGATACTTTAATTGTTGCGAAAAGTAAATTGCAAATTGGTTTACATTTAGAATGAATCTCATAATAGTTTTTGCTATTTAAATTATTCTTTTTGTAATATTGTATGCAGTAGTAAAGTAAACTACGGACTTTGACATTCATGAACAAAGTTTGCGACTTTCTCTATTCCGCTGCCCAAAATTCTTGTGTAAGGCAAGTTGTTATGTCCTAAATATTAAAAGGCATCCCACATATCATAAAAATCAATTTTATCTACAGCCAAAACATAAATTTATATATGTACATATTATATGTACATATAATATGTACATATATAAATTTAAACTCGCTGTATCTTAACTTGTTTACGTTACTATACTGAAAAAAATAAAAAACTATTTCATCAAAAATAATGCAATATCATTAAAAAAATTGAATGTTGTCAAAAAAATTAAAATAAATTTTGTATGTAGTCAAAAATATTATATAATATTATTTATAGAAGAATCATAATCTATATAATAAGATTATTGTTCTTATCAGTCTACTATATAAATGCCTAGCTTTAATATTCGAATCCAAATTATATATATATATATGTAGGTACATAAGACTACTTACATTTTGTAGATATTTTATACTTATGTATCTTATCATGAATTTCTATAACGCCATATCTATTATGGGTACATGATTTTAAAAAATATGTATATTTTGCTCGTATAATTGGAGATAAAATTCTTTTGATATTAAAATAAACAATTTATTTCTGAAAGTAATTCATAGAAATTAAACTCGTTTATTTTAGTTAAATAATTTAAAAATTAAATTATTTCAATTTATCTGACTATATATTAATTAAAATTCATTTTATATTAACAATTTTTTTTTTTGTAAACTACCGCAAATGTGGAACATAAACCGGTTTTAAGAATAAGTTTTTTTATTTTCATATTTTTTATTAATATTTATTTATTTCTAAAGATTAAATAGAAACTTAATAAAAATGCAAAAATTATTTTTGCATAAATGTACGTACATATATGCATTCGTGCTACATCCTATATATATACTACATATAAAACTATGGCGAAACATAAATATGTTTTTTTCTATATAAAGTATATTAGCGCAATTTTTAAATTAAACTACATATTATTTACAATCCAATTAGATATTATGTACATATGTATATATATATTATAGATATAGGATTAATTATAATTATTTATAGTACTAAACAATTTGATACGGAAACTAAACATTGCTACACAGTAATGCTACACATTCTTTTCAATGTAACTTCCCCAAAGTTCAAAACTTCTGCTTGTTGATTTAGTTTATGGGTGGAACGTTTTTTTGTATGAAAATCTCATTTTATAAAAGTTAAAATTAATTAGGTACATAGGTATAAATTTTGATACTAAAGATTTAACCTATTTATTAAAAATTTAAAATTATTTACTCCTTTGGAATTAAGACTGTTATACGTTCAGAGTTTCATATTTCTTGAAATGGAAGCAAAAAAAAAATTATTTCGTTATTTCTATCGTATTTTAGAATATTTTAGTATCTCTTAATAGTCGGTTAAATGAGTAAAATAAGCATAAATAAAAATATGATCTATTAATTTAAAAAACAAAATTATAATAACTATTATTTATGTTATTACTTATGTATATATGATTTACATATAAATATTTGTATAACTTTAAACAGAAGATTTCCTGAGTATTGAATGTATTTCATACATCTTATATTATTAGTATATGTACATTTATATTATAAGTATATATATATATATATATACTAAAATTTAAAATTATTTTATGATAAGTAAAATAATAAACAACACTTATGTATGTATATATGAATGTGTATATGTATGTGTGTAATTAACAATGTGATTATGATTAGAATACAGTATTTCCAACTCTTTATTGCTCAATTTACCACCTTTAGTTCAAAAATTGCCATTTTTCCCCTTTCCAAACCCTATTTTCCCCATATGATTTCCCTTTAAGAAATTTTTATTTATATCAATACATCTAGCATTGTATTTAAAGGAAATACGTATTTGGTAATTTTTTTTTTAATTGGATAACTTAGTAATAGTGATGACTTTAACAGGTACTTTCAAATTTTAATATTAGTAATATTATATCAGTTTAAGAACTCTAAAATAAATAAAAGGGCTTCTTATTTTCGTACAAGTGTAAATTGCATTTAGTCAAAAATAAAAAAAAATAAAATGTTAATGAAAAGTTTTCAATGAAATTTACGACTATTTTTGGCCTTTTTCCTTCAATTAGGCTTCAAAATTCTCTCAAAATGGGAAATTTCCCATTACTTGGCAACACTGCAGAACAATTATAATGATAGAATAGTACATTTATTTATATGACCAGAATTTATCAAAATAATTTATGCTCATATGTATATAAAATATGTGCATACTTGACGATTATTAAAAACTACACAACTACATTCAAACTACATATGGATATGTAAGCTAAGGTATTATTTTGATGTTTTGCTTAGATTAAAGCCTAGATTAAAAAATAAAATTATAAAATAATTTTTCTCTCAGATTAAAGTTGATTCGAAAGCTGACGACAATAATATCATTCTCGTGTGTAATTATCACTAATTTTTGATATGATTTTTATCAGTATATAAATATACCTATGTATATTAATTGATTAGTTAATTTGTACATATGTATATTATGTTATATATATTATCTTTTCCTTCGTTTTATTTATTTATATAATATTATTTAATGCTTTATGTTTTATACCAAATTTTTCCTAGGAAAAGTTCAATTAACTGACGTAACAATGAATTGCCTCAATTGTAGGTTAATACAAGAAAAAATGCTTTGCCTCATACTCGTATGTGTGTGTTTAAACATGAAGTTTAAGAAAAATAAATGAAATATAAATCTTATACTATCACTTAACTACAAACATATTAAATTTGAAAAAATTTGCAAACTCATCCTGACTATATACATATATATGTGGGTATATTATTTTATTTGTATTGAATTTAAGAAAAAAAATGAGTTTTAAGCTTTAGAATTTAAACACGCAATATCATTAGGTATGAATAGCAAAGAAATAACTTTCAACATACTTATGTATTTATATACATATATATGTACATAATTTTAACTATGTATACACGCCATAAATAAATATATTAAGAATTTAATTTTTAAATTTTTAATGAAATTAAAATTCAAAACTGTTATATAGTGAAACAAAACCAAATTAATTTGCATTCGTATATTGAAATCATATCTGTTCATATACTTTATGTCAATTAAAATCAAAATGCCGGTTTTTTGAAATATTTTTAAAAAAGTTGTATTATAAACACATATGTATGCTTATATACATACCTATACAGAATTAAAATAAGAGAATATATTTGATAGTGCTAAAAATGAAATTATTCTGAAACTGACACAATTATGTACAATAAATGGCTCTCAATTTAATAAATCGCATGAGCAAAAAAAATGAAAATTCTCTTTATAACTAACGAATAATTATTACTATTGTTACTATTAGCTTGGCATTATATTATATTATTATGCACACTGCTCATGTACATGTAAAGAAAGAAAATGTGGATATGCGAAAATGTACATTTGTTCATAAATTACAGATGTTATTCAATAATGTAATAAAGTAAAAGTGATAAAAATAGAATAAAAACAAGTAAAAACGTTTCAGTCGGTATAAACCGATTGAATTATACCCTGCACCTTTCGTTATTGTGTAGCAATTACTCGAACCTGTGAAATCATTCTATAGAAACTTCACGGACATGTCTGACCTATAATTGGACATCCGACTGCCAAGTTTCATCAATCCGACCTTATAATTTTTCAAAATATTTAAAATTAGCTTTTGGAGTTGTATGATAAGTACCTAAACCTGTCAAGCAATTCCATCAAAACTTCACAAATATATCTGATCTATAATCGGACACACAACTGCCAAGTTTCATGAATCTGACTTTATTATTTTTCCAAATATTAAGAATAAGCTTTTGGACTTGTATGGGATCTACTCGAACCTGTTAAGCAATTCCACCACAACTTCAGAAATATGTCTGACTCATAATTGGACACATGACTGCCAAGTTTCATGAATCTGACTTTATTATTTTTCCAAATATTAAGAATAAGCTTTTAGACTTGTATGGGAGCTACTCTAACCTGTCAAGCAATCGCACCAAAACTTTAGAAATATGTCTGACCCATAATTGGACATACGACTGCCAAGTCTCATGAATTTGACTTTATTATTTTTCCAAATATTTAAAATAAGCTTTTGGGGTTGTATGGCAGGTACCCGAACCTGTCAAGCAATTCCTCCAAAACTTCGGAAATATATTTGACCTATAATTGGACACATGACTGCCAAGTTTCATGAATCTGACTTTATTATTTTGCCGAATATAAAAAATTTGCTGTTGGAGTTGTATGGCAGCCACACGAACCGGTGCAGCTATCCCATTATAATTTTTAGAGCATGTGTAGAATATAATTGGACACATGTATACAAAATTTTATATTTATAGCTTTATTAGTTTTTGAAATATTTAAAATAAACTCTTGGAGTTGTATGGCAGCTACCCGAACCCGTTGTCCGACTTAGTCCAATAACAATAGGGTTCGTCCTTGGCACAAAAGAAAAAACTTGTGAAAGTTTGGTGTCGATTGCATTATTCGTTTTTGAGTTATCGTGCGATCGGACGGACGGACGGACGGACGGACGGACGGACGGACATGTCTAAATCAACGCAGAATTTTACGCTGAGCAAGAATATATATATATGTCCATACCGCAGATGACTCCTTCAAGTAGTTACAAACTCCATACCAAAGTTAATATACCCTTCACGAAGTGCAGGGTATAATAATGTATTTGCTTATCACATGGGAAAATATCTTTACATCAATATTTTATGTTGGGATATTTTGGAGTATTTATAATATTTTAATTTTGAATTAAATTGGAACATAATAAGAACACACAGTACTATTAATCCCTCAAAATATTTACATATCTACATTTGCACATATTTGCACATAAAATCATTTGAATATATAGTGATTATATTATAATGGATAATAAATGTAACATATTTTATTATTTTGTTAGCTTTCTTATATAAAAATATAATTGAAAATAAAATGATTTAATTAATCATAAAGTTGTTTAACATTTATTAACATTTTGGAAATTTTTTAGAACTCAATATATACATATAAAGAGTCAATATATACATATATACATAAAAAACCCCAAAAAATCAAATGTGTAAATTTCCTAATTATATTCAAATTTTGCAAATAGTTTGAATTAACCTGAGGTCATATATCATAAAAACATATACTTCTTTCATTTAATTAATTTTAAAATAAAAAAAAATTAATATTGCATATTTTCATATTTTTGTTAGAATTCTAAAACTAATTTGTAATTATAGTATAAAAAGCGAGTTTTCATTTATAATTTCACAGATAGAGGTTTTACTTCCTTATAATACATTACATGTTATAATGTAATTGACAGTATATAAATTATTCTGGGCATCATAAAACAAAAAATTTCAATTCATTAACAAAAAGGATGCGATAATTGCAATTTGTATATAAAAATTTTTATTAAAATACTATTTTTTTTTATTACATATATTTTCAGACCTATATCAATAAGGAAGATCTAATAGTATACGACTGGCTAAAATGTATACCCCTAATTAATGTGCGGTTCAGATCTTTTAATAATTTTTATGCTTAAATATACCCATAAAACAAGTCATTTTTAAATTTATGATTAATTGTTTAAACAAAAATTCATGGTAATCGAAACGCAATGTCATTAAAGGGTCAAGATTAAAAAATTTATTTTAAGAATATTTAGTTTGCTAAAAGAAAATTAATGTCCATATATAAGTGCAATACTTTTTCCTTATTTTTTACAATGTTGCTTTTCTATCTGATTTTTTAGTCGTTTACAATTTTCCGACCGTTTTAATTAATATTTTCCTCTATGATATTTATATGTTATTTTACAAAATTTGAATTTAGTATTGGAATGAAAAAATTTAAATGTATATAATGTATATTTGTGTTGAAAAATTCAATAATATTTAATTGGTGTAATTTTTGAATTGAACACGGTATCTTTATTAACATAAATTTAAATTTTGTTTTTATATAATTGGATCAAAATACCATTTAAACCTTTCAACACTGTATTATTAACATTTTGAAATACAATAACTAAATATTTTATTTTTAATTGTAGTCATTTGCCAATCCAGAAGATTTACCATCAAAGAAACTTAAAGTTAAATTTGATGAACCAAGTGTTGAGCGCGTAAGAAGGTAATTTGAATTTTATATTTGATTTTTTTTTTTTGCAATTATTCATATGAATTAATATTAATTTATACAAATATTTTTAAGGGCACATCGTAATGATTTGGAAAGTATTTTACCATTTTTTGTAGCTGCTTTCTTCTATGTATTAACAGGTCCAAATGAATTTATTGCAATAAATTTATTCCGTGCTGTTGCTGTATCAAGAATTTTACACACTTTTGTATATGCAATTGTACCATTACCACAGCCATCAAGAGCTTTAGCATTCTTTACATGTTTATTAGCTACATTATATATGTCAATAATAGTTATTTTAAAGACATTGTAAAGTGTGAAATAATTTTATGTGGAAATTATAAAAAATAAGTTTTTTATATTATGTTATTTTAATATAAATCTTATATTTTAAAATGTTTTTTTTTCTTTATTATATTGTACACGTGAAATAATTGTAAATTTATATGGGTGCAAATTTTTCGTTAAGCATAGTATAAATCTATGTATTTTGTATAATTTTAAACTTGTTAAAATGTAAATTTAAGAAGGCAAAACAAAATAATGTAAAATTTTTAAAGGTGTAAGAAAAATTCCACTTATTTTTTGAATAAATTAGATAATATTTTTATAAAAAAAAAGAACTATGAGGATATTCTTTTATAATACGAGTATATGCAAAATTGTGTAAAATTAAATAAATATTATCATCCCCATCCTATAAAGAGCTGAACCATTAAAGAGCTTTATCTTCCAGGTAGAGTTTCAATAAAAATTAAATAATTTAGGAAATTATACAACAGTTTTAAATTCGTAAATCTAAAAATTTCTCAGAACACAGAAAAATATAAATATAATAGTATATAATTTGCTTTGTAAAGTTAATCCGTTCCTTTGCTACTTTTTTGCATAATAAATTTAACAATAAAATTTGAAAATCTTATATTTAATAACATCTTTATTAAAAATAGTTTTTATCTTTTTTGTTCACAATATAAAATTAAGAAACAATTTTCATATAAAAATCTTCTTAACTTGATTTCAACGTTTAACTAAATTTTAGTATCTGCTGTTGATTTTAATCCAATTTAAAAATTTTGAAACATTTGTATAAACACCAGGATGAGATGAGTAACCGCATCCATAACCCCAAGATACAATACCAACAATAATTGTTTTATTGTCTCTTTTTGTTACAAGCGGTCCACCAGAATCTCCCTTAAAAAATTTATTATATTAAATAATATTCAATAATAATTTCAATAATATAATATTTATCTGAATTATATTTACACTACAAGAATCCTTCCCACCATTTAAATCACCAGCACATAACATATTATTTTCATTAACTTCATTATAATTCAATTTATTACAAGTTTCTAAATCAATAATTACAATTTCAACTGATTTCAAAACATTTGACAACATATTAAAATATTGATTTGTTGTACCCCATCCAGAAACTTCAACTTTAGTACCAGGACTAAATATATCATTCACATCTGGTAAATTAATTGATCCAATTTTATTTGAATATATTAAATTTGATTTTAATACAATTAAAGCAATATCATTATCATATAAATCTGGTATATTATATTCTGGATGAATAATTATATTTTCGGCATTTATTCTTACATTATTATTATTATTGTTTGAAAAAAAATATCCCCATCCCCAATTTATGTATGTTGATCCTGCTTGAATTTCTATTAAATCAGGATTATTTATCGAATCTGAAAAACAATGTGCCGCAGATAATATAGTTTTTTCATTTATTATTGATCCACCACATATATGTGATCTACGATATTGGATTGAAACTAAATATTTATAATCTTTAATATTTACAGGAGTACCGCCAATTATACGAAGCTTATCTATTTGAATTGAATTTTTACTTAATTCTGTAGGAATTTTAAAACCGTATGAAACCGTTAATAAAATTATTGTTAGTAATATTCGAATGAACGTTATGAATGACATTTTTTCAAGAATACTGAGAATATTACTTGAATTTTCATTTTATTTAAATATTCCAGAAGAAAAAAAAATAATATTTAAATATTTGCAAATGTACGGCGTTATACATATCAGATATACAATTAACAAAATTTATCAAAATATCTTTTTACTAATTTTTATTATTCTAATAAAAAAAAATTAAATGAACCTTTTAATAGCAAAGTGTGTTTACAAAACAACTAAATTATATTAATTCCATAAAACAATAAAGTCATGAATGATTTAAAGTATTATAATGTGTATATATGTATGTGTGGCTTGTGTATTATAAAATTAAAATTTGGGAATAAAATATTTTTGATTCTCATGACAACTAAAATTATCTTCATGACATGACATCTTCAAACGAGAAAAAATTGATCCGAGACCTTAAAAGCGACCATTAATTCATGTAAAATAAAATTTTTGAATTATTGTTATTAAAAATTTAAAAAAATTATATTTATATTTTATTTAATTATTACATATATTATTTTTACCGAAAATTCTAAAAAATTAAAATTATTTTAATAAATTAATTATTAAATTAATTATTATTTAATTTCAAGATTTCCCTGGCTAAATTCATTTAAATGTGACTCAACAATTTCAAAGTTTATTTGCTGAAATTGACATTTCTTTAAGAACATATTGAAATTATAAGAAATTATTACAATAAAAACCGTTATTATACAAACACTCAACCAGTGATATAATGATTTATTGAATTTTATCGAATTTATTTAAAAATTAATATGTGTATACTTATAAATATTATAAAAGCAATAATAAAATAAATAAGGAGAGATTTAGCGAAATTTTAAAATTTAATTTTAATTGAAAAAATTAAATGGTCTTATATATAATACATAATATATATTTATGTGCATATATATCTATGTACATACATAAATAGAATAGTACCTCCAAAGGCCGTTCAAAAATATGTACAGTAGATACTCGTTTATAAGTACCTAAAACGTTGATGTTCTTCTTTAGGTTTCTATTTCAAATACAAATTTTTCTTCTAAATTTAAGTAAAGAATATATGACAACTTTAAATAACAATGCTAAGTTAAATAAGGCAGCAACTTCAATTTTAACAAACATACAAAATGTCCGAGACTTAACAGTACTTCCGCAGTAACATAATAGAATGACTCCATACAAAGAAGAAACACCTAGGGCTCAAAAAAGTAAATGTAGGTATATCTTTTTCGTCTAGAGTTATTCTATCACGTTACTACGGGGGTACGGTTGAGCCTCGGAAACCTTGTATATACTTAAACAATATTTAAATGATTTGCTTAAAGCAAAATATGTATCAATGTACAAATATTATTTAATGTCAAAATTAAATGTTAAATTAAAAAGTTTGTTATTAAGTTGAAAACTTTAATTTCAAAATAACTCTTATATAACTGTCTTTTCTTTTATCTGAATTCCTTATATAAAGGTTCGACTGTATATATGTATACAAAAATAAATAAGCAAATAGCTTTAAAATGTTTTGATAACAATAATTTCAAAGAGATATAAAGATACCATAAAAGTTGAAGTTAGTCAGGCAAACTAACAGTTTATATTAACATATTATATTTTAAAAAAATCTTCTAAATTCAAATAAATTTAACTACTTACATAACAAATTTGGCTCCTATATATAAAATGAGTATTTTCTCATGAAATTTATGAATTTTGATTGACAAGAAAAGTAAAATAATTAATTATTCAATTTTATGACATGAATTTTAGTGCAATTTTCACCACATATTTCAACATTTAAGTATAATAATGTGTATCGAATGTCTATTATTCAAATTTTACACCTACCTTTGTGAAAAAGAGACATACATTTTATTTCAAACGAATAAGAAATATTTTTTATAATATATGGGAACTAAGTTTTACAAATCTTATTCAATATAATATATTTGAATTCTATTTCTAAATTTCGTATTAATTTATAAGTAAGGTGGCTATTAATTAACTCTCCATTAAATTGTATTGATTTTCATAATACCTTTTGTTTATCATAAAAATTTTGTATAGTATTTTTTATTGAACAAAAAAAACTCAATATTCATTTATAAATTTTGTACTTATTTGCTTCTTCTCTTTAATTAAAGAGAATGTTAAACAAGGTCTGGTTATTATTAAGTATTTTAATATTCTTACACTAAAATAAAAGCATAAAATTAAATTATGAACAAAAGCAAATCCGTCTCACATCGGTTCAATTTGAATGAAAAGGTATAATCGAAAATGTAAAATGCTAGTTAAATTCTTTTGCATCTTAATATAAATTGCATTTAGCAAAAGCAAAAAATGTTGTCAAAAAATGTCTACATTTGTAATGTAAACGATAATGCAAAAACCAAATGTGACGTAATTAAAAATGTCAATGGCCAGTCATATTGTTAAAATTTTTTGGAAATTTTGTATCTAATTTTATTTTTCGTGCAAAATGGAAAATTTTAACGAGGATAAGTAATTTTATTTTTTGCTAAAGCAGTTGTCAACCGGTTATAAGCAAAAGTTGTAGATGAAAGTTAATATGCAAAAGTTTTTTAGCTCAAAATTATCGACTGGTATTTGACATTATTGATTACACCTAAATTTATCACACATTGTAACAGCGTGTAATATAATTCCAAAAATTAAGTGCCATCTCTTTTTAAACGTAATTTTTTATTATCATTAAATTGTAATGTAACATACTACAAGTACGTTCTTACAAAAATAAAAAAAAAATGATTTTCATTGAGAAACTGTTTCGCAAAATCTTTTAATTAGAAACTTGAACGCACATCCACACACACTATATGCTTTAAAATTTACTATATATTATTCATTAATATCCAATTTGGATTATGAATTTTAAATAAACATTTTAGGCAATTTAGACTAACGTTATAATTTTTATTTCATATACATATAATTAAAAATAATCTTATTCTCGCTATCGAATTTCAGATTCACTTGTAAAAAAAAATTTATTGCAGTCATTTTTTATTTTATTGAATTCAGTTTAAATGTGCATTCGAAAGAAAATTTAGTGCATCATATGCAGAAATAAAATGCTTTTTATATTAGTTTTAATATTATTTTCATTAATAATATTTAATTTTCAAAAATATTGGATACGTTTCAAGTTAGCATTTAAAATTCCTGGGCCATGGTTTATACCGTTTATTGGTTGTGTTCAAATTGCAGCAAAATTGAAACCTGAAGGTATAAAATTTTTAAAAATTTATTGTTCAAATTATATATACATACTAACATATGTATATATATATATATATATATATTTTATAAATAGAAATTACTGGTGTCGTACAAAATCTTCGTGAAAAATACAAGAGAACATTTAGACTATTTTTAGGACCTAATTTATGGGTATTTTTACATACACCACAAGAAATAAAAGAGGCTTTAAACAATTTAACATTAAGAAGAGCAGCAGATTTTCAACAATTAAAACCAATTCTCGGCGAAGGTTTATTATTAAGTGAAGAAAAAAAATGGATTACTAGAAGAAGAGCTTTAACACCTGCATTTCATGCAAAACTTTTACAAGATTTTACAGGAAGAATAATATTTCATGCCGATGTTTTAATTAAAAATCTTGAAAGAACTTGTGGAAAACCTATAGAGATTTCTGATATGATTTTTCATTGCATATTAGACACAATTTGTGGTAAAATCCCTTTAAACATTATAAAATTTTTTTACTAATTTGGGGAATGTCTTAATAATTTTCATCAATAAAACGATTTTAAGATAATTTGATCAAATTTTAAAGTACATCTATAGTATCCTAATTAGGTTTATAACTTAAATGTTACAGAAGTTTAAAATTAATATTTAGTTATATTTCCTTGGCCTTAAAAAATATTTTAGTTCACATGCCCTTAATAACGTAAACAAACTAATAACAATTTTTAGGTTTCGCTTTGACCTGCTTAAAAACAAATGCAATTAAAATTATGAACCTAAAATTCCTAAAATTAAATTTGTTTTCAAGGTACTATGCATTATTCATACAATCTAGACAACAATTAAGAATGCAACAAGAAAATTTATTATAAATTTTAATTAGCACACTTTTATCAATTAAATGATCAATTGTAGTCATTTAATTAAACTTTTTTTTATTTGTATATTATATTTGGGATATACACACATTTATATAAAATACGACAATAATATGTACATAATATATAGAAACTTCAATGGGAGCTGAAATAAATTCGCAAAGTGATTCTAATTGTCCATATGCGAAAGCTTATCATCAGTAAGTTATAAATTGTCTAAAATTTTATCAATAAATTTTATCAATTTAATCAATAATTATCAATATTATTTCAGAGCATTCCATATATTATTTCAAAGGATGGTTAATCCATTATTAGGGTTTGATTTTATTTTTAATCGATTAGAAGCTTCGAAACAATTATCGAATTCAATTAAAATAATTCATGATATGACTGGAAAGTTAATAAAGGAGAGACGTGAGCTTATTACACAACAGTATAACGCCAATAATGAAAATGAATTAAATGAAATTTTAAAAGATGAAATCGGAAAACAAAAGAAAATGGCAATGTTAGATATTTTATTAAATATTAATATTGATGGAAAATATTTATCTGATCAAGATATAAAAGATGAAGTTAATACATTTTTATTTGCGGTTAGTACATATATAATTAAAATTTTGAATACTGCATTAAATATATAGGGTTTTTCTTCAAAACTTTATTTATAGGGAGTTGATACAACAAAGGCTGCAATGTGTTTTGCTCTATATAATTTAGCAAAATATCCAATAATACAAAAAAAAATTTATAATGAAATTTCATTAATTAAATCAACATTAAATGAATCTACAATAACTATGGAACAAATAAAATCATTAAATATTTTAGATCAATTTTTAAAAGAATCTTTGAGACTTCATACAATAGTACCTATGACAGGCAGGAAAACAACTTGTGAAATAAAAATTGGTGATATAATTTATCCAAAAAATATATCAATTTGGATTAATATGTATGGATTAGCACATGATGAAAATTTTTTTTCAAATCCATATGAATTTGATTTGGAACGTTTTTCAAAAGATAGTGAAATTATAAATCAATATACATATTTACCATTTTCAGCTGGACCACACAATTGTATTGGTAAACGTTATTCTGAACTAATAATGAAAATTATATTAATACAAATTATAGAAAATTTTAAACTTTCATTAAGAAATCCAAATGAAAAATTAGAATTAATTTCAGAAATGGTGTTATCAGCAAGACAAGGATTTAATTTAGTATTTAAGAAAAGAAAGTGAATATGAAATTGAAAATTACTCTACTATAACAAAAACAATGCACTTTATTTTTTTATTATATAATACAAATTATTTGTAAAAAACAAAACCCAATCCTATGTAAGACTGCACTTTTTAACTATAATGAAAATATTATTTAGCACGAGTATTATATTTACATACATATATACATGATTAATGATTATAAAATAAAGTTTATATAAAAAATTTAACAAACGTACATACACAATATTTTTGGGGTTCACAATCCTATTTTCATCAGCTAACTTACATAAATTCTGTTAATGCAGGAAGGTCAGAAATAACTTCTTCTATCATGAAAAATTATTAGAAAAAATTCAGGCTATGTCAAATAAAAAAGTTTTTGAGGCGATTTTTCTCCCACATAGATTTCTGTTTTCTCCGAAATTTATGCAAAATTATTTGGTTTTTAAAAGAATTATTTCAGTACATAGATCGTTTCCATTACTTAGGCCACAAAATGTATATCTTTTATTATATGTATCATCATATGAATTAAACTCCGGTCTAAAATATGCTGTTTTGGAAACCATAGATTTAATCAACTATATTTTCTTTAACATTATATTATATAAAATTTCAATAAACCAAACTTGTTGAATAGTATTGAAAAAGAATATTGTCAAAAAAAAATAATTTTTCAAAAAACTAAAAACAAATTTAATAATTTTAATTGGAGAAAATGATAAAAAATTAATGAAAATAAAAAGAGCGTGTTGTATGGTTTTACATACATCAGGTTGATAAGATTTTCAAAAGAGACTATTTTTTAGTAATACAAAAATTAGAAACGTGATTAAATTTTTCTATAGAATATCGCGTTTGTATGTATGTATGTATTTCTATTTATGACGTATACAATAAAACCACATTCTTTTTTTGGTTATTTTTATAATAGTTTAATAAACACTGATAAATTATTTTTTTAATTTATGTACGAAAATAATCGACCCTCTATAAAATTATTTTTTACGCGTGAAATGTTAATATTAAAAAAATTACCAATTTCAAATTAAAAGTTTATTTTTCAATTTCAAAATTTAATGCATGATTTCAACACTCTACAAACAAATTATACTACTCTCTTTTTATAATATTGCTACTGAAAATGTTAATAAATTTTAACATAATTTTTAACATGTTAAAAAAATTTTTTTATTAGTATCTTATAGCTGTCAGTAATACATCATCATAGTTATATAGTTAGGATATGAGAACATTTTCTCCCAAAATATTCCTCAAATCTAAATTTTTTATTTACAACAATACAATTTTCGAACAGAAAAAAAGATTCTGTCTGTATTTCGAATTTCTCTAAATTTTGAAGAAAAGAGAATTGATAAAAAAAGGAGAAAATTTTGAAAAGAATAAATTAAAAATTAAAGAAAATAAAATGAAAAACCTAGAACAAAAATAATAACGTAAAAATGCTTCGCAAAATTGAAAACAAAAATGTCCTTCTTTTTGGAGAAATTTCATTTAATTGAGAAACAAAATCATTATCAATATCCGCCTATAATATTATTGATTGTAATTTTGTAAATGTAGTGAGTGCTGAGCAGCATTATATGGCTACAGAAAAATATCGTAAATTTTTGATCGTAAAAAAAAATTGATAACACTCAATTTTATAACTAAATCGAATTAATAAAATGAGGGAAGCAAAAGCAAATACAAATAAGTATAATATGTAAACAAATATAGAAAATTTTCTCAATTTATTTTGTAAAATTATTATATTCTGATATACATAGTGTATTCATGTACATATTATGTATGTTGAAAGGAAAAATAAGTATAAAGATATATACATATTTTGTTTTATGTTTGTATTTCCAGATGATGATCCATAACATAATATCGTATAATGTACCTAAGTAATAATAAGTAGGTAGGTATAGTAAGATTTTTTTATTAAAAAATATAAAAGAAACATTAAAGAGTTCAAACAATTCAGTATAAAAAAGTCTTTCGTATCGTAAATAACTAAATAAAAATTTCAGTGAACGTTGAAAAGAAATATTCAAAAAAAAGAAAAAAAAAATATTCTAATTAAATTTAAATTTCAAATTTTACTTATACTAAATACCAACATACATACATACATACATATAGGATTGATAAAATAAATATATTAATTCTTTTATATAAAATTGTAAGTGATAATTGGGTAATTGAATATTAAATTAAATGTTGCACATTTAAATAATTTTATAAAATTTTTACCAAACAGGTATTTTAAAAATTATATGTATACCATGATATATAATTATATACATATTTTACATTTACACGTACATTAAAATTAATTGTGAAAAAAAATTCTTACATATACCGGTTTTGTTTCAATGCAATTAAAGTGTAATTTTTAATATACGAGGAAAAAGAAGTAGCAATTTATCAACGAACTACTTCATTGAAAGTATACATATTATAGGTACACGTACAAATTTTAACCATATAAGGATTATATTCGTATATACATATGTATATGATTAAATTTTAAGAATAATGTCATAAGTTGTTAACTTAAAGATGCTAAAGATTAATATGAAATTTTCATTTAAAATTTAAAAAATTACCATAGATTAAAATAAATATTTATCAAAATTTCATTAATAATAATAAGAATAAATACAAATCTTATAAAATATGTTTTAATTAATAATTTATAATCTGGGTATCTATCATTATTTCTACTTTATGAATGAACTTTTATTATTTTTTTTTTTAATTTTTTATATAAAAATAATTTGTTTTTATTATATAGCCATTCATATACTTATAATTTATATTTTTTTTAAATATTTGTATTTCATTTCAAATTCATACATAAAACATTAGTATATTATAAATTTACATATGTAGGTATGTATAATATTAAACGTAGAATATAAATCGAACTATAAAAACATTGTGTTCAATATATGTCAGTATATATACATATGCATATACAAATATAATTCTCCATGTATGTTTTTTTATTTAATAGCACTCGTGGTAAGAATTTTCTTTTGAATTAGTTTACCTACTCATACGTATATAGATAACCACGTGTCATCTTTTTTGTTTTTTCAATTGAACTCTATATAAATGTAGAACGGTTTTTTTACGACTTTAATGTTTTTCTTTTTTAATCATATTAATATATAGCATTTTAATTTATAATGTCAAGCACTAAAGTTCTATAACCATCTGAAAATTTCGACAAAATAATTTTGAAAATCATCAACTTCCGCTCATCTGAAACTATGATTTTTTTTTCATAATTTTATCAATGATTTAATGCGTCTGCAAAATTTTTTGTAATGTATACGAGTATTACATATATTATATGTATATGTATATATATATAATTATATATGCATTTTAAAACTAACGTCATATTTTGAATTTTGAAAATTTTTAATATAAGTTATATAAGGATTATTTCTTATACTTCCGGTAAGATGTTGTAAACTTTCGTATATAAGGTGATTCAGCAAAAAGAGTACAATATCATACATATAATAATATCATCGTTTATCGGCATCAAAAATGGGTAAAATTATTACTTGGAACTAAATTACTTTACTTGCACCCTAATCTTTTTTGCTTATCAACTTCCATTTCGAAAAAGACAGAAGATTCACACTAACAAGTTGAGGACTAGTAATTAAAGTATTTTCAAAATTTGCGATTATAAATATTTAGCTCTTAAATTAAGTATATTAGATAATTTAAATAAATAAAGGGTATTTAAATAGTATATCAATAACAAATACAAGTATTGAAATTATAACTTGAATTTAATATTCTGTGTTAATTAAGATTGTAAATATATACGTACATATATATGTAAAAATTTAAATTTATTTTAAATATATCATATTATGGTTATTAATTATTATTAAAAGCAAGATCTTTATACATTAAAATGAAAAATTAACAAAAATTTTTTATATGATAATTACAATAAAATCCATTATTTATTTGTTAAGTATATCCCTAAGTATATTTTCGAATATCCAAAATTTAATTTTTTATCTTAAAATTACAGATTGCTGTTTTAGATGAAAGCAAAATTAAGATTATTTTGCTGTATTGCATTTATGAAAATCTCTTACATTTTTATAAAACATACGCACAAATATTAAAATGTTGAAAATTAATATAACAAAATGTTAATAATATATATGTACATACATATAGCTATATGTATATATCTATGTGGGTGCATCTTTTGAAAACAATACTTATATCATAATTAATAAATCATTTTTTACAATCATTTATGTATGCATAAATGTTGTGTACATGCCAAAATTGCGAATAAAATAACAAAAAATTTCTTTTACATTTACATTTTTTCTTTATAATTCGATTGATTAAAAGAAAATTCTTTTATTATAAATTTATTATTTTTCTATAAATAATTTTTATTATTGAATGACACAAAATTTCCTCGGTTAGAAACACACAAATATTTTCAAATTTATAAAAAAAAACTGTACCTAAACGAAAGTGAAACAAGTGACTTCAATATTGTACAAATTATTTATATATATACATATATATATCACTATATTATATGATGTAGATGCCTTTATCAAATAAATTATGTTTTCATTTTTTTTTCTCTGATTATAATAAAAACTATACTAGTATGTATGTGTATATTTACGAATAACAAACAAATAGCTATTTTATAATATTGCACACGAAAACATTAAATTATTTACTCGATTTATTTTTTTATTCATTTAAATCAATATTGATTAAAAATAAAAGTAAGAAATTTGTTTAAATTAAAAATTAGAATATTTGCATATACTGATTTAGTACATACATATGTATATATGGAAAAATAATAATTTCAAATTGCAAAAAATATTTCATAATAATAGTGATAATTTTTCTAAGTAAATTATATTATACACTTACTTGTATACTTACTTATTTATTTATTAAAATTAATATTTTTTTTATATGTAATACAAATGAAAATTTAATATCGAATGAAATAATCTGTGCATATTAAGGCAAACCATATTGAAAGTACACACATATTCAACCTTTAAACATCAAACTTTTTTTGTTTACATACCTGCAACTACTATATTACTTGTGCTCATCTCAACGATTTTTTACAGATTCTGTAGTACATACTGGTATTAACTCATACCAATAAATCCATTTTTATGTTTCTAGAATTAATGATATAGAATTTTCTATTCAAAAATTTCAATGAATCAATTTAAAAACATAATAAAAACAAAATTTTGATTACATCAATTATTCTTCTTTAATTAATTGTTCCTCTTATAATTTTTCGAACTTTTACCAAAATTTCGAAGCTCAAAAACATATTGCTTAAAAAATATACAAATTATGAAAATAAACTATAGGTTGTTTTTGTACGTTTCTTAAGGTATCCTACTGGTGACAAATCTAATTATAAATATTTTTTTTTCTGAAAAAAAAAAACATAAAATAATATAAAATTTTCTCCAAAATGAAACAAAATAAAAAAAAAGAAATTACGAGAAGAATAGATTTAGAAAATCTGAATCGTTTCTAAAATCTAAAATAGAAAAGGGACTCTTAAATAGGTCAAATTCTAAAATAGAAATAATATGAATGTGCGCGAGTATATAGTAGATTATTCCATATATGGTATCTGGGATATTTCGATATCATATGATATTACACTATAATAATCTACATAATTGTATGTACATATATAATACATTTAAGATTTAATAATAATAAAAGTTTAAGCATCAAAAATAATTATAAAGGCAAATGTTTGTAAAGACAAGACTGCATAATATGCAGTTAAGCTAAGTATTATTGGAACATAATTATGTACAAACAAATGTATTAATTAAAGTAATTAAAGTAAAACTTAAAGTACCAAACTTTTTGCATTTATACAAGAATTTCAAAAAATTTTGATTTTTTAAAATATGATTATGGAAATTTTAAAATAACTATTTTTATTAGAGGCAAAATCATATGCTATTTAACTGTTATAATGTATTTTTACTTAAATTTAAACACTTAAACATAAGTACATATGTACATACTCATGTAAATATTTAAAATTTAATTTTTAGATATCTCTATACCTAAATTAAATATGCCAGAAGGAGAAAAAATTAAAAAGGAACTTCCAGCAAATTATGTATGGCCAAATAAACCATCACCTTGCACATGGAAAGCAAGTGGAAATAGTGAACCAAATCCACATACAAAGCGTACATTGTAAGTTGGTATTTTTAAAAAATACATAGTAAAACACTTAGTAAAACTAGTTGTTATGTAGTTAAAAAAAACATTTTACATGTCCTATATATAAAAATTTCTCAAAAAACATACGAGTACAATAAATTACTTCCTTTTACTTTAACTATTCAAAAATAACAGGTCGCATTAAATTTGAATGAAAAATATACATAAATTAAAATGGTTTTTGATTAAAAGGTTAAGAGTTAAAATAATTTTTGTGGCATCATAAATAAATTAGAATAAATCTGATAAGAATAAATTAATAATTTTTGGCTAACGTAAATGCCTTTAATATGATATATTGTTTTTATACACAATATACATATGTATATACATATATACATGTAATATGTTATGTTTTTTTATTTTATTATACTTAAAATGTTTTTCCATTTTGTTAGCTTAACTTTAAGTAATGCGCGTTTGTTTTAATTGGCAATGTACGCAAATAAATTACAAAAAGAAAATGTAATTGAGAATTTTAAAATCTAAGTATATGTAACAGTAAATTATTTAACTAACTATATGTAAATGTGTATGTATGTATGAAGTACGTAAAATTCTTTTTAGATTTATTAAAGTTTATTCGATTTTTCCATGTTTATTTATTTTTACATCTAAACTTCTTTATTTTAGTAAACCAGAATTACATAAAACATATCCTGATATTCTTCATGTAATAGGAAATACACATTTGGTGAAATTGAATAAGATTCCACAATCTGAGGGAATAAAATGCGATATGTGTAATTTATATTAATTAACTTTAAAATTTTTCTTATAACTATTTTTAACCTAAAAATTGATATTTTAGACGCAAAATGTGAGTTTCTGAATCCAGGTGGTTCCGTGAAAGATAGAATTGGTTTTAGAATGGTTTTGGATGCCGAGGAAAAAGGAATTTTAAAACCTGGTTGTACTATTATCGAACCAACGTCGGGAAACACAGGAGTAGGATTAGCAATGGCATGTGCTGTTAAAGGCTATAAATGTCTTATTGTTATGCCAGACAAAATGTCAAATGAAAAGGTAGCAACACTAAAAGCACTTGGTGCAACAATTATTCGAACTCCAACAGAAGCTGGTTTTGATGATCCAAGTGGATTGATTGCTGAGGCTTACCGTTTGCAGGCTCAAATTAAAGATTCTATAATTCTTAATCAATATATTAACCCTGGAAATCCATTAGCTCATTATGACGGCACTGCTACTGAAGTATTATGGCAATTAGATAATGATATTGATTTATTTGTTATGGGCGCTGGAACAGGAGGAACTATTTCTGGCGTAGGTAGAAAAATAAAAGAAGCCTGTCCAAAATGTAAAATCGTTGGTGCCGATCCATATTCATCAATACTAGCCCAACCACCTGAATTAAATATCACTGATGTTGTGAAATATGAAGTTGAAGGCATCGGTTATGATTTCATACCATCTGTATTGGATTTAAATGTAGTAGATGTTTGGGAAAAAACATCAGATAAAGAAAGTTTTTTAATGGCTAGAAGGTTACAAAAAGAGGAAGGATTTTTATGTGGAGGAAGTAGTGGTGCGGCTATGGTTGTTGCTTTGAAATATGCAAAACATTTAAAAGAAGGACAAAAGTGTGTTGTTTTATTACCCGACAACATACGAAACTATATGACTAAGTTTGTGTCAGATAATTGGATGGAAGCAAGAGATTTTAAGGAAGTTCCACTAGATGAAAACAATCATTGGTGGTGGAATCAAAAGGTTGAAAAATTAAATTCTCCAAAACCTGTAATTATTTCACCAGAAACAAAAACTAATGAGGCCATAAAATTATTAAAAGAAAACAATTTGGAGATATTGATGGTTGTCGATGATAACGGGTAAATATTTTTTAACTCTAACATAATAGATACATATATTAAAATAAACTTGAATTAAATTTTGTGTTCAGAAATATTATCGGCGCTGTTACATTGGAAAATTTGATGCCGAAACTTGTGAGTTCAAATTTAAAATACAGTGATGAAATTCGATCTTCTGTTTATAAGAAGTACATAAAAGTAACTCCAGATGACATTCTTGGAAAAGTTGGACGAATTTTAGAAGTGGAAACATTTGTCGTTTTAGTTGATGATGGTATAAATTTAGTTGTTTTGTTAAATTACGATTTTAATTTTGAATTTTTAAGGTCAAATACAAACACCCAAATTAACTGGTGTTGTAACAAGAATGGATTTCCTAAAATACATTACCTCTAAAGAAAGTCAAACAAATGGTGCTTAAATAAAAACATTTCAGTACATGAATTAACTTTATATGTACATTCATTTTAACTCTAAATATTTAAATATACATAATTTTTTTCAAGAACAAATGTTTTAACTATTTTTTATTTTTAAAATAATGACTTTTAAACTCAGCGTATTATAATATGTTTGTTTGTTTAGGGAAATTTATTAAACTTTTCGCAAAAAAAATCGCATATGTACGTACATATGTACATAGTGATTAAAAAAAGTAAAAATCAAACATAAGTGTTTGAATTTCTATTGTTATTGTTTGGTAACTGAACATAAAAATTATATGTAGCAACATCAAGTGCAGACTTCTGTACAGTCTTTGTGCAAAGATACGAAAAGAAAATAGAAATCAAGCTGGAAAGGATACTCCAAGTGACCAAATCCAATTTCTTCTGCTTATTTTAATTTAAATTCTTTGAACTAATACTGAACAAGAGAGTTTATTATTCTGCAATTGCTCTGTGCTAACAACGAAAATTGTTCACGGATTTCGTTCATCTTACTTTTTATTCACTTTCAAATCGGAATGGATATTTGAATTTTCCAATGAAATTATTCATATTTTCATTTGAATTTCTGCATTTTTTGTAATTGTTAACTGAACCTCTAAAAACAAATTGAATTAAGTTTTAAATACATTTTAGAAAAAACGAAATAGAAATTATTGTGAATTCTTAAAATTTTGAAATTTATGAATACTTGAATTTAAGTCCGAGATTCTGAACTGTCACTAAATGAATTATTTTTAAATTTTACGTTAAAGTAAGAAAATTTTTTGACAAGCTAATAAACTTTGAGACAAAATTTTTATGAAAATTTAAAATTTTAAATAAAATGTGAATTTTATCGAAATGTAATCGAATTTTAAGGGCAACAATGATAACAACGACAATATTTACTAACACGATTTGTCAAAAGCAATATTTTTTTTTGAAATTTGGTGACTAATTTCTGTAATTAATAAATTATCTAAGATTTTTAAAATAAAAGTTTTCAAAAGTAGCAACCCTGATTCTGAAGGTTTCAATATTTTCAAAATTTTTCACTCAGAAACGTAGGGGTTAGGAAAGAAAATTTTACAATAATTACTTGTCAAGATAGTACTGTCAAATAAAATGAAAACGTCATCGATTTATAAAATTGGCAGCAATTTTCCTTTTCATTAATAGTTTTTTAGATATTTCATCAATACAAAATAATTAAATATAATAAACAATATTTAAAATAATCTAATATTTAAAAATTACTCTTATAAATGTGCAATACTAAATGTATTTAAAGACAAACACCGTGCTAATATTAATGTAATCAAAATTTGTTAAAATGGCACTTAAAAAGAACTTCCAGAGAATGTTTGAAAAAAACTTGACTGATTTGGTCCGTGGAATTAGAAATAATAAAGAAAATGAGGTAAATGTTAAATATAATTCATATTAAAAACTCAGTGAATCAAATATGTACTTGTATTTATTTCATTCACATATGTACATATCTACATAATATCCTTAAAGTATCCAAAAAATCAACTTTCTCCACCCTTTAAATTTTTTTTGCTTTCAAAATATTTTTATTGTTACCATAAAAGAAACACTTTAAATAAGCAATATTAAAGTATTATCGATTTTTATCTTTTTTTTTCAACTTTTGTTCTTATGCGATTAAGTGCACTTGTTAATACATTTTTAATTATCTTTTTCAAATTACCTTGGTTGTGTTTATTCATTTGAAGTAAGGCAAAGAAATTTTTATTTTATGTGTATTTCGTAGATTTATGGAATACAGCTAATTTTTTTTGTGTAAAAATTGTGATTTAAAAAAATTTCGCTTTTAATTTTAGGCACGTTACATATCTGAATGTATAGAAGAAATAAAACAAGAGCTACGTCAAGACAATATAAGTGTTAAATGTAATGCTGTAGCTAAACTAACTTATGTAAGTATGTACATGGAAAATTTATTCTATCACTATAATCCGGATTTAATCTTATGCAAATTTCTAAATTTTTGATATTATTTCTCTTTAAATTGTTTAATTTACCAAAAATGTTTATGAAATGCTATTTTTATTTAAGAAAATAGTACTAATTTAATGTCGGTACACATAAAATTACATTGTATCTTATTAGTATTTTTTTTAAATACCTACCTAACATGTGTATAATTATTTTATTTTGACATTTTGAATCAAAATTTATGTTTATGCCATATATGTTAGATGAAAGTGTTGTTAACTTTTTATTTCAAAATTCTTCAAGATACAAATGCTGGGTTATGATATTTCATGGGCTGGCTTTAATATAATAGAAGTTATGAGTTCCCCAAAATTTACTTGTAAACGTGTTGGCTACTTGGCTGCCGCTCAATGCTTCCACGCTGATAGTGAAGTATATAAAAAAAAACAAGATAATTGCAGAAGATAAAAGTTTCTATATTTCAGCTATTAATGCTAACAACTAATATGATAAGAAAGGATCTGAATTCAACCAATCAGTATGATGCAGGTGTTGCACTCAGTGGGCTCAGTTGTTTTATTTCTGCAGATTTATCAAGAGATCTAGCGAACGATATAATGACATTGGTAAGCGATAAATTTTGATTTCAATCATAGAAACTAAAAAAAACGTCAACAATTCATTTCACTAAACAATCCTTTTTGACTATTAGATGAGCTCAACAAAACCTTATTTAAGAATGAAAGCTGTTTTAATGATGTATAAGGTATTTTTACGTTACCCAGAAGCATTAAGGCCTGCGTTTCCAAAATTAAAAGAAAAATTAGAGGATTCTGATCCAGGTTAATATAAATATTACACAAAATTCGAAATGAAAATAACATTTGATAAAAACGCAAATTAAGTAAAAATTAATTTTCTATTTTAGGAGTTCAGTCTGCTGCTGTTAATGTTATATGCGAACTGGCTCGCAAAAATCCAAAAAATTATTTGTCATTAGCTCCAATATTTTTTAAACTTATGACTACATCAACAAACAATTGGATGCTTATAAAAATTATCAAGTTGGTGAGTTATAATGCGTCTTCAATTTGAATAGTGAAACAAAAACAAAATTAAATTTCTGATATAAATTTATATTATATAAGATTTTTTCCCCCTTCAACCATAATATATAATTCGTTTTTTTTTTATTTTTTTTTATTTTTATATTTTCTCTTATTAAAAAAATAATGATTGGAAACAAATGTTTATGTATATAAATTTTATATAAAACGATCGATTAAAGTTCGGAAGCCTTACCGAAATTGAGCCAGCGCTTGGAAGAAAATTAACTCATCCCCTAATAGAAATAATTTCAAGGTTTTTGTTATTTTGAATATAATTTTCGAACATTTCGAATGTTTTTTGATGCTGCATTTTGTTTTTTTTTTTTTTTTTTATTTTTTATTTATTTATATTTTAAATACACACACATCTTTTGTTGATCAATTTTAGATTGTTGAATAAAAATTAAAATTTGTTTTTGCACTGCGTTAAGTATTCAATTGGCAATTTTTATTTCAACATTGTATTTATTAAAGATTAGCATAAAATTTCGTGAATAATTCTCATTTTTACGCACTTCCACATAAATCTTTGTGTTTTTATAAAATGTTAAAATGTCTTGAATAATTCAAAATTGGATGGATTTTTTTTTTTTTTTTGTAAATTACGCAAGGTACATTTTTATAACAGTAAAATTATTGTTTCACTATAAAATTAGTTTCCATGAACTTACGAGTACTTTGTGAAATGAACACTTAAGCATAAGGACAAAAACATTTTTACAAAAATATTTTCTTAATTGATTTTTTTGCAATATTCACGCAATACGACAAAATCTTAATATTTACAAATATGTATTTTTTTTGTTTTAACAATTTTTTATGCATTTTTTGTTTTTGCTTTATTAAGCCCCTCTAATTTTTATACAAAATCTTAACAAAATTAAAACCTACTTCTGACAAAAAATGTGAGTCAGTAACATATATGTAAATCCGATTTGAATATGAATGCGTATAGGAAACTAATTGAATATAATAATAATTACTGTGAATTATGTGATACGCAACTACTTTGCACATACATATGTATGTATATAAGAGTTTTAAATATTTCCACGAAAAATTCAAAATGCAAACAATATTTTACTAACTGTTGAGCAGTAGATTTTGCTAATTAAAAAAGAAATATCAATATAAATATCACTGCATCGTAGAATATACATAAAAGATGTTAAATATTTTTTAAATTAAAATTTCAAGACATTTTCATTTCATAAAATGAAAAATCAAAAAATTTGTCTATGAATTATGTTTGAAAAATATAATTCCCAGTAATTTGAAATTCATGGTGAACTTTTTATGATCTTAAGTAAAATTGATATCGCTAATTGTAATGCTAATAAAGGTTAATGACTTATTTGGAAAATTACTTAATAGCTTATAACTCTATTCATAAATAGTTTAATTTTCTGTTTTATTATTTGTTTCCTTTTATTTTTTTATTAATTTCAGTTTGGCGCTTTAACTCCATTAGAACCTCGGCTAGGAAAGAAATTAATTGAACCTCTTACAAATCTTATTCATAGGCAAGTTTTACATTGTAAAAGTACAAAAACTAAAATTATTCTCGTTTATAATTTTTTATTTTTATAATAATCTGTAAATTACATTTCTTCATGTAAAAAAAATCTATTGATTAGGTTAAAAAAATATTTGTAATTAAGATTATTGAAGAAAGTTGAGAATTATGTTGTTAGATTCAATTTTTGCTAGTCACAAAAAATATTATTTAGAGATGAATCTATGATAATGAAATCGTAACTAAGAGTTACGTTTAATAAACTGAGAAAATTCTATTCTCCATATTAAACTTAAAATGTACCTTAATATAAGATTGAGTATATATCTTAAATTTAGAAATTTTATTAGAAACAATCAAATTTAATTTTAGTAACTAAATTATCAAAAAACAAGTATGCAACAGATTTTACGCATGTATGTATGTTACTCTTGTAAACTTGTATTAAACAAATCAATTGTTTAGATGGAAATCAAAGGAGTTTAAAACAAGTAGATAGGTCAAATATACATTGTAAAGTATGCACAGCCACACTTTTAAAATTATTATTCAATCTATTTAATTCGCTCGACTTATACCGAAAAAAGTTGTGCGAATAAAATACTTTATATATACGTTTAACACTTTAATATATCAAATATATTTTACATTTCCAAAATTGGAGACGCCAATTAATGAATTTTTGGTGGATATTCCGTCATTTAATTTTTTCTTTTTATTTAGAAGTATCATAGATTTGAGTTTTTTCTTTATTATTTTTGAAAGTTTCAATAAAAAATGTTCTCTATAATTAGTCTAAAGAAACCTTTGTTTTGATTTCTGCTAAATTTAATTACATAATTATTCTGTTAAATTTAAAAATATCAAAATTATATGTTTCATAAAAATAATAAAATTATTTAATCAATTAGTATGCACATAATTCAATTGTTAAAATAAGACACTTTTTTTTCAAAAATATTAATATTAAACATCCATTGCTTAGATCAAGCATTAAGCAATTCGCCAACAGGCGCAAAAAATATTTCATAAGTATCGAAACTCTTCGAATTTTAAAAAATATTACACTTGTGTAGGTATGTATGTAAATTATATAAATTTCTATCAAACCAAATTGTATTTTCATTAATTAAATCCATAAAAATTCATGATCAATTTCGTAAAATTTTTATTTGAAGAAGTATTAATACTTTCGTTTTAGTGGTTTTAGAAATTCAAAAACTGTAAAAAATTAAAGACGAAACTTGAGACGAAAATTTCTTTGAAACGAAAGTAGAAAAATATTTAAATTTGTAGTAGATATTTTATTTAAAATATTAAATTCAATTATTATATCTAATTAAATTTAATATTTAAAATTCTAATTAATTCAAATCCATGTAATTAAGTAATTTAATACTTGAAATGTGAGATGATAGACTTGAAATGTGAGATTTGAATAGTAGCTTTAAAATACATAAAATTCTCAACTTTCAAAAACGTTTTTTATTTCTTTTTATTATTTATTACAAAGCTAATATATAAAAAAAATTACTTTAATCATGAGCTTATTATTATTATTTATTATTATTTTCTGTTTTTTGCATCAAATTCTAAATAATACTGTAATATAACGTATTATTGAAAAATTCAAAACAAATATCTAAAAAAATATAAACAGCACAACGGCTATGAGCCTTTTATATGAATGTATTAATACTGTCATAGCGGTTTTGATAAGCATAAGCAGTGGTATGCCAAATAATTGTGCCTCCATACAACTGTGTGTGCAGAAACTACGTATATTGATCGAAGATTCAGACCAAAATTGTAAGTTTTCATTGTGAAAAGTTTTAAATTAATTTTGTAATGTATTTTTTAATTTCTTCTAGTAAAATATCTTGGTTTGTTAGCAATGTCCAAAATTTTAAAAACTCATCCAAAAAGTGTTCAAGCACATAAAGATTTAATATTAGCTTGCCTTGATGATAAAGATGAATCAATACGTTTAAGAGCATTAGATTTATTATATGGCATGGTATCGAAAAAAAATTTAATGGAAATTGTTAAAAGATTATTAGGGCATTTAGAAAGAGCTGAAGGTTCCATTTATCGTGACGAATTGTTATATAAAATAATTGAAATATGTTCACAAGGCTCATATCAGTATGTAACAAATTTTGAATGGTATTTAACAGTTTTAGTAGAATTAATACAATTGGAATCAAATTCTAAACACGGTAATTTCTTATATTTAATTTAATTTTAATTAATCAAATTTTTATTGCAAATATTTCTTCTTATCAAAGGCAAAGTAATTGCTGATCAATTGTTAGATGTTGCAATACGTGTTCAAGCTGTTCGAACTTTTGCTGTTGTTGAAATGACAACTTTATTAGATAATTTTAATTTTTCATCACCTATCAGTTCAATGTACGAAGTTCTTTATGCTGCCGCTTTTATTGTTGGAGAATTTGCCAGGTTTATATAATATTATATTAATACAGTGTCCAATATTTTTACATGATTTTTAAAAATTTATTTAGTGAAATTGAGGAACCAGAACGCGCTTTAGGGATTTTGTTACGGAATAAATATGTTCCAGGACATATAAGAGCTGTATTTATCCAAAATACGCTTAAATTATTTACAAGACTTATAACAACTTGCCTTGAATGTCAAGATGTTAACGGAATTATAAGGGTAAAGTTATAAACAATTTTTACTTCAATAAATATTTTTAGTTAAAACAAAATTTTTGTTTTACTACGGGATTCTTAGCTGTGTGAACAGGTTTATACTAAATTACAAAATTTTGTGAAATCAGATGATATAGAAGTACAGGAGAGAGCCAATTCTGGAAGTATTCTTATAAAAATGATACAAGACGCGTTAAATGGTTCATTATCATCCAAAAATAATTTCCCTTCCGTCGACGTTCCAATGACAAAAGACATATTAGGCGATCTTGATCCATTATCTAGAACAATAAGCAATCCAAGTGACGTAAAAAGCAACAATTTTTCGGAAAAACCAGAATCATCAAAAATTCCCGAGTCTGCTATAGAATTAATTCAAGAAATGGGCATGCTATTTGACGGTGACTTAAATCCTGTTGCACCTAAAGCTCAACGCAAAGTTCCAATTCCCGATGGTTTGGACTTGGATGCATGGATACATCCTCCTTCAGAAGATGAGGACGACGGAAGCACATCAAGTCAAAGCGAACTAAGTGATTTATTTGTGCCGACAACGGCCGATAGAAATGGAAATGATGACTATGATCAAAGTAGTTACAGAAGACGTAAAAATAATGAAGAGTACTCAAAAGAAGAAATAGAGAAACGTAAGCAAGTTAGGTTATTAGAACAAATGAATAATCCTAATTATCTGAAGTCTGATAATTCTAAAAATAAAAATAAAAATATAATAATAACTGAGGAAGGTACCGAAGAAGTTCCAGTAGCTGAATTAGCTTTAGAAATTCCATTAGAAATACATTGTAAGTTTTTCATAGGTTTATTATTTTTCTGTATAAACTAATATTTTTTTGGATATTTCAGCCACGAAACGATCTGATAAATACGTAATGGAATCTAATTTAAGTAAATCGAAGAAAAAAATTAAAAAATCAAAAAAGGGCAGAAAATCCAAAAATAAAGTTAATTATTCCACGTCCGAGACTGAAGAAGAAGGTAAATTTATTTACCTTAACACGTTTTTGCAAAATCAAAGCACTATTAGTTTTACTTCTTTCTGTAGCTCTTATTTATACAATTATACAATACGAGTATTATAGCATTTTATGATCAATTCACTAAAAATGTTTTTTCTTTGTTTTAGAGCCAAAGCTTGTCCATTTAGTTAATACATCAGTGGAAATTCCAGAAGGTGCTGAAATAAGTGATAATGATGAAAATGATAAAAAGATTGATCCTAATGATCCACATAGAGCTTTAGATATTAATTTGGATGATATGTAAGTAAAATCAATTAAGAATGATTTTAATTTACTTGAGTTTTTCGTAATTTAATAAATTAAATACTATTTTTTTTATATCAATTGCAGTCTTCTAAAAAATGATAACGAATTCAAAGATTTAAAAAAGAAAAATTCACGTCACAGTAATTACCATAGAAAAGAAAATAACATCAATTTCTTGAAAATAAATTCTACAGATGCTATAAATGAAAATGAAATTATAGAAAAAAAATCTTCAGATGACCGACAACATCATCATCGTCTTAAAAAGGGGAAAAAGAAAGATAAACATAGTAATAGTTTTATTAATGACGAAGAAGAAAGAAGTGAAAAGAATAATAAAGATGAAAAGAAAAGATCTAAGAAAAAATCGTCAAAACACGAAAAAGATACAAAATCCAACACAGTAGATATTCCTGAATCAAATTTGTTATTAGAATTTCCAATGTCCACAAATGAAAATATTTTAAAAGAAAACAATCATCATAAAAAAGATCATAAAGAACATCATCATCATAAAAAAGAGAAAAAACATAGCTCTAAAAGAAAAGATACAACTCCGAAAGCAGGTTATGAGGAAGCATGTGGTATTTCAACTCCAAGCAAAGAAGTTTTCAATTTCAATTGAATTTTTTTTTTTGTAATTATTGTTAAAATAAAATTCGTTTCCTTTTTGCAAAGGTTCAAGATGTTATTATTTACACAAAAAGGTGTTTAAATGTAATAAATGAAATATTTGTTATTAAACTTATTTTTATATGTATTTTATAATATTATTTTATATCAATTATAATACATAATGTCAACCATATTATTATATCAGTCACAAAGTAAAAAGAAAAATACTAACTCAATTAATTAGTTTCTTAAAATTATAATTTTACTTTTTCTTTGATTGGTAGATGAAATTATGTGGCATTGAAAAATGCAGGATAAAAGTTTTAATTGAAAAAGTGATACTATTTTTATATATTTTTTAATTCTTTTATAATCTAAACTAATAAATAATAAATATAAGAAATTTAAAAAAAATTTACAATATCTGAACTCGGAATTAAAACATACATACATTTTTTTTTGGTTAATCAAAATCTGAAAATTAAAATAATTTTGCTACTGAATAAAGAAACAAAATATATAAAAATAGAATTTAAATAATTTTGATTTTATAAAATAAAATTTAATATTGAATAATATTTTTAAATGACCTCACGTTTAATTAATAACATCTTTATATTAATTTCGAATATTTAGTTTATACGTACATAAATATAAATTTTAGATGTTTTAAAATATATAATAATATTTAAAGAAAAAACAAATCACTCAAGATTATGTTGTATAAAAAGTTATTAATAAAAGAACAAATTAATATCGATATATCGATAACATTGTGGCTTAAGCTTTATAGTTAAAATAATGTAATATAATATAACATAATTATGGAATATTAATATAAAAAATTAAATGTATAGAGATTATCAAAAATTAAAAGATTGTCTACATATATATATTATATTCATATAATATTTTTAATAATGCATGCATATATATATATATATAAGTACATATATGTATATAGAAATTATTTGTATATGCATATATGTACGTGCATATGTATGTAAGTACGCATGCACGAATAATATAAGACATATGTTAGTACTAACGAATATATTAATTTTTGGATAAAAAAAATTTTGTTTTCTCTTTTATTTTCAAAAAAAAAAATTTAATTTTTCCAGGAATACCGGAAGATAACTTCTTTTTAAAAAAAAAACTACTTACACTTTATTACAAATACATTGTAGTTTCTTTATTCTTAGACCTTGCATTTAGACCTGCATTTTTATATTTTTTACAAACCTAATAACAAATTTAAACATTAATAATATGTCGTGGAGAACAGACAAAGGTTTTTGGGAATAGTAGCGAATTTACTCGTATTCAAAAATAAAAAAAAAAAAATATTTTAATTAAAAAATTTAAAAGGGAAATACTTATGGAAATTGAACAAGTTTTTGTAACATGTACCTATATTATAAAAATATTTAATATAATTTATTATTTAAATGAAATACAAAAACTAGTTTTCGTTCGTATATTTTATTTTATTGCTAATAATCTAAAAGTAAAATTCATTTCCTTCAATTGTTTATTTTAATTTTTTTCTTTTTGTGATAACGTTGAACTTCGAACTTCAAAATTCATTTGTTGCTTTGATTTTACTAAATATATGTATCCCGTTAATTAATATTTATAAATACATATAATAGGAGGTAGATATAAAAAGCAAATCAAATAGAAATCAGATTTCAATTCGGCTGTAAATCTTCCATATGGTTTATGAAAGAAAAATGTACATATTTTTTTTTATTTTTTTTAATACTACATATAAATAATTTCATTAAAATAATATGCATATGTAGATACATATTTTATTTACATCATTATACTGAACTGACCATCTTATTATCTACGCTTTTTTATGATTTATGTCTACACCATTTCTCTTACGTACTAAAATTAAATTTTATTCTCTTATAATTTTCTTTACTATTTTATTTTTCATCTCAATTTAATTTGAATTGCGTTGCGTTCCAATAGTGGTATAGATAGAGTGTATTGTCGTGACTTTGAACTTTTCAACCACTTTTTTTTTCATATTCATTGCGAATTTTTTGTATTTAAAAAAAGCTTTCTTCAATTATTATTTTTATTTTCAGTTTGTCAGAGAATTTTCAGTTCTACCTTGGACGTTTATTGACATCCACGTGTAAAATAATAGTTTTAATATTCAAAAATTTACATTTTTGTATACAATTTTTTTATACATACATAATTTAATTCTCTTAATTTTATAGTGAATTAAGTTGAATATTTAATATTCTATTTTTAAATGGAACCTGAATATAGAAAACAGCCTAAAGGTAAAAATATTTGTTTTTTTTTTTTTTATTTCTAACATACATACTATATTATAAACATATACATATGTAAATGCGTGTATAGTATGTGCATAATTACATTTAGATTTTGTTTTAATTAATATTTATATACATTTAATTAGTATTTATGATTCTAATTTAATGATTCGCTCAATTAGTGAGTAGATACTATATAATTATTATTTAAAATAATGTTTTTCATTGAGACTCCTTTTATTTATAGTAATAATTATTTAATTTAAGGATTTGCAACAAAAGCAATTCATGTTGGTCAAGATCCAGAGCAATGGAATTCATATTGTGTTATACCACCAATAGTAACAAGTACCACATTTAAACAAAATGGGCCCGCAGAGCATAGGGTTTGTGTTATATAAAAATGTTGTTAACAACACAAATATTTTATTATTAATATTATGAAAAACGCTCAAGCTAAACAAAACAAAAAATAATAAATCTTTGTTTTTTGAAAGTAATTTATTTGATTATTTTGATAAAAAAATAAACACAGCTGATAAGCGGATAGTATTAAATTACAAAAATTAAATTTTTTTTTTCGGTAGATTTAGTTTTCGAATGTACATACATACATAAAAAGTTTTGTTGCGATGGCACTTTGAAAACTAATAAATATTTTGTTTTTCTTTTAGATAATAAGTACCTATAATGAATTAATACCTTTGTTATTAAGATTTGTTTAGAATATACTAATAAGAATTTAATGTGATAAGAAAATTTTAACAATTATGACTGTTGATTAGTTTATGTAAACAATTTAAATCGTTAAAAATTTATGTATTTAAATTCAAATTGCTCAAACTTACAATCTTTTATATGTACAATGAGAAATTTATTGGAAATTTATTTTGTTAAAACAAATAAATCAAAAATTGAAAATTTTTTAAATTTAGTAAATTTTTTATGAGTAATGTAAGTAAACATTAAGTTTAGTATAGAATTTTATTTTGATATAAATTTTGAATGAAACAGAAAGTATGTATGTATTGGTAAATTCTTAAACGTCAAATTTTACAAAATCTGAGTTGTCTGAGTTTACGGATACTCTACTACGTTTTTACTCTCAGTCAAAGTTTAAATTCTTAAACGTTTAAAAAAAGTCAATTAAGCGTCAAAATTGTAGATTTTTTTTTTTACATGCAGACAGTCTGACGTAGTAATTCAGTAAATAAATTTGATGTGTTGAGTGACTATCATTACGTTAAAAATAATATAAAAAATATTTTTATTGTTAATTTTTAATATGTAAGTATAAAATTATTTTAAATCTAAAAAAAAATTTTTTTTTGTTTTGACGTTTACGGATGATCAAAATTCAAAGTCAATTACGGGTAAAAAGTTTACTAGATTTCTGTCCGTAAAAGTTTTAGTTTCAGACAGTTTGCAGACTAAAATCAAAATTTTGACGTTAAAGAATTTGCGGTATATAGTTGCACTTATTATATGCAAATAAATTTTTACTATGATTTTTATTATAATATAAGTAAATAAAATTTGATAAAAATTATAAATAGATATTAACTATTTCAGGGTTTTGAATATGCAAGAAGTGGAAATCCAACCAGAAATGTTCTCGAAAAATGCTTAGCTTCATTGGATAATGCAAAACATGGATTATGTTTTTCATCTGGTTTAGGTGCTACAACATGTATTTTATCAATGTTTAATTCAGGAGATCATATTGCAGTTAGTGATGATGTTTATGGTGGAACAAATCGTTTGATGAGGTTTTTTTAATATTCAGAATTATTCAGAAAACTTTAGAACAATTTATATAAATTTCTTGATATTTATAATATTTTAGACAAGTAACATCAAGATTAAATCTTGAACCGACATTTTTTGATCCTACTAATTTAGAAGAATTAAAATCATCTATCAGACCAAATACAAAAATGGTATGGATTGAAACACCAACAAATCCTCTCTTAAAAGTTGTTGATATTAAGGCTGTTAGTGACTATGTCCACAATTACAAGCCTGAAATTGTTGTTGTTGTTGATAATACATTTTTAACGTTTGTATCAAAATTAAAAAAAAAAGTTCACTACTATATTTTTCCATTTTCAATTAGATCATATTTTCAAAGACCCTTGGAATGGGGTGCCGATATGGTTGTTTATTCCTTAACAAAATATATGAATGGACATTCTGATGTTGTTATGGGAGCTGCAGTAACAAATGATGACAACTTGCATACCCGTCTAAGATTTTTACAAAACGGTACTCACTAACTTAAATTAATATGTAATAATATTGAATGTGCATGCACATTCAATATTATTACATAGTTATTTATTTGATTCTGTTTTCACAAAATTATTTCATTAATTTTTCCAGCCACTGGTATTGTACCATCACCTTTTGACTGTTATCTAGTAAACCGAGGGTTAAAAACATTAGCTCTTAGAATGGAACAACATCAAAAAAACTCTGTTGACGTTGCAAAATGGTTGGAAAAACATCCTTTAATTGAAAAAGTTATTCATCCAGGATTACCGTCACATCCACAATATGAATTGACTCGACGTCAATGCTATGGGCACAGTGGCATAATGTCTTTTTATTTAGTTGGAGATTTACAGAAGTCTAAGAAATTTTTACAAAGTTTAAAACTTTTTACATTAGCAGAAAGTTTGGGAGGCTATGAAAGTTTGGCTGAGTTACCGTAAAATTTACTGAAGTATCTTATGTAACAAATTTTTAATACAAATTCTTTTCAGATGTGTTATGACTCATGCGTCTGTTCCAGCAGAAGATCGTAAAATATTGGGTATTTCAGATACATTGTTGAGGCTTTCAGTTGGTTTAGAAGAAGCTGAGGATTTGATAGCAGATCTAGATCAAGCCTTAAAATCAATTTCTTGAAAAAATTGTAAACAAAAAATTTATTAAAAAGTATATATATAGTACGTACAGACTTATAGTCAAAGTTATTTACTCCACTTAATTACTTTCAAAATTACAATATTTTCTTTAAATGTGATCTAAACAATATTATTTTTGATATGGAAAGATAAATTTAAAAGTTTATTTCTAATGTAAAATAACATTATTTGAAAAATTATATGTGCACAACACAATTTATTTCTATTACAGGGTTCACATAAAATTTAGTATTTAATCCCAATTTAGTAAATAAATAATTATCTAGATTATGTTGTTGAATTATGAATAAATTATGTGGATTTTTAATATTAAAATTTAAAAAAGTGTAATGCCACAAAAATATAAAGAATTTTTTTCAACACTTACAAAACTTTGATTTAAACTAAAATTATTTTTTTTTATAAATTTGTGAACTTCGCCATTTTTATTGATGGAAGAACTGATGATAACAAATTATTAATCTAGCGAATAATATCTTAGAAATCATGACTTTTCATTGCACTTATTCTCCCGCATTTTAAATTTCTTTGCTTTTCGAAACTTTTGTAGAACGAGCAAACGAACAGATTTTTAACAAGTTTTTCTGATTTGCGAATTATTGCGTCAAACTTAAATAAAGATTTAAAACAAAAACAAAATTTTTTAGTAATATTTATTTCTTAGATGATGTTATTGAGTTTTGTGACTGATATTTATTATTTTAAAGTGCTTTCAAGTAAAACTTTTTTAAATGTTAAAATTTTAGTACAATATTTATTACAATTTAACAATTTATTACTTTTATAGTAATCTTTTAATTATATTAACTCCCAACTTATGTTAGAAATATAAAATTTAAATAAAATTTTATTTCTTTATTTGTTTGTTTTTTTTTTCATTTATAGTTTATGTTTGTTCTATATGATAGAGAAATAACAATGGAATATTTACATATTTTTTCATTTTCATGCATATTTACACGTTTGTTTTTTTATTTCTTGTGTTTTGTTATAAAAAAGAGTATCATCATTTTTAATAAAATAAAAATATATATATTTTTTTTGTTTTTTCACAGGTTCATAGGTTTGAATATTTATATTAACTACTTTTATTTTATTTCTATTTGCTTAAAATCATTTTTTTAGTTTTTAAGTTCGATTATTAATATGTTTTCCATTTTATTTTTATACATTACCAAAGCTAAGACAGGTTTTTGTGCAAAAAATTGCTTCAATGTTCAATTAAGTTAGAAAATATCATGCGGTAAATAAAGCTTTTTAAGTTTTCCGGTTATTAAAATTTATATTGTTAACAAAATATATTTATTTTCAAAAGAAATTTCACTCCTAAATTGAATCAATTGAAATTTACATATCTCTTTAATGTCTACATTGCATAGTTTTTGTATTTTTAAATTAAGGAGCTCAGAAACAAATACAGAGAAAAATAAACTTAGGCCGATTTACATAAGCTTGAAAATTGTCTTGTATTTTGTGAAAATTATATTGTATAGTTTCGAAATTATGTAAGTTAAAGATTTTTTATATACATATGAAAAAAATATATTTTTATTGATATGGCCAATACAAATAATTTGATTCCCAAATTTTTTTTTAAATAAAAAACTATTTTTCTTAAATAAATGCCATTCTGTTTTCAATACCAAATCAACATTATTTCATGAATGAGAAAGAAATAAATTGTAAAAAATATTACACGAAAATTATTATATGTAAGTATTAAAAAAAATCAAGATATACTTTGGTAAAATTTTAAAATGTTTTTAATTGTCGTATTAAAATACCGTTCAAATTGATATATTTTAGCTGCATTTCAAAAATATACGAGTACATATAACAAATTTAATTCATATCTTGTTTAACAACATTTTGTACATATTGCAATAATACCATTCGAATTAAATTTATTTATTGATTAAAATATGTACTTGTTGAATTTAATTGCTGTACAAATTTTTATTAATTTTTGATATAATGTAAATGTATTTATTACAATAATTTAAATAAAAAAACAACATAATGGCTCTTACACTTTCGTATTTATTACGTAAAAAATTCCAAATACAAGACAACAATAAAACTTGAAGAAGATAGGGAGCCCATACATTTTTAATAATTTAAAAAATTTTTTTAATAACTTAATAAAAAATAAAAAAAATTATAATAAACATGAATGAGCATTTTTAAAATTTAATGAAATAATTTTTTTTAATAGATAAGATTTTTTTAATAATTGAGTTGAGTTTAATATTTATCTGAAAAAGAAAAATAAAAATAAATATTCTATTATGGTCAAATTCAATTGTCAAAGAGAGAACAAACTTTTTAAACGAAAAAATCTTTATATTTAATTCCACGCTTTAAATTTTTTTATTCAAATTTCACCATAAAAAAAAAAGAAACCATTTTTCGACAAAGAAAATTTAATTTTCACGTAAATTAAGTGATTATTTTGCAATAATATAACTTCTGATATAAAAATTGTTTTTGAAAGTTATACATGCCGAATTTATTTTATACGAAATCATAATTTTATTTTATATACATATCAAATTTATACAATATATTTTAAAACAAAACATTCATTTTAGATATAACTTTTACAAATTATAAAATTTAAATTCGTATTTAAAAATAAATTGTGTGCTATACATATAGAAATTATAAAGGAACAAATTTTGCATATAAAAAATTAGGCAATTTTTTTTTCACTAAAGTAATTTTTTTTTTTAAATTTTCTAATATGTGACATAAATAATATTGCATATAAATTTTAGATAAAATGTATTGATTACTTACATGCTCAAAAATTTGAAAAAGACATTATATTTAATGAAGAAAGATATTTCAACATTTTTCATAAATGAAATTTGTTCCCTTATAGCTTTAAATACAAGTATGGAGCTATAGTAAAAATTTTGATCAGTCTATAGATCTGTTAATTACAAAATAAATAAAATAATATCAAATATATATATATATGCTAAAACTGATTTTTCAGTCTGAAATTGGCCATAAACAATTTATTCAATCGAGGTAACTCTTATAAATAAAATTTGAATAAAATTTGGTATTAAATATTGAATTTACGTAAACATGAATGTGTTCCTATATTAAAAAAATATGTATAATTGTATCCTTTGCATTTTTTCAACATTGTATTTCTATATAGCTATGTACATTAGCTTTTTCATTTCCTTAAAAATTATGGCAACAAAATTTATATGTAACTATTATTTTTTTTTCCTAATTTTATTCTCGCTCATAATCACTTTTATATAATTTGACAACATTCCATAAATATCATGTTACTTTGAGATTTTTCAATTACTGGACGTTTTATATTTGTAATATTCTTTTCATTATTATGATATAGATTTTTATTTATATCAAAACCCATTTTAAATATATTTTCACACTTCTTACAATTATATAATACACTATGATGATTCTCAATGTTCATGTATTTTAACAGATGTCAATTAATACTATATTGGCTATAATTCATAGTATTATTTCCAACATTACTTCCGTTTGTTGAACTCATGCAAAGAAACGCATTACTATTTCGCATCATATGTTCAAATGTTAATGGCACATCTAATCTTTCATCACGTTTTTTGTAGTATTCATTAAAGTCCAACCTCATACCAAATAATTGCAAATTATGATCATTATCAGAATTAAGCATCAATAAGAATTGCCTAACGGCCAATTCATAATCACTTCCAATTTTTTCTAACGATTTCTCGCAAGCCGCTAAATATTGTTCAAATATTTTCTCCTGTTGATCGCGTTCAAGCTTCATTTCTGCTGTTACGCCAAACTCACCAGTTATTTCACTATCAGCAATATGTTTTTTATAAGCTTTTACTGATGCAAATTCTTTAAAACAATTTTCAAAAAATTTGTCCTGCCACACATCTAAGCGATCGATATTAACATATATTGTTGACATTTGATCATCTAAATTATTTGATTTCTCATCTAAAAATGCTCCAGACTTTGCTTTTTTTAAAAATTCGTCATGTGCCAATAATATATCGTCTAAGGCTTTTGCTAAATGAATTTTTTCTTGAAATTCAGCCCATGAACACTCAATAACTTCAAAGAGTATATAGTATTCCATTTGATGAATAAAATGTATCATTTCAGAAGTGTACAAATGAAGCCGATATAAAATCGGGTTAATTTTGGAGCTTATCAACCGTAGTTGCTGTTAATAAATAACATATTATTAATAATATGGCAAATTTTTAGTTTATTAAAGTTAAGAAGAAGAAAAGTGTTATATTTAGGACAAAAAATTAATGCATATAAGTATGTATATGTGTAAATATGCATGCATTATTATACATACATCCTTTCAACAATACAACATTGTTATTATTCTTATTAATTACATTTAGTACCTATTAGTTACAATTAGAGAAAGTACCTATGCATCAATAGAAATGAATCATTTGTAAATAATAAATACATACATATGTACATATTATGTGACACAAACTATAGAAATAATATCCGTTTGCCAAAGATTTTTAATTTTTAGATGTACATACATATATACATACTTTTTAACACCTATCAGTACCTATCAAGTCGAATGAGTCCTATGAAGTTTTTGATTTATATAAGCCAAAAAAATTTAGCTCAGTATTTGTCTAGTATTTTTAGTAAATCAGTTAGTATTTTTCTTAAAATTTCTGGTTATATTTAATAATAAATATCACTTTGATGTTATATTTCCTTTAACAAAGATTTATGTTACCACTTTAATCTCTTTAATTCAATACCATAATCTTTATCTTAAATTTTTCTACCATAATCTTTGGTTTTTAACTTTTTTCACTTAATAGGTTTTGATCTTGCAGTAAAAATATGAACAATTTACATTTTTAGAACGAAATAAATGATTGCTTAGCTGATGTTCTAAATATGACAACAGTTGGCAGTCTTGATAATGACGTAATATACTTTGACTTTTATTTTGCCAAAAGAAAACCCAACCCATATACATAAAAATTGAGCAATTTTACAATTTATGTATATGTAGAAGTTAATTTACATTTTTATGTACAAATAAATTTTTAACTATATTCCTTATCAGAGAAGGTTAGAAAAGTGTGGTGATTCAGCAATAGATTAGCATTTATTTTACAATTCGATATAGATATACATATTTTTAAAACAAAATAATCTCAGTATTAATCTATTATCAAAGGACTTTGCTTCTAACATTAACCTTAATACTTAACCTAAACTGGTTAACCTACATAAATACAAGAAGATTGGATTCATATAAATTTTGCAAGTGAAATTTTTTAATAAGGATAGCCTATAATGTCTTTAAAAAGTGATGCAGTATTTGAAAGGATTCAAGACGGGATTAAGGAAAACGAAGCCAAAGCAAAAAGTGTTAATGGAGTTTTTCAATATAAAATAACCAAAGATGGAAAAGTTATCAAAGAATGGAGTAAGTTGAAAAACGAAGTAAAAGCTAATATAAATATAAACTCATAGAAGTACATAACTGTGATCGATACTATTATTGTATGTACTCTATGAACTAAATATTAAAAAACAATAACTATGTACGTACACATGCAATTATGTATATGTGTGTACTTATTTCCATTCGGTTCATTCAAAATTAATAATTGATGCCTTATTTATCATAATTTTCAGCTTTAGATTTGAAAAATGCTAAAGTTTATGAAGGTCCCGCAAAGGATATTAAAGTTGACACCACACTAACAGTATCAGATGATGATATGGTAGATATAGCTTTAGGAAAATTGAATCCACAATCAGCATTTATGAAAGGAAAATTAAAGATAACCGGAAACATAATGTTAACACAGAAACTTGTTCCACTCTTAAAAGCAAATTCGAAATTATAATATTATTGTTTTTTAATAAAAAAGAAAAAATAATTTACACTTCAAAAAATTAAAAATTGCAATGTCATTATGGTTGAGGTTTAAAATAAAATGTTAAATTACAAAAAGCAATTAAAATTACTTTTATTAATACTATACAAGCATGTTTAATAGTTATATAAGGCAAGACGGCTTTTGTGATAAAATAAAAGCTTTCGTTAACTACATAAGAAAAAAGATTCACAAAAGAATTTAGCTGAAAATTTAAAAATTTATTCATTCTCAATTTTTTCAAAAAAAAATTATATATGTAGGTACAAATAAAAGCGAATAATATGTATATGGATCTCTTGTAACTTTCACGAATTTTCTATAACTTTTAAAATTATTATTTCATATCGTTTTAGTAAAAGATATTTAGATTGCTACACCATACATATCTTAAAACAAAAAAATGTAGGTACTTCATTATAATTCATGTAATATTCAAAGTATTAAATATAAAAAAAAAACTTAAAATTCTATGCATGTTTGTCTGAAGTGTGGCAAAGAAGATTTTGAAAAAATAAATTTTTTAGTCAAATAGAAATAATAAGGTGTATTTTGTGGTTAAAAAATAATATGTAATAGTAAAATGGGAATATATATCAAAAACTTCAAATTATCTTTATATTATTCAAAACCGAAATTAATTTTTAACAAAACGAATTTTAATTTAATACAAAATTAATTGCTCTACACAATTATGTAGAGTAATTAATTTTGTATTAAATTAAAACCGAGTTCCATAAAATTTAATCAATTAATCAATGAGATAATTTATTCGCATAGTAATTGATATAAATGAATTTTAAAAATACAATATTTCCATATTATTACTATAAACATTAATATTTTCTTGAAGTAAAAGTGATAGTTTCAGTTCACTTTCAAATAATGAAAGAGATATAGCATTGCAATCAAAGTTCGTTTTAGCAAGTCACATTAAACATTATTAAAGCCAAAGTCCATATTATATATGTACACACATGTTACATATATGTTATCTTACGTATAAATTATGAAAATATACATATTTACTTACTTTTGCATTAGACATTTGATACTTCCATATTTTTGAGGACAACAAAAATTCAATATGTTTCATTTTCCATAATTTCTTAAACAGTAATTTGTAATTATGCATTGATGGTTCTAACATCGTTTTTAACGGTCCACGTACGACGTACAGTAATAACAAATTTTCCCAACCAGTATCTCCATCATAGGAATTCATAAGTTTAACATCTAAATGATTTGAAATTTCGGAATCATCAATTGAATTAGAAGATCGTATGGCGGCGTCTAATATTGCTTGTAATTCATAACCGTGTAAATTTTTTGCTGGTTTATCCAATTCTGATCTGAAATATACAAATAATTAATTTTTCTTAGATTAGAATAAATTTCAAGAAATCAATTATGCAAATAGTATTACTTAAAATTAGCCATTAAAATTCCAATAAAATCTCCTTGTCCTAAAAGCAAATATCTTTTCATCCCTTGCAAATGAGTAAGCAATTTGTGCGGTCCCAAAACTATATCTAACACTTTCTTAGACGTATTCAAATAAACTGTGTCGATAACAGCATGCAATTTCGTATCGGCAACATTCGAAAAAATATTATCAGCTAAAATAAAAATATTTTTAATGTATATTAAATTTCTTTTCTAATATTGGTATTTGTTATACCATTAACTTCAAGACTTTGCCTTAATTCTTCTCTTCCTTTAATTGGTGCTTTATCGTCACATACTTCATATAGAAAGTTTATACTCTTGCCCGTTATTAAAATTTTATTTGCCAAATCAGTTGATATAAAAATTGGTAGCATTGCAACTCGTACACGATATTTCTCATGCCATAATCGATCTGGTCCAACATCTAATGCTTCAATAAAAAATTCATTGTGCGGATCAACAATTTCTCCTTCAAGTAACCATCTAGATAATTGATGATGCAATGGACCACAGATCGCTAATAATAAATCACGAACTAATGATCGTACTGCTGGATCTCCATTACAAAGAAATTCATAAACAGTTGAAGCAAGTATTCCACCCTTTTTATTTTGACAAGCTTCAGCTATTTTCGCTAGCCATTGTAAACGATGTAATGGATCGATTGCCCAAACCATAATTTTCATCAATGTAATACGATCACACATAAAGTTATGTTGATCTTTCCAGTTTTCAATTTCTCCTCTTCTTTGGCTATTTAACTGTTCTTGTAACATGGCGACCATACCATAATACTTTGTTAATTCATTCTTTAGCGCTGATATAAAACCTTGCCCTGTTAATCCCAAAGCGCATTTACCTTTCTTTACATCGGTATATGATTGAACTTGATCATGATAATAGCTAAAAATAAAGTAAAAATATTTTAATACAGTGTAGTCATAAATAAGTTATAGACCTTTAAAAATATTTGCTCTAGGCGCTTTTGAATCAATTTTTTTTACTTTTTATACATAATATGTTAAGTTAAAAGGAGCATGAAAGGTGTAAGTGATTGAATCAAATATGAATTTATTATGAAAGAAAGTGTTTATAGTGTACATACAGCAAAAACAACATATGTACACACGTACTTGGATAGGTTTGTACTAATATATAAAATAATTTAAGTTAATGCCAATGTGCTTTGAAAGTTGCACGTTTTTGAATTGAATCTATTATTCTATTAAAAAATATACATATATAAAATTTCTGTCGCAAGCATGTAGTTATTACAGACAAAATTTCTTTATCTACAATATAGTGTTAAAAAACAATTATACAATATAAAAAATATGATAAATAATAATTATAATGTAATAAGTTGATCTGAAGTGAAATGCTGCATTTAATAGTATGTACATATATAAAAATTTCATTTGTTTATTGCTTTGTGAGAAGGCGGTATTTATAAATTTCCAAATTTTATACATAATAATATGTATTTTCACTAAGTCTTAAAAAAATTCATAAATTTTTGAAATTGATTGATACTTAAAATCAACCTAATTTTATTTTCATTCCCAATACGGAAATTCTATAATTGGTATTTTTTCATGGATTTTTTTTTTTCTTTTGGCGAAACTTACAAGTGAAAATCAATTAATCAGAATTGATATGTTGATACAAATTTGGAAGAACAGAATATTTCAGTCAAAAAAAAATTTATATATGTATGTACACATATAACTATTATATATTTTGATTATTTCCTTTTTGTTCTTAAAAAATTAAATAAATTTGGGGATAAACTTTCCATTATTTTGCATTTTCAGTTTTTCTTGTAAAATAAAAAAAAATAAAATCGTGGTAAATGGTAAGTAATTATTTTGCTAGGTAAATAATTCATTAGTTTATTTCCATAAAGAATGCTCATAGATTAAAATACTAGATTTTATTTTATGAAATTATAATTTTTTATTAAATAACATCTCATAAACGATAAATGATCTCATGAACATCTAATTGCTTTTTTGTTCTAGCAGCATAATCCTGGTCAAAAAGGGCAATAACTGGGACAATTTTTTAAATTTTCCAAACTGAATTTTTTTAATTAAAAATTTTTTTGTTATAAAAAAAAATTTAGACCTACAAAAAAACAAATTCTTACATATTATTAATTTTACTTATCAATATCGCATTTATTTATCTTGCAAATAAATTCAAAATTCTATTTTCTGAGATTCTGAATATAATTTAACTCCACAAAATAAAATAAGCTTATTTGGTTCAAAGCTTTGCATATAGTAACGTTCTTTTAAAATATTAAAGAAAATATTCAAAAAAAAAATGATTAGTTTAAAAAATTTTATAACCGTGATATTTAGTATAGTTTTGTTCGTAACAATAACAGAATGTAAATAAATTATTGTTATATTTTTAAAAAGAAATTTATTAATTCATATTAGCTACATTGAGTGAAAAATCTAAATTTGGATTTGTATAATAAACATACATTATATAAAATAATTATACTAAAATTCATGAAAAAATCATTAATGTTTATCTGAATTTTGAATGAAAAAATTTTGAAAAAATTATAAAAATTGCAGTTTTTGTAATTTTTAAAATATATTTAAATTTACATGATTCTCAATATATTATCACCAAATTAATTAATGAGATTATTTGAAAACACTTTAGTAAATAAATATCTTTAAATTATACAACATAATTAATTTCATAAAGAAAAATAACAAGAAATTTTGAGTACAAAAGTAAAATATAAAATCAATTATAAAAATCCCTGTTTCGTTTATATTTTTTTTATATCCATAACTTTAATTAACGCCTATATCATACATAATTATCTATTACAATTAATTTTTAAAATTATATGTATACGCGTATATATATATATATTGCACGAACAATTCAAGTGTAAAGTTTTAATAATTAGTTTTGCATTAAAAACAAAAAAAAATTGCTTGATTTTAAATGTTTAAGCTAAATTTTAATGTATTATTAACCAAATTATTATAGTAATCGTCAACAGATTTGTAAATTTCCATGTACATACCTACATACATAGTTTCATATTTTTTAAAATTTACATTTTTAAAAATTATATTTAAAATTATTTATAATAATTAATACACGGAAATTTTTATTTGTTATTAATTTTTACATATGTACTTGGTTTCAAAGAAAAACTGAACAGGCAAAATAAATTTTAAGAAATAACAATTCTTGAATCAACAATATATGATATAATTAAAATTAAGGATAGGATTAAGGTATAATTATGTTCTTTGTTTTAGAAAGATAAATCCTTTTTTCATTTAAAGTTTTATTGAATCACAAAAAATCACCATATGGTTATAATTGGTTTTAACGTATCGTTTTTTACATAATATGATTTAAGTATATTTTAGTAATCATGTTACACTTCAAAACAAGTGTTTTATATTTAGTTTTTGTCTATGTTCTTCCAAAACGAAATTTTACACGAAAGTTTTCAACAATTCATTTGAACGGTCTGATTTTGACACTTTCTTTTTGAAATTCTTAAGAGTTTAAGCGAAAAGTTTAATAAAAAAAAGAGTTAAAATAAATATATGCATGCGAATAAAAAAAAAAGACAAATAATAGCTAATATGAATTGCAATGTTAAAATTCTTATGCATATATATGTATATTTATAATAAATTAATTTTAGTTTCTTTAACATTTTTATATTTTTTTAAGCATTACTTTTCTCTTATTCAAATGAAGGCCGTTGGAAAAACGCATTTCCACAATGTGGATTACAGCGTCAATCCCCAATAGAACTATGGGATTCGAAATATGTAAGTTGAGTTTCAAAAGAATAATAAAAAGGGGCGAACCATTAATAAATCAAAGAAAAAAATGTCTCTATCAATATATATATACAGATACATACACTTATAAATACGAGTACATTATAGAATAGAACTTTCATTGCAATTTTTTACTTTCTGTTTTTTAGACTATAAAACAAAATTTACCACCGATCCATTTTAAAAACTATAACAAAAATCTACCAACGCCTTTATATTATGAAAACAATGGGCACACAAGTACAAAAACATAAAGCCAGCGTAAAAAGCTATATTACATAAAATTTATTTATACTTTTTTATTATAGTAAATATACGGCCAAAAAAAACGAAAAATTTGCCAATTATATCTGGTGTACAAGTGCCGGGAATATTTGTCTTTGAACATCTTCACTTCCATTGGGGTTCACAAAACAATTTCGGATCTGAACACACTATTCGTGGAAAAAGATTTGCATTAGAAGCACATTTAGTTCACAGAAATATAAAATATAAATCTATGGAGGAGGCTTTAAAACATGATGATGGTTTTGTTGTAATAGCAATTTTGTATAAGGTGAAATTACTTTTTTTTAAATAAAAAAAATGTAATTACAATTTCTCTCTGTTTAAAGGTGAATAATTCTATAAAGTCTGCAACAAATGGACTTGAGAACATCTTAATTAATGTAGACTTTACACGAAGATTATCCCATAACATTCACACAAATGTGTCATTTAAACTTCAAAATTTATTCAGGCACATTGATCCTCAAAAACATTTTCTTTATAAAGGTGACAAAAAAAAACAATTGTTTACAATTATAAATTCAATTAAATTTTGTATTTTCCGTTATAGGATCTCTAACCACACCACCATGCGCCCAAGCAGTTACATGGATTGTTATGAGTGAAATTGAAAGCATATCTAGTAATCAGGTAAGGTGTACATCTTGAAATCAATTAATGAAAAAGTAAATTAGAAGTTAAAAAATTGCAGATGAATTTTTTCCGAAAGCTATTGGATAACCAAGGAATTTCTCTCTCGAACAACTACAGACATTTACAAAAAATAGGAAAAAGACTTGTTTTATTGATATAAAGATCTTATTTACTAATTTACTACATTAAGAGAATATATCACATATACATATATCATAACTACAGTATCGAGTCTATTTCTTGTTTTATTCGCCATATGAAATTATCGAATCAAAATCGGATTATTAAATCAAAGAAAACTGTTCAAAGTTTTTCAAATAAAAACTAAACTTACCCCAATTTTGATAATTTCAATAACATTCCAGCTTGAACAATATTTAGAGACCTGGCTGCTTTGGGCTCAAGTTTGAATTCTCCATTTATTACATCCTTTTTTAAATATTTTCCTTGAATTCCAGTAAAGGAATAAATAACATTTTGGACTAAATCGTCGTTCAAATTCGTTGTTATGCCATAAGATTTTTTTAATGGATTTTCTGTTACTGAAAAATCACTATCCGAAGGTTGTTCTTGAAGACATTTAATATGAGCTATTTTGAAATTACTTTCTGACGATGAGGTTTTGTGCAAACTTGTGCCTGATGCCTGCAAATTAAACATATTTACAATTAACTTATATTATAATTTTACTTATGATGTTTTAACTTACTTTATATCTTAAATAATTTTGAGTTCTCTCCCCATTTGCTGCTGGAGTTATGACATCATTGCTATTTTTCTTAAAGTTATTTTTAATTCCGCTTATTGTTGATGTTAGTTTACCTTTCTCGTCTAGAGCACCATTGTTAATAGGAATTTCATTTGTTTTGGATTCGGCCATAAAGTATAAAAATGTTAAGAGAGCACTTCTTTGTCGTTGATCTGATTGCTATAAGGGATAGTGCAAATAAAAATTTTTAAGTATCTTATAAATTCTTTGGACAAAAAAAAAATAAAAAATTAATTAATACAAAATTTATTTATGTTTAATGGTGCGTGACACTCTCTTTATGTAAAATAAAGAGCAAAATCAGGGTGTGTAAGAATGTATTCTTTTTTTTGCTTTTTTTGTCATTTAATACCTTAAAGTTTTTCAAGAAACTAATATTTTCACCAACATGGGAGAAATAAAAATAGAAAAGTTGCAGCTGAATCTGCTCTTTTTTCCTGTAAAATTATCTTTTCTTATGGATATCACCTAAACCGAAAAACTGTTTATTACTTATCTCTAATATAGTTACAAAAATATACATTGTGCATCCAAAATAGCACAAATGAATTTTAATTTTAAACTTTTACTATATATGTACATATATATTTCGTCTTTCCTTTTTTATATGAAAATACCAAATATGTATAGTTTAAGTTACATATTATATTATCAAAAAATATTATTATTTTTAAAACTTTATACTTACACATGCTTTTAGTTGTTCATGTAAACTATTAAACAGTACAATATCATTCGCGGATTTGCAATTATTTGCCAAATGTTTAGTAATTTTTGACACCAGAGAACTTTCATCATATGGAAGAGAACTACTTCCAAAAGCTGTTGGACAATTTGATATGTATTTTGTTACATTTCTAAGAGTTTCTTCTGTAATACCAAAAAAGATATAATGATTTTATAGCACCACAGTTTACGGTATATGGGTTATGTTGAGCAAAAATAACATTTAATTACAATAAGTACCATGCATATAAATGCATTTTTCTTGAAATAATTTTTATGAAAAAGGAAAATTTCACTTACTATGTTTTGATTTTGTAAAACTTTTACACAATTTTTCTAATAAATCGTGTATTTCTCTAAAGTTATTTCGGTTAGAATTTGACATTTTCGATATAATATTTTTTTGTGGTTTTCAGTTAAATTTATATATTTTCAATTTATACGGCATTCTTATTTTTTTTTTTTACAATAATTGTTTATCAATCCTTTTTGAAGTAAAATTGACAGTTAAATTTGATAAAACGCCAAATCCCAACAAACATTAAAATAGTAGTACATATATATACAATTTTAAAACCCCGATGTGCAAACAGTACTTGCAACCTAGAGCTCTAGGGGACACAAATGATACTATAGCAGTGCTGGAATATATTATCGAGTAAATTGTGCTAAATTAGACAAAAATATATGACACAATGAGGTAATTTGATAACGCCAAAAATTTTAGCTTCAACGTTTTATAAAACATAATAAGGCTGCAGGAACAACATACAATAAAACAAAAAATACTGTCAAAATGATACTATTAAAATCAGTTAAATATTACGGGAGATAGTCAGTAAAATATTTTATATTACAAAATATTTGTTTCTGCAGATGACAAATTGCAAAAAAAGTTCTGTCTCATTGTGTAAGAGCATATCGGCTGAAAAAAAAATTATCAAGATCGGGCACTAAAATATCTTATTATTTATTAATTACTGACGGTAAAATTTCTTGCCAGTTGAGCAATCATGTTAACCAAGTTTAATTAACTTTGATCAATTGAATGTTAATGACTTGTTGCAATACACTTTTTTGACAAGATACATACTTCATTTAGTAAAGCAAGTTTTGATGTATAAATAAAAAATTATTAATTTTTAAAAACAAAATGTATAAAACAATAGCATTGCTGGTCAAGGTAGAACAGTAGCAAGTTCGTGGAGGATCAAAGAAAACGAAGTTAAAATAATAATCACTTATTATATAGTGTTTCAATACAAATTAGAAAAATTCAAATCTCATATTAAAAAATTAAGAAAAGATTATAAGAAGCTGACGAAAAATTTATATATTCGGATTCTTCTATATTAATGCATCCATTATTTTTAAAAGAAATTGAAAAACTTATCAGCATAATTTGATTTTTGATGATTGTGAAGATACTATGTATTCTATTGTTACAAATTTTTTGATTAATAGAGAAATTATGTTTCAGTTACTATTTTTGTCGCGTGTAATTTTTTTGCTCATCGTTTCATTTTTGGAATATATGTGGAAACACATTGGTTCCGTCTTTTGTCGTTTACATTCTACATTTATCTAAATAGATTTTTTTTGAAAAATCTTAATTTTGCCTTAGTTAGTAGTGTTCCAGAATCAATTTCAAAATGAAAAAAAGGAAAAATCCAGGTAAAATATGTGAATGTCAAAAAATATTACTAACCATTATACACTAGTAAATCCGCCACCGCGAATTTTATAATTTCCAGTATTACTAAAACTTATGTCACGTTTGAACAATAGTATCGTTTGATATCTTTATGTCGGTAAATATTTTATGTAAATAAAAATCATATGGGCTTTGTAAATTAAGCTAAAGTTGTTCTTATTTAGAATTTTCGTCGAAAATGTTTAGAAACCTTCAAATATATTTGGCGAAACGATTTTACTGTAAACAAGTGGAGAAATTAAATCAAGTAAATGACTTCTGGAAAGATATAAAACATTCTTCCAAAATTTCTAAAGAACCTTACAAAATTAAATTTAAAAGTGAAACTACAAGTGGAATTAAAATTGACTTGGAAACAATTCATCTTTTAGAACGCCTTTCGCTTGTAGATTTGGAACATAAAGACGCATTAAAAACTATTCAAGATTCAATTCAGTTTGCTGACTTGATAACATATGTTAATACTGACGCTATTGATCCGCTTTATACTGTATTAGAACAAGAGGAACTTTACCTACGTGAAGATAATATTACCGATGGGAACATTAAAAATGATATTTTAAACAACGCAAAGGTTACTGAAGAAGATTACTTTATAGCTCCTCCGGGAAATATTCCAATAGAACAAGAAAATAAAGAATTAAGTACCTAAATTATAATGAGACGGCTGAAAGAAATGTTAGAAACTTTATTAAAATCTGGTTACATTAAATCTGAGTTTAAAACCAATGATGTAATTCATTTGGAACTCATGCCACTTGGCTCATCATTATTTCAAAATATTCAAATTGAATGGGCAAAAAATAAAACCGATTTAAATATTTATACCGGGAAAAGTTATGTAAGCCCACAACAAATATCTCATTCTAACAATGAAGCAATGAATTTTGTTAAAACAAAATATTTTAAAGAAAATTTTTTATTTTGTAAGGAAAAGCTTCAAAATTATTTTCCTTTGGCAATCAAGACATTTTTAACAACAAACCAGATTGATATCAATTCTAAAATAAGTTTCCCACACAAAACGTTCATGATTTGTGATTATTTTTTTAATGAAACTCAAGCTTATGAAAAATTTTCAAAAATTCAGAGAGAAAGAAAAATTTGGTGGATGAAACATTCAACAGACCCAGGAAGGTTTTTTTTGTCTGATCTTAAATCAGATGTTATTCAAAAACATAAAGTTCAAACAGTAAAAATTAAAGCAAAGTTTAGTTTTGGTGACATAGATTTAGAAAGCATTGACGTAGTTCCATTAAGAGCCTTGTTGCCGGAAGATTACAAAGAATTTTATTTATTTGATAAAAAATTAAATAAAAAATGCTGCCCCGTAGTTGTTCATTCCGAAACTTGTGCAGATGTAGGAACAATAAGTAAGTATTTCTGTTTTACATCAAATATCAATTTTTTTCATTTCGTTCACCATTTTGGGCACAGCTTTACTTTTAGATGCTCTTGAAAATTCTAATTCAAACAAACTTAGTTTACATAGATGTGTTTCTCCATATCAATGTTCCATTTGCTGCTTATTAGAAGGTAACTTTTTTGGTTATTCCTACGATTTCAATATTATTGCATATATTTCATATTTTTTTATCGCAAATTAATTTAGATGAAGAAGAAAATCGAAATTTGGAAGATTTAGCAATTCATCTAAGTGGTGTTTTACGAAAACTAAATATAAGAATACTTAACTTATCTAAACAAAACTCAACAGATTACAAATCATTAGAAAAAGAATTAAACCAAGTGGATAAATTAGGAGTTCCATATTCTTTAATATTGGAATACAAGACCCTTCAAAATGGATTGCTCAAATTAAGAAATCGTGATACAACTATCTCAGAGGAAATCCATATTTCCGAACTAACAGAGTATTTAGCCAAAATTTTTAACTACTTTTAAGATTTTCATTACATTGTAATAGTTGTTTAATTGATAATACAGTTTTTTCTAACTTTATCTTAATTTTCTATTTTATTACATGAAATCAGATAAATATTGTTTTACATTAAATCCAACCATTTTTCCAATATAAAAAATAAAATCTAAGCTGACAATACACTGTAATCGAGCTGAACCATCCATTATATTGTTTTCCCCACTAACGTATGTTAAAAATTTTAACTGAACTAAAGTTGATATTTGTGTAAGCAGGTTACATGTCAATCCAACTTTTTCATCTAATATTGCATAAAAAATGGCCAGCAACCGATCAATTGAAAACGATTTTGGACCCAATATTGTAGACATTTTATCAGTTACCTTTAAAAAAATTGTAATGTTAATACATGTGATTAAAGTCAAGTATAAAATTTAATTCCATACTACCTTTGCATTTGCATTTAATGTTTGCAATCGTTTTTTTTTTCTCTCACTGTTTTTAACAAAAAGCTTCTTATCTTCTTTGGCGGCATTATAACTTGCTAAGAAAGCGGCTATTAATAAATATTTTGCATAGAAGGGAAGCTCTAAAGATTTAACATTTTCGAGTTCAGAGTTTTCTGGCAGAAGCTCACAACCGTCCACCTAGAAAAATTTTTGTATTACTCTGATACTTGAGTGAAACACAAAATCAAATATTTAATTCACCAGTGTTTCGGTTCTTGTATATACAACGGCAAGAGCTTTTTTTAGAGGATTTGATATATATCGCCATAGTTTAGATACATCATCAGTTCTAATTTCCCCTTTTAAAATCGGAGTGCAGTAAATTTCAAATACGTTTCTGGACACATATTTCAATTCAGTTAAATCTCGACAAGATCTGTAAAATACACTTAGAAATATGTTTAAATAATCATTATAGAAGCTCTCATCCATAATTTCAAAAAAATCTTTAAGTAATTTTTTGTCAAATTGCATATTTCTGCTTAATCTATGGCCCACATAAGCTTTCACACTTACAAAATCATTAAGTAGTATTTTCTGGATTTCGGTTTTACTATATTGAGCAAAATGAATTTTTATGATTTCTGGAAGACCAATTTTTAAAAAGTATTTTTCTAGGGGAATTTGAGATAAAAATATGCAACATATATTTAAGCCTGTTAGTTCACGTAAACGGAAAAAAGCTGGTAGTATATTTATTTCCATATCTCTTAGTCTATGGGAATTATCTATACATATGATATATGAAAAAATCCCTTTAAGGTTTTTCAGCTCCCAAATAAACTCTTGCATGTTGTCACACTTATCATAAAAAACATTTCTTTCGTTATCATTGTATTTTAATCCATTCAATATACTTTCGAATAAAATTTTTGTTGTATAACATCCAATAGAATCCACCAATATATATTTACTTCCAGAATTTGAAAGAAATTTTTTCAAGATACTAGTCTTCCCAGTACTTGAATCTCCATATAAAAACAAAGCTTCTGGATAAGATTCATTGGGATTTCCTATTAAATTAAATAGTTCATTTATAATTTTATTTCGACATGGGAACGCTTTCACAACTCTATCAACCATATTTATTTTATTTTAAAACTAAATCTAACACAATTTGAATTTACAGATTTTATTGATATAAAATAAATAACAATACCGCGCTAAAAAAGACGCAACGAAATTAGATTCAAAAAATCGAATATTATATACTATCGATGTTAATAGGTAATTATCGATGTTACAAATTTTATATTCTTTAATATAATGTTGGCTGACGATGTGATTAAACCAAATAAACAATATATAATATGTAATTTGAAAAAAAACGCGGCCAGAAATGCGGCTGGTTTTCAATCAAAATGAAAAGACAGAACTGTTGAAATATTATATTTAACAAGATTATGTAAGATTGTCAAAATCTTCAAATATAAATATTTTGCCTTTTTTTTAATCTTAAACATATGTATGATTATATATAATAAATATTTAAAAATAATTATATAATAATACAATAAATATCTAAATCCAGATATTAAAACCTACGAAATCTCGAAAAAATTTGGATTGTCAAAATCAAGCAACAATTCAAATCGAGAACGACAAATACATGAACAAAATATTCATGCTAGGGTATCTGATTTCTAAGTGCATTGCTATATAAAATTGTATAGATACTCAATAGGTTCAAGATACGAGATCAAATTCAACCCAATAGTTTTTTTTTATTTTTGTATATCTACATTTCTGCGTGAGATAGACGCATAATTACATAAATTTGATTTCAAACCTCAAAACAAGAACTTTCTCATGAACTTATATTAGCTATCCGTTATCAATCATTAAATTTCGAAAAATTCGAAGTTTTTACTTTTCCTTTTTAAAAAAATTAATTTCATTTTGAACCATTACATGTAGCTTTCTCTAATTTTATTGCAATGCCAGTTCAGTCGGAGAACTTTAGTTGTATAAATCATCTTAATCATTTTAGTTAATGTCTTTATATCTAACAAGTCCCAATGCTCAGAGAGAAACTTGAAAGCACGACCTTATTTGATATGGGTTTTTTTAAATCGAAGTAGCTATTTTTTGAGAAGAAATATTAAAATAAATTCACACTTATTATAAAGCAGGTAAAATTTAGAAAATATATTTGAAAAATCAAAAAAATATATTAATATTTTCATTGACAATTATTTTAAAATTTAAAAAAAAGCGGAAAAACAACTAGCACATCCTTCAACGTTTTATATGTTACTGAAAGCATTTTATTATTTTTAAGTGAACAACTTTTTTTTCTCATAGGGTAAGTTAACTCAAGATATGGGGAGTGACTGTGGTGTCAAGTTGAAAATATAATTAATGAAAGATAATTCTTAAATATTGATATAAATACATAGCAAAGAAAAAATTTGAAGAGGGATTTAGAAAATAATATCTAAAATACAATCAAATATTATTTGTTAAATACAAATTTTATATAAACTTCAAAATTTTACCTCTATTTTTATTTGAAAAAATATTAAAAACTTACTATCATTTATATCAATTACCTAAGAAAAAAAATATTTAAAATGTTTGGAAAAAACAGTCATATATTTTTATGACCGGATTTGAATATTTTTTTATTTTTGAAATAAATGGTATTTTACCAAATGACTCAAAAATTCCGACTGTAAAATAACAGGTATTTTAAAATTTTTGTTCTTTATGTAATATTCTTTCCGTTTAGAATTAAGATAGGTCATACAAACACATGCAGGGACATTTTATAAATAGATTGCTCTTGTTTACCTGCTAATAAAATATGAAAAAAGAGCACAGCAAAATTTTTGAAGCACTCAATATAACATGTTTGAAATAGTTTTAAAATAATTATTTAAAAAAAAAATTATTGGAAGTAGGTACATACATATTTATTTTTAATAACTTAAAAACTAACTGAAATTATTTGAAACAATTTTATAAGTAACGTATAAATAACCGAAATGAGATAATTCAAATTGTTGAAATGTGTCAACCTATATTACTTTTAATATTAACATTAATTTAACATTAATTTTAGCAATCATTTTTAATTGTTATAGTTTCGAAGTTATTGAGAAAATTAAAGTGATTTTTTATGCCAATTTGTTTAAAACGATAAAAAAATTTTTTTGAACACTGTACGATTTAAATTTTCTAAAAAATTATAAATGAAGAAATGAATATGCAAATTTACTTTTATTATTTATATGCCTTAAGTGTATTTTGTTCATTAACAGTCCGTAGTCATGCTCTCTGTTTTTAATTGAAACAACTTCTCTTGTATTAAAAAAAAGGGCAGTCTGGATATACATATCGACGGCTGAGTGCTATTTTGATCCATACGCCATAATTTTTGAATCTTGAAAATCGCGTTTGAAGTTTAACAACACTTTATTTCAAAACTAAACGGTGGGATTTCTTAAATTTTTGTTAAGTTTAACTATAGTTTTAAGAGCTTGACTATAAAGTTCTTTTCAATTTCGACAAAGGGGTCGAGAGTTATAGGCAGTTTATTAAAGAAGGTCCAGTGCAATTTTGATCCACATCCACTTTTTTGATCAAAAATTTTCACTTTGTATGAAAAATTTGTGCTATATGTCTCATTATTTTTTATATACTTGTATTATAATAATGATTTTATCGCGAAAATAAGAAGTTTAAATTTAAAACATACATAAAATATGAACATTTAACCTAATTAAATTGAAAGATTTTGAAATATGGTTTTTACTAGACTAATAATTTTGTATGAAGTTCGTAATCACTTGACTATAGAGGGCCTTTTTAACATCATAAATCTCTCACAAGATCAACTTTTTTCAAATATTTTATTAGAAAAAGTTCAAATTCAATCTTTTTCTACTTTACTAGTGCTTACAATCTTAAAGTTTTGTAATATCAAGGTTCTTATGCTTTCAAGAAGTTTTTAAAATATTTTTTGTAGTTAAGTATGTCAAAAAACAAGTAAGGTGACTAAATTAAAAAATAAGTTATCGGATAAAAGAAATTTTGGAACTGTTAAAAACTGGAAAAATAGCAAAATTGAATATTTTAAAAAAAAATTTTTGAATGACATGGTTTATTATAGCACTCGAAAATTTTTTGAAAAATTTATATGAAAATTTGATCCAAACGCCAACGATATTGGATATGGATCAAAATGCGTCCCAAATCAAATTTTAGGTGGAAGTGGATCCAAATGACATCGGCGTATCTATTAAACTAAATGAGATAGCGAAAAACTGATTACATATTCTGAAAGACCATCTTCGAAAATCTATGAAAATGGTCTTAAGTCAAAAATTACGAAAGTGACGTATGGATCAAAATAGCCCTCAGCCGACGATATCTATTGTGTTTATATATATATTTTACTCGCACTTCTAGTCTTCCTGGCATGGCACTGGCTCCGGCACTTTTCTAATTTGACGTTTCGCTTAAATCAAATTTATCAAAATACATACATCGAAAGTATTTTAACAATTTCTTTTAAATATTACAATAATTTAAAATATCAGAGCTAAATGGATGAATATTGCAGATTGTGTGCAACGAAAAATAATAATTTAACTATACTATTAGAAATAGCAAATATAACTAGAATTAGAACTTTACTAAAAATTGAAGAAGATGGCTTTCCTCAGAAAATTTGTGATTCTTGTATATTCAAAATTAATGACATAAATACATTTATTTCAAAATGCGAAGAGTCTTATGAATATTTTAAAAATAATTTCCTCAAATATGTTGAAGGGGAATACAAAAATAACGAGGATATTGATATATTTAAGTCTAATGCGCAAGGTACCTACTTCAAATAATTCTAATTTAAAGAACCACTTGTACTTTATTACTAATTTATTATAATAGAGTCCAGTGAAAATGAAGAAACTGTAAAAGAATCACCTAAGGTTAAAATTGAAATAAAAACAGAAAATGAAGAAATTCATCATGATTATATAAGACGAAGTGAATGTTTAGTTGAGAGTGAAAGTTCAATCTATAATTCGTCCATTAGTAAAAATAAACAAGAAATTGAACTACCAATGCAACAAAAACCCGAAAAAAATGATTTATTAAATTTATTAGAAAATGATAACTCCCACATCAATACTTCTAGTAATCCGAAACTGGTAAAAAGAAACAATAGTAAAAAATATGAAAGAAGGCGTAAAACACGGAACTGTAATGCGGAAATAAGTGATGGTACTAGTACATGGAAATGTCAATTTTGTCCTCGAATATTTACGACTGATAAGATCTTGCGGAGACATATGCAAAATATTCACACAAATCCCAACTTCAAATGCATTAAATGCGGATTTGAGTGTACAAATAAATCAAACTGTGCAGGTCACGTTAAACGGAAACATTTTAAAGAATTAAAAATGGAATTTGAAGAGCTTTTGCAGTTTGTATTAGAAAAAGATTCTAATACAAATGATGCACACTTTTTTGATTTACCATTCCCTTGTGATTGCTGCACAAGATCTTTTGCTAAAGAAACAGATTTACAAAAACATAAAAATCGCGTTCATATCAGCGATCCAGAGGCAAGTAAATTATTTGGATGTAAAAAATGCGGATCAAAGTACACTTACAGAAAAACCGCAGTTAAGCACATACGTAACGTACATTATGAAAGCCGAACTGAATTGGTTAAAGCTGAAATTGATGAAGTAATTTCAATTAAAAAAAGTTTAAAAATAATTCATTATATTTTTCTTAGTATTTAATTCAATATGGTCAGCCCAGGATTGAACCAGATATTACAAAAACTGCGAAAAAAGAGAATATTGATGAAGGAACTGTGCATGAATGTCCAGTTTGTCATTTGAAGTATTCTAGGGCTATAATATTGAAGAGTCATTTCGCTAGATTTCACTTAAGTGAAGATGAAAAAAAAAAACGAAAAAAAAAAGTTTATTTGTGTCAACAATGCGGAAAGAAATTTTCTGCTCGATCTGCCTTTCAATATCACGTCCAAACTCATTTTGGGGAGAAGAAATTCAAATGTAACGAATGTTCTAAAGCCTATTACACAAAGCACTTACTTCTTTCTCATATGAGGAAGCACACTGGTAAGCTTATATATTTAAAAAGTTGCTAAATTAAATTATTCAATTACTTATAAGAGTTCAAGTTTAAACTCAAAAGAAAAAAAAATTAAAAAATCTTATTATATTTATTTATTGAACTATCAACTAATTGATAAATTTTTTTTTGTTTTCTTTCTATTTGTTTTCTTTTTTTTTCAATTATCTTCATGGATCAATTAAATCATATTAATTTTCAAAGGTGATATGAGCAATAGACAACTGGAATGTGAAATTTGTCATAAAAAGTGGCCTAGTAAAACTGCTTTAGAGCGACACATGAACGTGCATGGTCAAAAGCAGCCTAGAAATTTTATGTGTTCCATTTGTGGTAATGCTTTTTATTCAAATTATCATCTTAAAAGTCATATGTTGCGACACACAAAAGAGAACAACTTTAAATGCACTGAACCTGGTTGCAACGCATCTTTTCGTGCTGATGGTAGTCGGAAAAAACATTTTCATAATTTCCATCTTCCTGACGATCAAAAACCATTTTCTTGTGATATATGTCAAAAGAAATTTTTTAGAAAATCTTATTTATCAGATCATTTAAGAAAACATGGTAAAGCTGGCGAAAATATTTTAAATTTATATAGGCAAAAAATACATCAAGATTAGATAAATAATTATTTTGTTATAAAAAGTTATAATTCAGTTATAAGAAAAATTATTGCTTTTAAATAATGAATAAATTTTTATAGATTCTAAATAAGACTTCTAATTATAAAATCATTGCAATAAAAATTTTATACTTTACTTTTTGATACACGAGTTATTTATTTATAAAAGATTTTAAAGGTTCACTCGGAACAGCAAATTTTTGTGGCTTAAAAGGGAAATAATTTTAAATAGAAATATTGAAAAAATATGTTACCCACACATATGTATGTTAAGATAAAAAAAAATTAAGCTGTTGCACTTGAAACAAGTTTATTAAGATATTGATTTATTTTAACCTGTATTAAAATCTTTTTTTTGTGTTAATTGTAAGAAATAATATTCTTAATAAAATAATTCTCTTTAACTTCCGAATAACTAATTAGAATAAAAACAAAATACAATAACTGAAATATCCATAACAGAACATTTATTGCTACTAAATTAAATAAATGTAGTTGAAAAAACTAGACTAAAGCTAAATGCTTCAATCGTTTGAGTAAAATGCTTTTTTCTACTATTTGCATTTGAGGCAGGTTGACATTGAATGGTTTTAATGGCTACAAATTTAACATGTGGCTTAATGTTTCAAAACATTTTTGATTTTTCCGAGTTTTATCAAACTAACATAGTTTTATTTTATCTGTATTTAAAAAAAACTAAATAAACCGTGTTTGTACTTAATTATCCAATAATTAAACCACATCCAAGCCTAAATTGATTCTTTACATGATTTAATCTTCCACTTAAAGCAAATGAAAATGGCAGGGGCTGCAGTTTTTTTTCCAGAACACCACCAACATTCCAATTTGAATCAACCATTCCTAAAAAATATTTTTCAATAAAAAATTTTGCAAAAAAAATCACAAATAAAAAATTAATTACCTTTAAATACTAAATCTGCTTTAGGTAAATCAACTTGATAACCAATTGTGGCCACTGATTCTTGCATTCGCAAACTCGTTTCTACTTCAACGCCAATTTGTAGTTGATCACTTGCTTTTTGATAGTAACAGATATGAAGCCCACTCCCACCTAAGGTACCCGACCAAGTTCCTGTGCCATTAGTATATCTAGCTGCTGCGGAAACCACAGCAATTTCTCCACCTGGTACTTGTGGTCCATACTGATAAGCTAATTCACCTCCTAGTGCTAAATTGGTTGTCAATGATTGCAAATAATGACACACAAAAACCCCTGAGTTATTTAAAATGTTAGGATTTCCCACAGTAAGTGACGCAGTATAGTCATCTCCACGATAATCAGTTGTCAGTTGAGCAGCCTGAATTTTACTTTGTTGTATCTGAATGGGAAACCAATTTATTTACAAATTTCCACCATTTTATAAAGTTACCTGGGAAGCAAATTTACACCGAACTCGTGGCGAAAATTGGTGAATTATATTTGCATTTAAATTTCCTTGTGGATCGATATCTCCTAATAAAACTGGAAATGCTTCTGTTGGCGAATATTGTTTAGTTCCTACATAAGTAGCACCAAATCGATAACCACTGGGGTTAGTACTACATAGATTTATAGTATGAGAAACTTGAAAATGATTGCTAAGGCCTTTATTTAACATTATTTTTGCTCCTTCAAAGGTCATCGCCATTATATCTAAAATGTATTTATAAATTATAAAAAATTTTATTATGTTTTTAGGTTATGCTTTTACCTTTGCAATTTTTATGTAAATCTTCAATAGTTCCAGGGTTTTTTATATCAACCTTTTTCTTTTCCGTAGAACTGACTGAGTCTATACTGGGAGAAGCTGGTTCTGGTAAACCAATTTTCGGAGGTGCAGCAGAAGCTTGAACATTTCCCATTTTTGAATTTGCTTTTGAAGAAGAGCGATTGAAATCACAATTCTTTTATTAAGAGATTAAAGTGGCCTTTAAAATATGATATTATTAGCTGTCAAAATTTAAAGTATGGCAGATATGTTGGTATAATGAGGATAAAAATATAGATAAGTATGCGTGTAAAAGATAAAGAGAGTTTTTCTGAAAATTATCAATTCCATTCCACACGTGTGTATGACAGAACACAATAACCCCTGAATTACAAAAGCTTTATAATTGGACTTGTGTTTTTATATTACACTCTGCAGTGATTATATGAGCTTCAATTATTGTCACGTCGCTTCTAGCTCTAAAACTTTTGTTTTCTCTTTTGAGTACATACGATTCGAGCAGAAGGTGAATTTCCACTCAATCTACTGTCGTCTAACCAAAATTATTAAACAATCAAAAATATTTATTGTATATAGAGAGTTAGCTCTCATATTGTAAAAAAGAAATTTATAGAAATTTATAGAATTATACAAATTTATGTTACTAATGTTAGTTTGAATGCAAAGTCCTAATCTTCACGAGAAAAAAAAAATTAGGAATTGACTTAGTTTAACTTTAATAAATATTAAGTCGTGAAACTAGTTTTAAAATAACTCGATTAAAAAATCAATGGGTTGGTCAGCTGTGATTAAAATTAATATGATTTCATAAAAAATTAAATAATTCTTTGTGAAAAAAACACATGCTCACGAAACAAACTCATTATTGTTTACTAAGTTAATTAAGTTTACATTAATTACGGTCTCGTATAAAATATGGTATTTTCTCAATTGTCAAAAAACAATAATATTTTGGTGATTCGCTGTGAAATTTCAAAATAAAAACTATCCTGAGATTTTTCATTTCACAGAAATTAGTTTATTCACTTCCCATCTCTTAATTCATAACTATTTGAATTATCTAATATATTAAAGGACCAACCTTCATGATATAGAATTAAATTTTAACTCTGTTAACTTTTTAAAAATTATAGCTGTGCTCTATGAACCCGTTTTTTTTTTTGGTAAAGAAAATTATTATTTATTTTTGACAAGTTGAACTCATTTTAAGATTGTCGTTCCATGAACTCATTTTAAAATTCGGCATTGTCATCAGTTGTCATTAATTATATGAATTAATAAACCATTTTTTTTATTTTTAATTCAGTTGGATATGCTACTCAAAAAATTGAGTAGAAATGCAATTCAAAAATCATGTGGCATTGAGGCATAAACACTTCAAATACGCAGACGCGCATATGACGTCGAACTTCACTTTACTTACTTACTAAAAAGTCATCTTAATTGATAGGAGGTGGATAATCATTTTTGGAAATTTCAGACAAAAAATTATCGCCGAAATAAAAAAAAAACTTAAATATAAAAATTGAAAAGAGGAAAAAGAAAACACAATACATTTATTTAAAAGTTTGTTCAAGGTAAATGAAACTTTGGGACATATTGATGAATGTTAGAACATTGATTTTTCTGTTAAGTTTTATGTGCATACATTACAAATGACATTTTCAGTATCTTCATTAAAATAATAAACGTACAAAATTTCGTAAAAAAAAAATTTATACACAATTATAAGATATCTCATATAATATTTTTCCGTTTGCAGTATTGAAAAAATAAAAATTAATACAAGATGACCGATTCGAAGTATTTTACAACAACCAAAAAAGGTGAAATTTTCGAGCTAAAATCCGAATTAAATAATGATAAGAAGGAAAAAAAGAAAGAAGCTGTAAAAAAGGTAATATGATTAATCATGTAGGTTAGGCACATAATTGCTAATAAGATAAAAATATGTACTTGTTTTTTCCAAAGGTTATCGCAAGTATGACCGTTGGCAAAGATGTTTCTGCATTATTTCCTGACGTTGTAAACTGCATGCAAACTGATAATTTGGAATTAAAAAAGTTGGTTTATCTGTATTTGATGAATTATGCTAAATCTCAACCAGACATGGCTATTATGGCAGTAAATACTTTTGTTAAGGTAAGACTTATTTGTATTATTTTACCTAAGAATCGTGAAACGTTTTTTTTTTTTACTTTATTTAATTATTTTTGATTTTTCAATTTCACTTCATTTGATCGTAATTGAAATTTTATTTAAAAAAAAAAGTCACAACGTTATGTGTTTAAAGATCTTACCAAAATAAAACAAAAATTCCATCATTTTTAAAGCCATGTACAACGATATTAAATTTGTTATTTAATTAGTATCCTTCATTTTTAGAACCATATGTTCAATATAATTATTTAATTTTGTATTTTTTTTTTTTATTATCATTTTTTTTTTTTTGTTCACTTTTATTAAATGCAATGAAAACTCGTAACAAAATTTTAAAAATTATCAATTTTTATCTGGTATAATATATATGTTCTATTAACAGTTTCGGTGCATTTAATATAAATTCATTGTAATCGTTCTAAAATTATTAATGCTAAAAAATAAATGGGCCTTTCTGTTGATGTCTCAATCATTGCGTTAAAATAAATATGATGATTTCAATAATAGAACATATTTTCAAATGTTTAATTCGTAATTTTTTCTAGTTTAGTACACAAAAATATTTAAATTTTCGCAAATTTTTTTTTATTATATTTAACATTTTGTCAAAAGAAAAAAAATATATTAATATAAAATTCAATATAACTTTTCTAACAATCTTTATCATCTACATACTGTGTCATATACAAATTGTATTATATAAAATTTACTGGTAAACAAAAATGAAAAAATGTTATTATAAAAACTATTTTAAAACAATCATTCATTTTTATAGTTTTATTGCTAAAATGAAAAACAAGAAAAACATTATCTTCAATTTGGAAAAACAATTATTATAACTTTAGAAAGTTTGTAATTATATTGATCAAAATGGAACTGCAACTCATAACTTTAATATTACAAAACTTTACATAACCTTAACAATTTGAAATTAGAATTTAACAAACAAAAGAACTCCAAACTGTACTGTTTTTTCATTAATTTTGTTATTTTTTAATGGTTACCTAAATAACTTTAACGATTTATTGTGTACTAGACTAAATAATGTTGGCTACTTGTATTATTGTTTATTTTATACTTTTAAAAGAACATTAAAAGAAGTAAGAAATGTTTATATTTGTTACACTACTAATATTTAACACTTCTTTAAAACAATTTTTTTTTAATATTTTCTATATAAAAATTTCTGTCATTTAAAGAAGGGCCCAAATATTTTACATAAAAATTAATACATACATAGACTATTTAAGCACCTATGTTGTTAAATATTTTGCTTTAATATACATGCTAAAATTGTAATGTTGTATAAAAGGAATTGCCTTCTTCTCAACTTGTTAAGGTAATTAAAGTTAAAAAATAAAGTATTGGTTCAGGTGTAGTTTTTCTTTATTTATTATGAATTTATATTCCGATATATAATTTAGTTTTTATTGTTCTCGTTACTTAAAAAATAATATGTTTCTTAGTTTTTTTTTTAATTTTTTTTATATAAGTGTTTAGTTTAAAAAAGCTATAAGTAATAAATTAAGAAAAATATTGTTTCTTTGTCTGGCTTTGAGATATTCACTAATTTAATTTAAAGTTTTTTCATAAGCCTATTGTTGAACATAAAAATGTAAATATGTACATATGTATATGAAAAGCTAAAATTTTTTTAATTTTAAAATGTAAAACATGCAATTAATTAATAAGTATTAATCGTAATATTGATATATTAGATTCTATTACTAAAATACTAACTGCATACTGCTGTAAACATCAACTGGCAAATATAAATATCGCTAAAACTTTTTAAATCGTTTTATCAAATATATGTATGCTTAATCGGTATTTTAAGAATAATATTTCTATTTATTTCTATGAAATGCATTTTGTCTCATCTTTGGTTCAATATTTAAATATTTCCTTCATCGAAAAAAAAATTTCTCTAAGTTAATACCTAAATTTGAATAATTATCTATAACTTATATTAAGAATGAATTTTTTTGACTTATACTAAGTATTATAAGGCTTAACACCTAAATTAAACTAGTTATAGGATTAAAATATTAAAGCTAATATAAATAAATAATATATATTTAAATTAATGAAGTGCAATGTTTTAAATTAAACTGCTAGATATCGCAATCGGAATAAAGTCGATAACCTTTCTTAGAACAATATATACGGTCACAGTATTTTTTCAGTTGTCATTTTCATTTTGAGATTTTGCCCAAATTAATTTTTCCTTATGGTACCTATTTAAATGTAGTACATATTACAAAAATATATAGATCATTTAACTTTAGTGATGTATTAACTACGCTTGAAAATCACATTAACAGAAAGCATTTAATTAAATTTTATTAGGTTAATCAATCTCAAATAATTTCATAAACTCAATTCTATTTTTTTAACTTTTATTTTTAAAGAATTTTGTAATTGTAATAACCTTCTTAAGGTAAATGCATATTTAATGGAAAATAAATATATAAGATGAACTTTTACATTTTTTGAACAAATTTAAACTACTGCATAATTATGTATAGTATTTCTGTTCTTGTAACTAGAAAACCGAAATCAACACTGCAGTCATAGCAGTACAATATTATTCATAGAAGAGTTCTTTTAAATTGTCTTAGGGCACAATATTAAAATTAAAATACTAAATTATAACTTGTATTCGTTTCCTTTTGATTACTATGTTTTAACAATAAAAAAATATGTTTACATTTTTATAAAAAACAATACAAAAAAAATAACAAAGCACATAACATTGTAAAATACTTCTTTGTATTTGTTTTATTTAGATTTTATTAGATTTCTAGATAAAGTTACCTGGTATTTATCAAATAAATGAAATAAAATTCAACTGAAATTTCAATACATAATGTTTTTGAAATGAGTATTTTTCTAAATTATTATTATTTATACAAATATTATGTACCTTATAAATTTATCTTCAATTTTTCTCATTTTAAATATGGAATCAAATCTGCTATCAAAAACTTTTATTTAGTTATAGCTGCCTGGTATGAAAAAAAAAATAATAATTTATCACGTATTATCAAAGCTAGTACCAATGACTGCATAATAAACTAAAGTGCAATATAATCAATGCGTAGGACTATAAAATATTAGCGACGATGATATGTAAAATATTTTACTTTTTTCACTTTTCTATTAAATTTTAATTTCATATTACGAGTACTTATATTGAGCTACATAAATTTATAAATAAGAATGGGATATTTTTCGTCGTAATTATTTCTATGATGTGAAGCAAACAACCATTCATATCATTGTAACATTTAATTATATGATTTCACCAATTTAAAATTGCTCAAATCTCATCAAAGATCTCATACAAATACAACTTATCTAGAAACTACATATATTTTGTGGATTATACTTACATTATTTACATACAAATGTATAATTCAAATTTTTAAATAATTGTTTGAAAACGTTTAATATCTAAAGCATTAATAAAAATATTCTACTTAAGTATTCAACTATCATATTATTTAAAATTAAACTTTTTTGCCATTTACATAATATGTGTATCAAAAATATAAATATATTTATATTATTCAAATTGCATTTAAATCTTGATTTTTTTTAAATAAATTTATAATAACTTTAGTTGAAATTCATAATTTCATTTACAATAAATTGTAAAAATTAATTTTGACGCAGCTATACCATCTCTAAAAGAATCTATAACCCATGCAAAGAGTAAAAATATAAAATATTGGGTATGCTCCCATTTCTATTTTGAATACAGAACAATAGAAAAATATTTATATATGTACATATGATTTGCCATAAACTAATCGAAACAATTTTATTTCATAAAATTTTCCAAAAATAAATTTTTCACAAAATTCTAACATTTCAAATAAAATAGAAAAGTTTTATTAGAAATTTCTCGCCTTTGAACTAATTAACACAATGGCTACATAAAATCTTTAGGTAACTTGTTTTTTCTTATATATTTTCCTATTATTAGCTTAATTTTATTTGAATGCGTTATAAATATGGCTTGTTCTTCTGTTTTAACTTACCTATTATATAATAAAATTGAAAAAAATTAAAATACTTGTTCACGCTTTTTGAAATTATTAGGTTCAAAACAAGTTTTACTAATTTTAAACCTATCAAAATCAAATTTTCTAAGTCTTACTTATTAATTTTTATTCATTAAAAAAAAATTATTAAAAAAGGATTGTGAAGATTCAAATCCATTGATAAGAGCACTAGCTGTCAGAACTATGGGATGCATTAGAGTTGACAAAATTACTGAGTATTTATGTGAGCCATTACGCAAATGTTTAAAAGATGAAGATCCATATGTAAGGAAAACTGCTGCTGTATGTGTTGCCAAATTGTATGATATTTCTTCATCTATGGTAAATAATCATTTTTTTACTAGAAATACAATAATCTATATTAGTTAACACGATTTTATATTTATATCTGTACAATATTTATATACTAATTTTTGCATTATGATGTTCAGGTGGAAGATCAAGGATTCTTAGATCAACTAAAGGATCTTCTTTCTGACTCCAATCCAATGGTTGTTGCCAATGCTGTTGCTGCATTAAGTGAAATCAATGAAGCAAGTCAATCTGGGCAACCATTGGTAGAAATGAATTCTGTAACAATTAATAAACTTTTGACAGCTTTAAACGAATGCACTGAATGGGGTCAAGTTTTTATATTAGATTCTTTGGCCAATTATAGTCCAAAAGATGAACGTGAAGCTCAATCAATATGCGAACGTATAACACCACGTTTGGCACATGCAAATGCTGCTGTTGTCTTAAGTGCTGTAAAAGTTTTAATGAAACTTTTAGAAATGCTATCAAGTGATAGCGATTTTTGTACAACTTTAACAAAAAAGTTAGCTCCACCTTTGGTTACATTATTATCTTCTGAGCCAGAAGTGCAATATGTTGCATTGAGAAATATTAATTTAATTGTTCAGAAGCGTCCCGATATATTGAAACATGAAATGAAAGTTTTTTTTGTTAAATATAATGATCCAATCTACGTTAAACTTGAGAAATTGGATATTATGATTCGTTTGGCTAATCAAAGTAATATTGCGCAAGTTTTAAGTGAGTTAAAAGAATATGCAACTGAAGTGGATGTTGATTTTGTTCGTAAAGCAGTACGAGCAATTGGTCGTTGCGCTATTAAAGTTGAACCATCTGCTGAGCGTTGTGTATCAACCCTATTAGACTTAATTCAGACAAAGGTAAATTATGTTGTCCAAGAGGCTATTGTCGTCATCAAAGATATTTTCCGAAAATATCCAAATAAATACGAGAGTATTATATCAACACTATGCGAAAATTTAGATACATTAGATGAACCTGAAGCTCGAGCGTCTATGGTATGGATAATTGGTGAATATGCTGAGCGAATTGATAACGCTGACGAGCTATTGGACAGTTTCCTAGAAGGATTTCAGGATGAAAATGCTCAAGTTCAATTACAATTACTAACAGCAGTTGTAAAATTATTTTTGAAGCGACCAACTGACACACAAGAATTAGTTCAACATGTTTTATCATTAGCTACACAAGATTCTGATAATCCGGATTTACGTGACCGTGGATTTATTTATTGGCGTTTACTTTCAACTGATCCAGCTGCAGCGAAAGAGGTTGTTTTAGCTGAAAAGCCGCTAATTTCTGAAGAAACGGATTTATTAGAGCCAACTTTGCTTGATGAATTGATCTGTCATATAAGTTCTTTAGCTAGTGTTTATCATAAACCACCTACGGCTTTTGTAGAAGGAAGGGGTGCAGGAGTTCGTAAATCATTACCAAATCGTTCTGGTAATACAACTACAGCTCCTGAACCGGAACAAGCTACTGTTATACCCAATCAAGAATCTCTTATTGGTGATTTATTATCAATGGATATTAATGCCCCAGTTCCGATGGCACCAGCAGCTCCTACTAGCAATGTTGATTTATTAGGGGGAGGCTTAGACATACTGGTAATAATTTTGTAAACTGCATTTTTTTTTAAGAATCAAAATTATAAATATTTATTCATATTTATTATTTTTATTTTTCCACAGTTGGGAGGCCCGGCAGAAACTGGAACCAGTGGTTTGTTAGGAGATATATTTGGATTAGGCACAACGGCTTCGACCATGGTACAAATACCCAGAATAATTTGGTTACCAGCAGAAAAAGGCAAAGGATTAGAAATACAAGGTACTTTTTCACGTCGCGGAGGGCAAGTTTCGATGGATTTATATTTTACAAACAGGGCTATGCAAGCCATGACTGGTTTTGCTATTCAGTTAAATAAAAATAGTTTTGGTTTGGTACCAACAAGTCCTTTGCAAGTCCCACCTTTGCAACCATCTATGTCATCCGAAGTGAGTTTACCTCTGGGAACAACAGGGCCTGTTCAGAGGATGGAACCACTAAATAATTTGCAAGTTGCTATTAAAAATAATGTTGATATATTCTATTTTGCATGTTTAGTACATGCCAATGTTCTCTTTACTGAAGATGGTCAACTGGATAAACGTGTATTTTTAACAACGTGGAAAGAAATACCTGCAGCCAACGAAGTTCAATATAATTTAAATGGAATTAGTGGAAACGCGGACACAATAGCATCAAAAATGACTTCAAATAATGTGTTCACAATTGCAAAAAGGAATGTTGAAGGTCAAGATATGTTATATCAATCCCTAAAATTGACAAATAGTATTTGGGTTTTACTTGAATTGAAACTTCAACCGGGTAACCCAGACGCAACACTAAGTTTGAAATCAAGATCAGTTGAAGTGGCCCCAATGATTTTCACAGCATATGAAGCAATAATTCGTTCAGCATAAATATGTAATAACTATTAACATATTTTTTTGAATTTGAAATTGTGTAATAATAAAAATAACCAGCTTATTTTACAATAATTTTATATGAGTTACGCATATTTGAATAATAAGTATTCATTAATCTCATTCATTTTTTAAATACTTTCCATGTTTACGTGATAAATAGAATATGTATTTGTTTTCTGTTAAGTTTAAAGAACATATTAACGATAATTATATAATAAACATAATAATGACATATAAAGTTCATAAATGGTAACACAAAATACATTTTACAAAATTAATTAAGAGTATTAAATAAAAATAAAATAAATAAAATCATCCAAATTATGATGAATCTCTTGCTTCTTTTATTTATTATGGTTTTATACCTTGCAAGATCACCTAATATGATTTTGGAGTCTAGGGTTTTAACCCGTTTTTTTTAACATGTTTTTGAAAGTTCTGTATGTATACACATGGTCAGTTTTACTTGTTATTGGTACGCATTTTTCAAGAAATCAAAACAATTTTTTATAATCAAAACAAATTTTTATTAAGTTTCTTAAATGAATAAAATTTTATAACTTGCTATTAAATTTCTACAATTTCCAAAATTTAGATTTCTGTTAATGCTGTTTGTCATGATATACTTTGAAAGATTTTAACATCCACTAAATGTTCAAAAATCTAAGGAAGAGAAATGTTAAAATTTTTTACAAAAAATAAATTTATAAAAGAATTTAGCATAGTTTTGATAAACAAACATTTAATAATACATAATCAAATTAAAATTATAATTTTGATCATTCAATGATTTGGTGATTCTAATAATTAACATTAAAAAATATATGTTGATAAATACATAAGCAAATTCAAAACAAAACAAAAAAGCAAGATTATGTAGAGTTATTTTTTCACCTTCTTGCTACTTTTTTATTTATATATCCGGTAAGAAAAGTTTATTAAATTTTTCTTACACAAATATTGAAAAAAGACAATAACATTCAATTTTCTTAGAATAGAAGATAATATAAAAAATATTTAAAACATTAAATGAACACTTTAGAATTCAAGATTCTTACGCCAATGATGATAAATGTGTTAAGCGATACGAGTTATGAAAAATTTAATACTGACGTCGGCGAGCGGTTCTTTGCTTGTCAAAGCGTAATTCCATTTCCTCCAAAACTTTTGGTGTATATCTAACAACCAATTTTACTGAGCCTACAGCTTGTTTTAACAATTCAACGGCTTTTTCGTGGTTTTCTCCTTCCACTGAAACACCATTTACAGACAAAAGTTGATCTCCTCTTTTTAAACCACCATGTCGATCAGCTACACCTCCAGGTATAATACGTGATATATAAATGGGCGAATTTTGTTCTTTACCTCCCATTACGTTAAAACCAAGTCCTTCCTCGGTTTTAGGTAATTCAACAACTCTAGGATGGGCATGACCTTCGCTTGCAGCAAATGCGGCAACAGTTGCTTTCGCTGTAGCTGATGCTCTTACATCCTGTGAACCTTGAATATCCACGGTTTCATAAACATGCTCATAAACTTCTCTTACAGCATTTAGAAAATCGCTTTGCAATACTTTTTGAAGTGCAGCCAATTTTGTAGATGGTATATCACCACTAGCCTGTAATTTCTCTAATAATTCTATTGATCTTTTTACATCCCTAGCCAAAGTTAATGGTTCGCACATTGTAGACATTATTTCCAAATATTCTCTTGCGATATAAAAAATGTTGGTATTTTTAACAATGTGGATTTATTTATATTCTTAATTTAATATTTAAAGAGTTACGTACATTAGAATAGAAAAGTAGGTATCTACATGAAAATCCTTGCAATTTGGCACTTGGCACTTGGCACCAAAAACACCTGAAAAATGCCATAAATGACATTCGTTATTTTGGAATATGTTAAAATTTGTTGTCAATTTGTCTGTTCGATTCGCAAGAAAATTTTGCTACTATTAATTTGAGCAAATAATTTGACATATTGAAAGTTAAAAAAATCAAATTAACAACTTTTAAATTTTTCATTGTAAAAATAAAAAATAGTAAGTAGTTTGACAAGTTTTATTTTTCTCTCCATATTCTCTCATTATTTATTAATATTTTAATCAACTGTTTATTTTTTATCAGCCAACTGTTGTCTTCACAAAGAAAAATGAAATTGCTTAACCTATTACGTTATTGTAGACAGTAATTCTGCATTGTATAATTGTGAGTAATTTGCCAATTTGAAATATAGACATATCAGATTTTTTCATTCGTCTTAAAAACGTGGTTGACTTTGAATTTCAATTAAATTTTTAATTGAATTTAATCATTTGGTGCACAACCTTTCTATACAAGATTATAACATTTTAAATAGACATTCTAACAAGTTTATAACATCTTACTGAAGTAAATGAAAATTGGAACTGAAGACAAAGTATTTCACTTCTGGATATTTGAATTTTATTTATGCAAATTTTGTTTATTATGTTTTGAAAATTAAATGGGTTGTCAGTTTTTTTAGCTTTCCGAATCGAAGTTATATACCGAAAAATAATTCTCCATTTTCATTTAAAAATTACGCATATATTTACCTTATTTTATTTCAAGAACGTAAATGGAGCGCAGCTAATATGAAGTTAAATTTTAGATTTTAAGAACGCTTCCATTCATGTTTGAATTAGATTTGACAGTTTAATTTAAACAAAAGAAAAAGCGTTTTTCGTATCTAGATAATATAAACTGAGACGAATTTTTTAGTTTTAGTTTTCATGTTTTATAAAAATTAGAAACGAAATGGATTTAAATATTTCCGATATCAATAGTTTAGCATATGCAGATCTACAAGAAGAATACAAGAAACTATTCCTCAACTACCAAAATTTGAACAAAATTCATGAGAGTGATCTGCAACAAATATATGAACTGGAAAGAAATATAAAAATCAGTAAAGCAGCAGAAGAGCATTTAGCACAAGAATTAGAAATAATTTCGAATTCGCAAAATGGAGATTTAGAAAAGTCAAACAAGAAATTGAACCAAGAAATAGAAGAACTGAGAAGAAAATTGACAGATTTGGAAGATTACATCGAAATATTGGAAAAAAAGTTAGAAAATTCCAATTCAGAAAATAATAAATTGCAAGAAAAATTATATGAAATCTCAGCAGCCGTTGAAAATGATAGCATCGAAACAAATCAGTTTTCTTCAGAACAACAAGAAAAACTGGAAATTGAAAATTTAAAGCTACTGGCGAAATTGAACGAATTCGAGGATGAAATTCAGAAATCCTGTAAAACCATTGCAGAAAAGGAGGTAGGTACCTATATGTTATATAATACTTCTCACAAACTGATAAAATTCTAATCCTAGATATTAATAGAAGTTTTAAAAGAAGAAATTCAATGTTATCAAGAAAATTTATGTGCAAAAAGAACTGAATTAGAAGAGAAAACAACATTATTAGAAAGTCAACAGGAAAGAATTAATGAATTAAATACGGAGTTAACCAGCTTAAAATTACAGCAGGGAAACGAAAGTAATAACAAAAGTTGAAATAGATAACGTCCAATTAATTCAAACATAAATATTACTTTAATAATGATTTTTTACATATTGTAGACGTCAAAGGAAATTCGCTTTTTGCTGAAGTTGATGATCAAAGGCAGGAAATGAAAAGTAGGCTGTTATCACAAAAGAAAATTTATTTAGAAATGAAAAAGGTGCATAATGAGAGTTTATTTGAAATTCGCCGCTTAAAACGTGAAAACTCAGCTATGCAAGCTGAAGCTCAAGCCTGTGTGTCTATATTTTTAAATTCAAAAAAATTTTATGAAGGTAATTTACAATGTATTAACATTGTAAACATAGTTTCTAAATATTGATTGTTTGACTTTAGATAAATTACTAGAAAGAATATCTTTTCTATCCAAACAAAATGAAGAGTTGGAGAGAAAATTAAGTGTTAGTCAAGATCGGTTGTTATCGCTGGCTGAAAAAAATGAGATAACTTGGTTGGATTCAATGATGACATTTTGCAGGTGTGTTTTAGCTAAAATCTTAGTTATTAAAAAATATTATTCTTATTTTTTTTAAATATATAAAATTCGTAATTTTAGAAGTGAAACAACAGAATTAAAAAAGCAACTGCAGAATATTCGTCTTCAAAAAGGAATCATAGAGAAACATTATCGTGATTCTCAGACTGAGTTGGCAAAGTTAGCGCAATCTTTGTTCATTTTTTGTAAGTTTTTTCGAAATAATTAATTTTTTTATTTTCAGATGGAGATTTGAGGCGCTAAAATTACGCTGTATTTTGATAGACCGTGAATCATTGTTGGAGCAAAATTCAATAAAATTTGAAGATTCACGTGAAATGAATGTTAAAGTAAAAGAGGATATCGCTAAAAGCGTTCCTCAAATTTTGTGGAACAAGAATGATTTCCAAAGTCCAACAAATACTATTGATTTGAAAACATCATCAAATAAAGAATGCAATAGTTCAAATAATACCACATGTTCAATAAATTCAAATAATTCAATAAATACCCAAAAGCAAATTTTGTTGCAATCAACATTTAATAATGATTCCAAAGATCTTAATGACAAAGACACGAGTAATAAAATTAGAGTTACTGAGGAAGAATTTTCTAAGGAAAATTCAAAACTAGAGTTATCAAAAATATTCGAAACAAAAGACAACTCGCTAATATATACTAATACTTCCCGCACTGAACAGGGTAAAGTTTTAAATTTCAAAGATATTAATAATACCGGACCCACTGGCACTAAACTTGATTATGTTCGAAATAGTTCAGAAAAAAAGGCGGATGAAGATAATGAAAAAAATTTAATTTTTGAAAATAAATTTGATAAAAAGTCGGTTAAATTTCCGAAAGATATTGAAAATAAAGTGGAGGATGAGAACAAAAGAACAATGAAAGTTATTTCCAAACGTACCAAATCCAATATAACAATAAAAAAAATAATAATTAAATCAAAAGATGATAAGTTATAGCTTAATTTAAAATTGATTGTAAGATGAAACTCTAATTGAGATTTGTAATAAGATCTTCTATAAAGAATTTCCAATTTTAATTTTTATGTAAACCTATTGCTTATTGGATATTAAATATAAATAGAACAACAAAATTAATATTTCGTTAATTAATATTCTTTAAACCAAGACCAAATTCATAAATAGTACATATTACATATGAAAACTTTATACTTTGCATACTACGTAAGTAAATTTTATATTTGAATTATAAATTTTATATTGAAAAATAATTTTGCCTACATTTTTGTTAAAATTAAAACAAAATTTGAGTGTTTTTTTATCCTACTAGCTTTATTTAAATAGTTGAAAAAAAAATTGTGAATTTATCTTTATAACCAAATATTTAGAAAAATTAAATAAAACAAAAGTATATGTAAATAATTATATGCATTTCCTTTGATGTAATTATAAGTTATAATAATAAACGTAAAGCAAGTTAGGCTTATTGAAAATTAATAATTAAAAATTACAATTTTATTTTCTACTGTATTACTGACATTTGTATGTTTTCCCATCATTGTTTTTGATTTAGTTTATTTTTCTTTTTTAAAGTAAATTAAATGAAAATATGTATAAATACTAAAAAATTTTAAAGTAAATTCTCAAAATTAGAAAAAAAAACATGTAAATCTTTAATATGCTTATGTCTTTATAAGATAAAGTTATTATATATTATCCAACTATACATAATTAAAGTTATTATCCAAATATGTAACTTTAATCAAAAGCAAGTCTGTAACAAATCACTTTTAACATGCCTTTAATACATTTTATGCTTATATACATACATACACTATAGCGTATCTACCACTTCAAGACGAAAATTAATTTTCTAATTTGAAAATGTCTTACATATTTATTCTGTTAACATTTTTCCTTTTTAATAAAAAGAAAGATGTTAATAGAATTGAAAAAAATTTATGGATCTGTTTCATTTCAAAAAACATTATAAATGTAAATTGTTGCATTTGAAAATTCAGCGTATGAAGTTCATAAAGTTTTTTATACACTTGAATTCTTTCAGTCCTCTTCTGTTATAATTTTCTTCGAACTACAAATTTGGAATTTACTGCATAGTAGGTTTTGGTTTGTAGAAAAAGTGTGTGCTAAAAAAAAAAAAATGACGAAGCCCAAAGAAGACACCAAAGAGTACAAATTTTTAAAATTCCATACCTTTATATTTTTATTTTCAATTAATATTGAAAGAATCTTAAACTGCTTTTAAAAGCAATTTCGCATTTGTACTAATATTTTGATTACTTTTTTAAATTACATTTTAAAAAAGTTTTTCTAATGTATGTAAATAAATTTTTCGTAACTAATTGTCACAGGAAAAAACTTTAGTTTTGTGTTCATATTCCGAACATCCGAACGTTTATCAGATTGTTCTAAATATTTGCGAAAATTCTTTTTCGGATTCTGCACGGATTTAGAAATAAAGATTCTAAAATTTTGATACAGCAATATATCATCTACTTTTAAAATGATACAAAAACCATATATACACACATATGGTTTGTATATATGTAAAAGTTCATAAAACTATTTAAAAAACCATTAATGGTTTGGTTTATGAATTACTATTATTAAAAAATAAAAAATAAACTTCCAGAGAAATAAGTAATTTTGAAAAAAAAAAAAAATATCCATAAATTCTAAAATTTTTACATTGTTTATGAATTAAATTTAATAAGTTATGAATAATATTATGTTTGTTTTTATTTTGTATTTTAAATTAAATTTACTTTTCATTTTGGTGCAAAGAAAAAAAAAAAGAAACACCTTTATTAAAAATTAAATAACATAGGTATCATGTATTTTTTTCTATTTGCAATTATAACTATCGTTTTAAATTACGGTTCAGTACTTTCCCTTACTTATTGCTATTTACATAGAAATTATAATAGATTTACAATGTTATATTTATATTTGTATATGTGGACTATTGACGTATAAAATATATTTTTATGTCACTTTGTCAGAATTATATCAAAATAATCAAAATAAAAAAAGAAGTATGAATGATTTCATAAAATTTTATCTGTGTGTTATATAAATTTATTCTATAAAATTAATATGTAAATAAATATTTCATTTATTTCACAATTTTATACATTCTTCTTTTAATATCTTTGAATTTTTAATTTGTAACAGATCCACTGCCAAGTGATTTCATTAATTGATAACAGTCTTTCAATCTACGTTTATCTCCAATTTTTTCTAATGTTTTAGCTGCTTCTGATAGCATACCCGCTCTTTCACCAGGGGATGATAATAATGCTGATGGTAAATACTTGCAAGCAACATACATTGCTGCAGCTCGCTCTCGTTCTCCACCTTCAAATTGTGAATTTTTGTCTTTACCACCACAAATAATTGATGATCGTGATTGACGGTATCTCAAACTCCGATCAAGGAGTTCTTGTGTCGGACCAGGGGCTGCTCCCGCCATTAAACGACACACTGCTTCATAGAGATAAACACGAGACTGTCCATTCTGAAATTTTATTTAAAATATTTATTATTTTTTTCATTAATTCACATACAATTTCTTATATTATATTTCTTACTACTTTTTCCTACGTTTTTGAATCAAAAAAATTAATTTTTTAATTTTACTTACTGGTATTTCCTCTACAATACAACGCATTAAATTTAAGTCAGTTTGAAATTTTTCCAAGACATCTCCTGGAACTTGATAATATCCATCATCATCTGTAGCAACATTTTCAATTTCCCAAAGAGCTGTTCGAGCTTCAAGAATCCAATCACATGCAAGTAATTGAAATAGCTAAAATGAAATTTAATAAAAATGCTCAAAATATTCCACATGTAGGTTTAAACATTAAAACAACACAAAAAACAAAGAATATTATAACAAAGGGAGGTAATGTACAAAAGTAAAACTTTATATGTTGCTTTTTTCCAAATATTATGGTTGCATTGCAGAAGTACTGTACGATAATATGAACGGACAATGCGACTACAATGCAGCACAAGATTTGAAATTTTATATTTAAATAAATTTTCATTTTCATTGGCTCAAACCTTAAGATACAGTTTTTTTTCATGAATTCCTTACCAATTTTTTTTCTTTAGCAGATTTTATTTTATTGCAAGCCAAACTATCTTGAAGAAATTTGCTAGCTTCATAACAAAGTTTGTATATCTTTGATATGTCTTTTTCTCCTTCAGAACTAAAAAAAAACCAAACATCAAGAAAATTATTAATTTTAATTCAAAATTTATATAACAAAAATTAAGTCACAATATCAACATATTTCAAAATATTACATTGAATTTTAAATTAAAATTAATAACTTACAGTAATAATTTCTTTGCTTGAAATATGCTGTGCAATGCTTTTGGTAATGTTTCACCTTCATAATTCAATTGTTCTGGTAATTTATCAACAACATCGTATAGTTCAGCTGCCTGTTCATCTTCTCCTAACAACCAGTATGCAGCAATAATTAACAAACTAGACCACCATTCAACAATCGAGTCCTTATTTGTTAAATCTCCTTCCCCAGACATAGTATCGTTTAAGATAATTGTATAATTTAAAACATCACTTACTAAAGAACCAGAACGAATATTTGGGGCTGATGGAGTACTTTCAGTTTTTTGCGAATTTTCTTGATGAACAGTAGAACCGCCATTATAATTACTATTATCATGTTGACGAAATTTAACCGCTCCAACTAGACATCTTATAGCCTTGTTCAAAAGATGTTCTCTGTATTGCTATTGTAGAAAAGTTTATAAAATATTTAGAATTATGTAATTAAAATTACCAACTAAAATAAATAATAATGTCATTGAGAAATAACAAACACATTTGAAGTTTCTTCAGACTCAAAATAGGTATAAATCATATTTATGATGTAGGAATATCGGTTGGTGAAGAAAAACAGATTTGAAAATGAAATAAAGAGCAGTAACTTACTTTCATAACATATACCATTGGGTCGGCTTTGTTATTCACATTAGCAAATAATATCTCGTCAGATGTGCGGTTAAAACCATGCGAGATAAAATATCGATATCCATAGGGTTTGAAAGCCCATTGAAACTTATGTATTTGACCACACACTTTAGAGCTCTCCTGTTTTGCTTTGCTGACATAATATCTTCCAAAAAATTGCAAATAAGTTGGATATGTTCTTTTAACTCGTAATGCAGCTGTCATATATATATCAACTAAGTCTGATGGATTCATAACAGCAGTTGAAGCTTCAGCCATGTTGACGGCGAATAATGATAACATTAAGCCATGACTGTCTGACATTTTCGTTGCTAAATGCAGTTGATTTAAACGATGGAATACAAGTGATAATTCACGAGCTGATACTAAAGCATCACTACGTGCTTTTGTGGAACAAAATAATCCTCCTGCTTTTCGTGATAAATAACGTCCAATCCATATACGATGAAAAAAAAGTCGGACAAACTGCCATGTTGTTGCTGTTATTGCTTCTATTCTTGATGCTGGTAATGTTATACCAAAAGTTTGCAAACAGAGTAAATAGTCACTGTAAGCGCCTGAAGAATTTCCCTGTTTTTGAAAAAATTATTTAATATTTAAATATTAGAAAATTGGTGGTTATCATATAAGAATTCATTTTTTACCTTTGAAAATTCCAAATCTGCTCTTTTTTTGCGTTTCCAATAAGCCTCCGAAGCTGGTGAACTTGGATCGAGGACTGGATCGCCATAAACAAGCAATTTTATTAAACAACAAAGCAATACAGTTAAGTTTACTGTCCACAATGCTAGAGATGTACTAAATCCATGCCATGTGAAAAAAGAACCGTAAGAATCTAAAAATGTAAATAAAAGAGCTCATATTCGTCAAAAAATTAAACTAATTTTAAAATTTTATTTGCAACGTGTAATCATAAATAACATACAAAATCAACGATTTTTTTAAAAAGCTTTCATCGAAATCATAAATCTTAAACGAACAGAGAATGTTAGTTGAATTTCTTTGTTTTTGAACTCTAAATGTATGAAGTTTTGACGTCAAGTAAAGCTTAATTTCCTAATTTTTTTATTCCTGAATGCATTATTGTATGTATTATGTCACACATATTATTGTGTGTATGTCATTCTCTTATGTAGGCATAAGAGAATGCCATACTACTCATACGAAAAAATAGAAAGAAATTCAAATTTTGTACATATTTACCGCCGTCATCAAGTGCTTGAAGAATCCTGCCACTACTGAAATCATTACCAACCATATCCTCCAGTTGAGTGTGTTGCGATATTCCGTTGAAAAACATTTTAAATGGATTTATAGTCAAAACGGCAAACATAAACATACATAATGTTAAACGACTATGAGATGCCATACCTCGCACTGATGGTATAAAATCACACTCTTCCTTTAAAGCACCGTTATTAATAGAAGCTTGATATGGTGACGGTGGCAGAGAAACATCGGAATGTGCGGGTGATAAGGAGGGATTAGATTCATCACTTCTGGGTGGGGTCATTATGGACTGCACTGAAGATATAGATTTACCACCATAGAAATTATCTTCTTCAATTATATTTTTGGTGGTAACATTACGGTTAATCTTGGGTACAAGTAAATCTTTAACTTTAGAACCGTCCTTCGCCATTAATTCACGCTGCAAACGTTTAACTTCGGTCTTTAAATCTGTATTTTGCCGTTGAAGTTCGCGAATTTTATCTACAGCTTTTCTTAAAACAGCAGATTTATTTAGCTTCGCACTTTCCCCAACAACAATATTTTTCAATTCAGTAATTTTATCATTTATCGAAGTCCTGTAACGTCTTTCTATAGCATTATGCGCAGAACGTTTAACTTCTTTGATTTTTGGAGGGACACGATTAATTTGAACTTTATTTTCAGATCCAGTTTCTAAAACCACTGGTATTTGAGTTGTCGTTAAAATGGCCCCATTTACCAAGGCGTGAATGTTCTATGAATTTGGAAAAATAATAAAAAAATTGAAAAATTGATATAAAATTAGAATTCATTAGAATTTTAAGTGTGAAAGTAACTAACCTGTGTCGTTGTTGTTGTAACTGGTGTTGCAGTAGTTGCGTACATAAGAGTTGGACTCGATGTTTGCAAGACCAGTTTATCATTCCCCCCAACGCTCTGTAAAGTCAACACTTGAGGTAATTGCTGAATTTGTTTTACGACTGGCGTTGATGTTGCATTAGAATTTTGATTTTGCTGTTGTTGCAATTGATGTTTTTTATTTTGATTTAATGATGATTGTTGAGTAGATTTAACTGATGGAGATGAGGCTTGTAATGTTGCTAATGTTGGTAACACATTAGTAATAGGGGTTTTTGTATTCTGTACCACAAATGTTTGAGTTGCAGTTGGATTTGTAATCGTAAGCGGCTGATTTGTTGTATACACAATTTGAGGCTGGTGTAAGGCTGCTAAGGCTTGCTGATGTTGCTGTGATGATTGTTGTTGTTGCTGTGGTGACTGCTGTTGCTGTTTTTGCATTTGTTGTTGTTGATTAGAAGCTTGTTGAGAGCTCTGATTGTTCAAAATTTTACTTGAGGTATTATTAACAAGCTGATCAATTTGTTGCGGTGATGAAGATAAATTTTTCATAGCTTCAGATGATTTATTACTGAAATGGTTTGATCCGTAATTTGTTATATTTTGTTGCAATGTTGGCGATGCAGATATATTTAATTGAGGACTGTGCAATGGACTATCACATAAACTGCTACTACTAGACGAGCTACAGTCTACTGAATTGAAATTTGTGGCTCCTAACAAGGGGTCAACAGCAACGGCTGGTTTATAAATATGAGAATTTGACATTGATGGTAAAAGTGATGCACTATTTGTAGTCCCTCTTGGTAAATTATTTGAATAAATGTGTTCCTCTTCAATTTCAATAGGCTCATTTTTGATATTATTTGTAATAGAATGATTTAAAATATTAATAGCTTGTTCATTTGAATAAGATGACAGAATTTCATCAGTAAATTCCATTTTGTCAATATCTTCTAAAAAATTACTTAACATTTCTATAAAAACAAAAATTTAAAAAAAAATTGTTAGTTAAAATTAATCTTAAATAAAATCAAAATATATTTAACGTAATATAAAATAAATATATGTAATTAAGTTGATATATCTACACTTTATCAAAATATCTTTAAAAACGAACATACATATTCATAATATGAAATTGTCGGTGAATTTTTAAATATCAAAAATCATATTTAACGGAAGGATTTATGATAAAATTAATGCAATAAATATTTAAACAGTGATTAAGTACACAGATATTATGTATAAGAAATTACAGGCAACTTCAAATCTTTTATTTGCTATCTAGAGAAATTAATTTCAGATTTATTTTTGAATAAGGGTCCCTAAAAAAATCCTAGAACAATAATTAAAAATTATTATATTGCATGATCATTTTAAATGAAAATATCTCTAAGATTTCAATAATTGTTGCTTAGAGAAATTTTTAAAAGTTAATAAGTTAATAAGGCAAAGTCTCAAAAACTTTAATTATATTTAGTCACAGTATTGAAAATTGAACGAAAGAAAAATTTTAGTTTTAATGACAATATTAACTGAAAGACTTTTAAAAAACATTAAAAAAAAAAACTTATTTATTTTTTTGTAAATATTAAGAAAATTAAACATGGTTATGCTACTTAAGATTGAACGAATTTAACGTTGCTACCTTTTTCTATAATTTTTCCATTATGTATATAGGTATATAATTATATGCAGACACACAAAGGAGTAGTTACATGCAATTTGGTAACTAACAGAGAAATCTTGTATTATTATATTTGAATTAAAATAATTCTAGAAATATTATATTAAATAAGATTACACAAGACTTCTCATACCATAACACCATAATAATTGTTTTCATCAAATTTTTAATAAAAATTAAATCTTGTTTTATGTTTATACACATATATATTATTTATTATGTACTTTTTGTTTTACTTCTAAAATGATAAAGGTGACCTTTTTATAATTTATTTATTTGTGTTAACGTGTACAATACATTATGTACCAATTAAAGTTAAAACACAGTATATATTCGTACATATATATTTATAAACTTATATGTATATATAAATATACATATAAGTTACATAAAGCTACCTACCTACAAGAAAATAATGTGAATACGTATATGAAGTTACATAACTAATAGATTTATATTTTATAGATTAAAAACTATAAAAGAAAAACGAAAAAATAATGAAGTTAAAAAACACATTAGCAACTTTATATTCATATTACGTACAAATATATTATATACATCATATGCATCACATACATATATATAAAGTTATGGTCATTAATAGCATAATAAATTTTAATATAAAAATATGCAACTTTATTTTCGTAACTACATCATATATATATTATACTATATATATATATATATATATATATATATATATTTGATGTAGTTATGATATGTTTTAATTTTTAGCTTGTGAATTAAATTTTACTTTTTTCTTGTGTAAAATTTTTCAGTTTATCTGCGTTTTCTCAATTATAAAAAATTAAAAAAATATCTTGGATAGGTAGGAATAGGTTACCTACCTCCGTCTCCTATTCCGTTTATTATGAAATAATATAAAATGTAATAAACAATACATAATCTTTTATAGAATTTTTTTTTGGAACAAATATTGATAAAATATAAATAATTTTGTTTTCTTAGTATTATGCATGATATTTTACCAAATTGCTTATAAATTTATTTTTATGTACAATTTTACATTTAAAAGAAATTTATTACAGTACGCTTAATAGATGTAAATGTAATATATTACATTAAACATTTGAAATGAAAAATATATAAAATTATTTTTAATAAGGCAAATGAAGAGTTTAATTTAGTCGTTCTATAATAATATAACACATATATTGGCTTTATATATGTCATTAATTATTATGTATGTACATGTATGTATACTTTTGATAAGAATGGAAATATGCATTAACAGGTAAAAACGTAAATATGCATGTATACCCATATAATTAAAAAAGTAAGTATAAAAGTTGATAAGAAAATTTAAAGCAAAATTGTTGTCATGCTATATATTTATATCACTTATTTAAAAAAAAAATAAGTAGGTATTAATTTAGAAAACACTTATTTAAATATATCAGTATACGTATGTATCATGGACAAAAATTAATTTGTATGTAATGTGAAAATTAATTTTCATGTAATGTGAAAATCAATTTTGCATAATGTTTAAACAACATGATTCATCGCCCTGTATTAAAATTATTAATTAGAAACCTTAAACACAACCTGTTATATAAAAGTTCCATTATGTACTATATTTGCTGTCACACATCACTGTGATCTAACTTTTATGTCGTACATTTTATGTATGGATGTATGTATGTATGTAAATATTAAAACATGTTTGGGAAAACCATAAAATAACTGACATACAATATAATATAATGAAAGAGTATATATGTAACCCTTGTAAATAAATAAATAATATTTATATGTATATTGTCCAAGACGAAATAGATTTTTATTTTATTTTAATAAAATATTGGTAATTTTATAACACTTTTTTTAATTAATGATTATGAAAAATTTCTTTTATATCACATTTTAATGTTTTTGTAAGTAGGTAGGTTACCCACATGTTTTTTGTTTTACAATCAAAGCAGTTATTGCATCATATTTTGAAAAATTTCATTCGATTATAATTACAACTGCGTTTTTTGTTGACTGAAATGTGTAAATGCGTATTTACATTTTCTATATCAGTCTTTAATTTGAAAGTATTATATTATTTGCTAAACCTTGACCTTAGTTAACCAATATAAGAAAAATCCCCAAACGTTTAAACGCTAAATTTTACATACATAGATTATTCGTTGATTTTCTAAAATTCATATATGATTTTAAATGAAAACTTGTATTCCTTATATAAAATATATATATATGTTTATATTTGCATACCCGGCGAAATATCTTTTATGAATGATATAGCATCTTCTTCCTTGAAAATCATATCCATCATTGGATCAATTGTTCCCGTACCTGTGCTATTTGGGAGGTATTCTCCCAAATCCATGGACTGTTCCATTATTATTTTTTAAATTTTAATACAACTTTATTATAAATTAGCTGTTACACTTAAAAAAAATAAAATCGTTTCTTTACTTTAACACAAAATACTTTTTTAAAAAATTCATTGTTTAAAAATGGTTGACAGTTTTCTTGTTCATGTAAATACTAACAAGTAATAGCGAATGAATTGATTTGAAAGAAAACTGACCAATCATCGTCGAGATTTAATATCATACGATATGACGTCACAAATTCTTTTCAACACGTAACATTTTATTTTACTGTAACATTTTAATTCTATAAAGCTAAAATAACATTTGGATTTTCCACAATACCATTTAAAATCTATTTAAATTTCATAAATAATTATTTTATCAAAAATTTACAGGATATTTTAGTAAAAATTTAATATATTTTTCGCTTTAAAAATCACGTCAATTTGAGGTTGCCACTTTTGACAATTATATGCGCACCTTCTATATGACAGTTAATTGACAATTAAACTGCATGACATATAGAAAAGTGTTCACTATAGTTACACTTAATCAAACTACGAAAAACATGTTTAACTTATCAATTTTTGCAAAACAAACATGTTTGAATTATTTATAACTTTAGTTTAATGAAAGTTTTACATATTATGGGAATTCCTATTTCCTGCATTTAGACTTATTTATTTGAAAATTTTATCAAGTTGTATTTCATATTTTACACATCAAGCTGAACAGCAAGCATGCTGAAATGTGCATGAAAGAGAATGTTTGCTTGCATTGTGGTATCTTTGGATAATATTTTATCTTTTCAAACATGTAGAAAAAAAAGAAGCATGGCATAGAGAAAATGAAATAACACAATGAATTTATAATTTCAACAGAAAATTTGGTCTTCTGACATAGCAATAATATAAAGGGCCTGTACGATCTGGATATTACTTTTTATTTTAGAATTTCAAAAAAGAACTTTACAATTAACATGCTAGAATGCCAAACATTTTTATTAACAAACACCTTCATTAAAACGTTTTTTTTTTTATATAGTACTTAATTGATTATACTTGATACTTTTCTAATTTAATTTTTGTTTCACATATTATATTAAAAAAAAGTTCACAAATATTCAAAAAAATAAAATTTTGAAAAATACAAAACCAAATTGATGAGTATGTCAACCACATATTCCATACGCAATGTATAAAGCAACCAAAATAAAAGAATGTATGAAACTTACGTCATACTAAGAATTTGGAAAATATACACATGGGTAAATAATAGACTGAAAAAGTAAAAAGTACTATGTAATAGATATTTTGATTAATTAATTTGAATTCAATTTACTCAATAAAGTATTTCTTTTAACAAAAAATAATGTCGAACATATGGGAGGACTCTAGATTTTCTAATTTATTACGCGACTCGCGTTTTAAAAATTTACCAACATATAAGAAGCAAATTAAAATAGATAAACGTTTTAAATCTATGTTTGATGAAGCAAAATTCAATTCAAAGCAGGGTGTAGATAAATACGGAAGACCCCTTTTAAATTCTAATGAAGATGAATTGAAAAAGTATTATGATATAGATTCTGATGGAAATTCTGAAGAAGAGATTGAAAAAGAAGCTATATTGGAAGAAAAAGCTTTAAAAAGTGAAAATGACAATTATATGGGAGATGAACTATCAAACGATGGTATTATTTTATCAACAGAGATTAAAAAAAAACTTTTGAATGATGTTGATTTTGCCCGGGGAGAAGGGAAAATAATATCAGATAGCTCATCAGATGATGAAACATCGGAAGAAGAAAATGATGAAGTTGAACATGAATTTTGGGGAGAGCTCGACAACAATTTTGAAGAAACACAAGAATCCACTAAACGTTTAGCTTTTTGTAACATGGATTGGGATCAAATTAAAGCTGTTGACATAATGATATTATGCCATTCTTTTCTGCCAGTTGGCGGAGCTGTGTTATCTGTTAAAGTATATGTATCTGAGTTTGGAAAGAATTGTCTCAAAGAGGAAGAAACAAAAGGTCCTTTAGATTTAGTGGGAATAAACCAAAATAAACAAGCAAAACTCGAACTTTCCGAAAATGATGATAGTGAGGATGAGGGGGACTCGTATCATATGGAAAAGTTGCGACAATATCAAATAAATAAACTTAAATATTACTATGCAATTGCTGAATGTGATTCTAAAGAAACAGCTGAAAAATTATATGTGGAATGTGACGGTTTAGAATATGAAAGCACATCTACCAAACTTGACTTGCGTTTTATCCCTGATGACATGTCCTTTAATGATGAGGATATAAGAGATCACTGTACCGATTTACCTATGAATATTTCGAATTATAAACCTCATTTGCAGCCTGTCACGGCCCTACAGCAAGCTAAAGTTAAGGTAACATGGGATGACACAACTTTAGAAAGAAAAGAAGTTTTTGAGAAGTTGTCCAGCGGCAAATATGAGGAAATTACTGCTGAGGAATTAAAAAAATATGTTAACTGTTCTGAAGACGAAAATTCTGATGTAGCTGATGATGATTGTATTACAAATACAGAAGGGTCAAATACTAAAGCTGAGTTTGAATCAAACATGGATGCCATATCAAAATATAAACTGTTATTAGAAGACATTAAAAATAAAGAAAAACAAAACAGTAGGAAGAAATTTGAAATGGAATATTCTTGGGGTATTAATCAATCGACGAATGAGAGAACAAACAGAGATAACACTTCTAAGAGAAACTCCGATGATGGTGGTTATAGCTCAGATGACATTCCATCTGATATCGATTTAAATGATCCATACTTTGCCGAAGAGCTCGGCACTAATTCAAGAAAAGGGAAAAAGAAAAAGCAAAAACTGAAAAAAGATTTTGAAGAATTTGAAGATTCACAAACTAATGAGTTAAAATTACTTCTAGGCGACTTTAACGATGACTCAGGGAAAAAAGATAGGAAATCAAAAAGAAAAACAAAGAGGAAAAATGAAGGAGAGGATACAGAAAAGGGGGAAAAAATGTGTGAGCCAGGGCTTACTTCAGATAATTTCCAAGTTAATGTAAAAGACAAGAGGTTTGAAAGCATATATACATCGACATCCTATAGTATAGATCCTAACAACCCACGCTTTAAAAAAACTTTAGGAATGGATAGTATAATTCAAGAAAAAATAAGAAGACGAGATAATACAGATAAACAAAAAAGTTAATTTTTCTTTAATTTTTAAACAAGAGAGTATGTAGCATGTTTTTTACTTTGAAAAGGAATTTTTAATAATTAGATAAAGCTATGTAATAAATCAGACGTTGTTTTATTTTAATTAAAATTCCAAACTTACACAAAATTGGTTCAAAACTAAAATCTTATAAGTGAGCTTTAATTCCCAAATTTTGTCTTAAAGCTTTTGAATTTACAAAAACGTTAGTTTCATGAACGACTTAAAACTATGGGACTTTCGATAATTTAGGTATGCACTTAAAGTTCTAACTACAGAAATTAACTAGTTGCATTTTTCAGATTTTTAATATCTTAAATTTTCACATATTATTTTTTTTCCAACTTAAAATTTTTAATAAGTGATTTAGAACTTAAAAATGTTTTCGGTTTTCAAACGTGCTTGATTTGAAGTAAAGATTTATCGAACATGCTTTAGATTAAGATCTAAGTTAGAACTGAATTTTTGAAAATCCCTAAAGCAATTAGCAGATGAGTGGCGGTAATTCAGTGTTTTTTTAAATGCATACATATGTACATTTATATGTTCATATGCATACTCATACGTTCATTCATTTCAAAACGAAAAGGTTAATTTGGGTTGGTAGGTATTTAAAAAATTTTTAATGCTAAATATTTGTACAAACAGCGTTGCAATACCGCTCAATATTATTGGGATTCGAATCATTTATGGAAGATCGGTTAAAATAAGTATGTACACTTTAAAATATTTGAAATATCTATATCAGTTTATATTTATTGATTACTACAACATGATAAAAAGAAATAAAGTTAAAAAAAATGTGGAAGGATACAAAGTTAATTTTTTGAAAAAGGCTTAAAAAAAATTTCGTCCATTACGAAACGAGCACGGAACCAGTGCTGATGTTAAGTGATAATGTTAAGATTCGATTTGATGAACTAGTGCTGACAGCAGCTTAATTGGTAAAACAACAAGAAAAATTTTCAGTTTAAGAAATTCGTTTTTTTAAAAGAAAAACTCGTATTAAGCGGGGTATTACTGTATTTATATGTATGTATGTACATTTTGAATTACGTGAATATTACAAAGAAATGCAATAATAATATTAGTATTCTATAATTATTAGTATTAGTATATATAAAGGTACAAATTACTCATATTTGAATGAATTTTTATTGCAGATTACCCATAAAATAACTAAGCTAATATTGTTTTTTTACAAACTTTCGTTGAAACATTTACTTCACTAGCCATTTTATATTGTCTGTTTGATTAAAATAATTCGACTACATATATTACAAATACATACAATTAAAAAATTTCGAATAACAGATTATATTTTTTTAAATGCAAGGAAATTGAAGTTATTAAATATTTAATGGAATAACGTTAAAAGTTTTTTTTACTAATCATTCAAATACAATTGTAGTGATTATCGATTTTTCATTATTTTTAGGACATTCATATAGTTTCATAACTTTTAAAAATTCTATAAACATTATATAAAAACGAATGGAAGTAATATGCACTTACATATCGACTTTTCTTGTTTTCAGAACTTTATTTGTTAATAAATTTTTTCATTTGTTTATTTTGATGTGCCATAGACATATCAGCTTTTTCAGCTTTATTAATTAGCTCGTCTAATTTATCTAAATGTGAAGACATCTTTTTATCGATTTCCATAGATCTTGTTTTACATTCTTGATTCATTATATTGGAGGACGTTGCACACTGGGTTGATTGCAAATTCAATGAGCCTGTATTGTCAGCTACATCATTTCCGTTAATATTATTATCTTTCTTAGGTAGATCATTTGGTTCATCTGCCTCAATTTTTTGTTTGCTAAACATCCTAGTTAGAGTTTTTACTGGTGAACCCGTAAAAGTATTAATTTTTTGTTGGGTTCTGGATAGTAAGGTATTTAGCTCATCAAGCTTTCCTTTTGTTTTTTCACAGCTCTCACTTTCAACAGATAGGGCTTCAGCAAGTTCTACATCCCGCAGTTCCTGCTCACGCAATTTTTGTTGTTCTAAATCAAAAGCTTCCTTATCTGGTTTTTCCAAACCAAGTAATTCAGCTCTCATGCACTGATATTCGTAAGAATTTTGCTCTTCCATTTTTATTTTTTGCAGCTAAAAATTTTAGAATCCTAATTATACAGATACCTTATAGATATCCCGAAAAAGCAGTGAGAACACACATGTAGATACAAAACTTGGATCATGCGCCACACGAAGCTAGAGTTGGGGAATACTTAATTTTTAATTTGTTTTAAAAACAAAATTACATACATATCTGATTTAAATCGTTGAAGAATAAAGAACACATACTTGCGTATATTCAAGACTTAGCATTACATGTATGTACATTTAATTTTGAAGAGAGTGGAATATCAATTAGAATATCAAAACAGTGGAATAACATTAAAAAAGCAAACATGAAAGAAAAATACGATTTGTTTTGTAGTCGTACAACAATTTAATAATTAAAAAATATGTGCTTGTTTTGACTACTCAGTATTTGGAAAATGAAATAATGATTGACGTTTTCTGCTTTCTACTCAAATTCGAGTCAAATCAAATTTCTATATGTACGTCATGCTGAGTATATTTTTATATTTTATATTTACATTTTAATTACATATATACATATGTATATAATTTGAGTTGCAGCTTCTATTTTTCCCTTGTAAGAACTAAAAAATTTTTCTAGTATGTACCATAAAATATTTTTTTTATATTGTCATCTAAATATGCGGCAGGCATAAAAAACTTTATTTTTAAATATAGCTATAAACTACAAATAAGAAAAATTTACAAACACATGCATATAGGAAAAAAGAAAATTTTTTCCGTAATCAACTAATGTTTAACAAACGTTAAATAAAAGCAGAAAGAAAGCAAACCGGAAAATATAAAACTTTGGGTATGTTTTGCTTAAACTGCACCGTTTTGAAAAGATTTGGATATCACCGTATTTAAATATAATTATAAAAAATGCCAATAGATGAGTTGCTCAAATAGCTTTGTGACAATAAAAGTCATTTTGACATCGGTTATTTTGCTAAACTTTGCAGAAGAGTGAGTAAGATAGCTTCACAGTTCACTAAAGAGTAAAAAGTCCAACAATAATTATTTAGGTAATATTTTGGCAATTGTGAAAATTATGATGGTCGGCCATGTTTTTCATCGAGATGAAAGAATTAAATTTTGCAATCAAAAGTGATTAAACACCTCCTAACAAATTATTTTTAGTCTTTAAATTATTATGTATTTTGTGTTAATTTAAGTTAGTATTTTTAAATGTTATAAATCTAAATTAAAATGTATCCTCGTGTGTTCAATTAATTGCTTTGTATATTGAAAGAAGGCAAAAATACCGACAAGTTTGAGATTAACTATTATTGTAAGAATACTGCTACCAACTTTTCCTTAAAAAAAAAGAAATTTTAAGTCTCTTATTTTATAAATACAATTTTTTGTAAAAAGTTGAAAATTATATTTGCATCAAGAGTTAAATTTATTGAATGTAGTAAATACTACAAGTATATAAATACAAAGTTAGGTTTACATAAACCTGTTTTATGGAATCGCAAAGATACAATTTGACTAAATTTAAACTCATTTTAATTTTATTTGAAGATTATATTAAAAAAGATATTGCAAAATTGTGTGTACTTGCTGAGATATTGGTCTATCCCATAAATTAACAAAATGTCAAGCGAAACAGAAACGATTATATTTTGCCGTGCAACCCGTACTTTCAAGGGTGTACTTAGTTTTCAATTATCTTATAATCAAAACGATTTTCTTGCACTTCGTTGTCAAAAAGGTTTAACATTCCAACAAATTCGGCAAAATTATAAGATGATAGATGCTATTAATGAAAGAACTAAGAAAAGTGGTCTGGTGGCTATAGACGCAATTGAACCATTAGATGCTGCTCCGACTTCCCAAATTATAAGTGGATATGTTCAACCAAAAAGAAAGATTTCAACTACACAAAGTATTTCAACAGAAGGTATGACCGACGATACTTATGTTACTTTTTTTGGTTGTGATAATACAGCAGTAGAAGCAACATGTGATCTTAAAAGTGAATGTAATTGGCATAATTTGGTAAATGTGTACTTTTTAATGCCAATTATTTGTGCACATTGTAAGGATTATATATGGGGTCAAGGACGTCAGGGCGTTAGCTGTAGTGATTGCTTAACATGTTTTCATATACCGTGTAAACAATTTAGCCAACAATACAACTGCGAACAGCACACAAAAATATATCCAGTTACGCCTCAAACTAATTATAATGATACGCCGATTATCAAATGGACAAATTCTAATATCCTTGAATGGTTGGCTGCTGTCAATTTATACTCTTTTATTGAAATTTTTAAAGTCAACAACATAAAAGGATGCGATATTCAAAATATTGACGACGATAAATTGCGATATATGGGAATTAAAGATTCCTTTCATAGATTAGCTATATTAGTATGTTTAGATGAATTAAAAAGTGGTTGTCTAACGTCTGAACAGCCAGTTAGGCCAGATTTAAGTCACGAATTGGTACCTATTTCGGGCACTTCAGCATCAGAACAGCATGAGTGTGATCTTCCTTTATTAACAAAAGTTACAAAACATTATAATCAAGAAGAAAATAGTTTTAGTGGAAAAAATAGTAGCATATGTAAGTCCCAATTGATAATAATTTTATTTTGTCTACCTCAATATGAAATTTTTAATTTAATTTTAGATCAACACATGATGATAGAATGTAGCTTTAATTCAGTCAAACGATGTGATAAATGCCATCGTCATTTACGTGGCATTCTAAATCAAGGGTTAATGTGTGTGATCTGTAATTTTATTGTACATCGAACTTGTTTAGCTAACGGTTTACAAAATTTTCAATGTAAAGGTATTCAGAAAGAATTGCCAGCGCGTAGTGATGACAATACTAGTGTAATTGAGAATATAGCTACCGCAAGTGGAAATGAAAATAACACTCTAAGCGCTTCTAACACAAATCAAATTGAAACATCACCATGTTCATTAGTTGCAGCAACAGGAGCTACACCCCACCAACATAAACAGCTAAATGCGAGATTATTAAAATTAGTACCAAATTTAAGTCAACAATTCAATGTAAAAGAAATGCCGGCACCAGTATCGTTAATTATTTGCATTAGAGCTTTGGAAGCACTTTGTAAAAAAGACGACTACTGTCAAATAGATTTATATAAGTTATATAAATCTAATGCCCTTTTAGAAGATCTAGAAAATGATAAGGAATTTTTCGATTTAACTGCTACTGGTAGCATCAATTTAATGAATATAGATCCGCAGTATATAGTAGGTTATATGAAAAAATATCTAAGAGAATTGAAGGACCCCTTGATACCGTTGCAGTGGTACGACAATTTTATAGCTGCTTCAAAATTAACCCCAGATGATCAGGCTATATTATGCCTTCGTAGCTATATACGTGATTTACCAGAAAATCATAAGTCCACTTTACAATATTTTTTCGACCATTTACGACGTATGGCTTGGTTGCAATATAATCGCGGAAGGCGGGAACCACCGACGATTTTAATTCAATCATTATGTCATATTATAATAAGACCCCCGTGGAATAAAATTATTCAAATAATTAATAATACAGAAAGTCATACTCGAATAATCGAGTTATTATTTTATCACGGGGAGTTTCATGAGCCTGTTCCTGAATTTGATGTTGCTCCGGCATTGCCACCCAGGAAAAATTCACGAATCGGTATAGAATATGCTAATATCACTATATTAATTATAAATATGTTATACATACATTCAGTCCGATCACGGATTTCGTTCGTAGCTCTGAAATTCGAAAAATTACGAATATCATATTATTACAGAATTACTGAAATTCTACGTCGAATATTTGTAAGGAAGTAATCATAAATTACGTTCGTAGTAAAAATAACCCTCAAAATTTTCAAGTGCTAAATTTTCAAGTTTTGAATTTCATTGTTTGAGTTTGAGTTATTCTAACACAGTTACCATGAAGGGAAATTCATACTAACTAAAAATTTTTTTTCCCATTTTTCAAAAATATTTAAAAACTAAGAAAACTGCAAAACTTTCATACAAAAGTATATTTTGAAAGATATTCTATTTTTGTGAAATTTGTTTACTGAAAATAGCCACGAAAAAATATAAACATTTGATAGTTTAAATAAAATACTGATTATGACACTCCGAAAAATGGTATTGCCATTTGTGATTCATAATCTATACAAAGGAAATTTGTGATCATTCTAAAGTCTACTTCTTAGCTAAGTTCGTAATTGCTAGAATTCTACGAATGGGATTCACGATAGGGTTGATTACTTATAAGCCATCTACATTATTCTTTTTTTTTCATTAATTTATTTGTTATAATTAATATTAGTTTACGATATTCGATTATATAAATTCATTTTCAGGAAATCCCAGTCACTTTGTTCCATTACCTGCAAAAGCCCCAAGTGTTCCCACAGTTATTAGCCGAGATTCTATGACTTCTTTACCAATGCAAATTCATTCGACAAATCCAGGATGTGAGCAATTAAAAGATGCTGAATGGTATTGGGGAGATATCACGAGAGATGAAGTTAAAGAAAAATTAGCAGGGTGTCCAGATGGCAGTTTTTTAGTAAGAGATGCATCATCTAAATGTGGTGAATATACTTTAACATTAATTAAGGATGGAACGGAAAAATTGATTAAAATTTGTCAAGAAAATGGGAAATATGGCTTTGTTAAACCATATAAATTTAATTCTGTCATGGAATTGATTCAACACTATAAAGAGCACTCTTTATGTCAATACAATGTTTTATTAGATATTAAGCTAACTAATCCTGTTTGTCGAAGTATTGAAGATGATGATAGTGGCATAGGAAGTTCAATTGGTGGTTATTCACCTAGTACTGTTGATTTAAATAAGATGATTAAACAATTCATACATTACTACAAAACGCTGGCCCAAAAAAAGCAACACTTGCAAGCTAAAAAGGAGCAGTATGAGGCAGCTGAAAATGAATTAAATGTTAAAAAGCCTGCGCATGAAGCTTTTTGCAAAGCTATTAAGATGTTTGAAGATCAAATTAAACTGCAGGAAAAATATCGCATAGAAGCTCAGCCCAACGAAATTAAACAAATAGATAAAAATGCGGAATTGCTAAAATCACGACTGAAAGCTTTACGTGAAAGTAGTGAACAATTAGATTTGTATCTAAAAGAAAAGAAAGATTATTATCATTCGATTGAACGTGATATTAATGCAGCTAAGCCGGAGGTAAATAATTTGCAAAAGCAAAAAGATAAATTGCAAGATCGTTTGATACAATACGGTTTAAAAGAAGAAGAATTAAAACAAATTATAGAACATGGTTTTGATGATTGGAAAAAAAAACATAAATCAGAAATGGAACAACCACATCACGATCAAAGCACTTGGTACAGTGCCGATTGTACCAGGTCACATGCCGAGCAGTTATTAGCAAACATGCCAACAGGCACATTTTTAATTAGACCGCGAATGAACGGACATTTCGCGTTATCTATTGTTTGCAAAAATACCATAAATCATTGTATAATACATGAAACAGAACGTGGTTATGCTTTCACAGAACTTTATAATATATATGATTCTTTAAAAAGTTTGGTTTTACATTACGCTAACAATTCATTAGAAGAACACAATGATAAATTAACAACAACCTTAAAACATCCAATATTTTATATTAAAAATGAACAAGAAAAAATGCGTCAACAGCAACAATCTCAACAAAACAGCAATCTTAGCAGTTCGATAAGTTCCTCAACTGCAGATTTAATGGAATTTCAATAAGCATATTATGTAATAAATATAGACGGAAACGAAAAATAAAACACATTAAAACCTTTTAATATAAAAATGGTATAAATATCAATCAATTTTTATGTATAATTTGCTGAGAAATTTTTTACATTTTATCTCGTCAAATTTTATATTATAACAATTACTAAATAGGTGTTAAAAGTAGATTTTACCCATAAAAAAATAGAACTTGTATTCGAAAACAAAAAAATGTCAATATTAACATAGTTATATACATCGTAATGAATCCAGTTCTTAAAAATTTGTTGAAGCTGTGAAGTTTAACATTTTGATTATTTTACTTACTTTACTTATTGTTAAATAAACAATCTCTTTTATATTAATAAATTTTATTTGTGATTATACAAAATATAATAATGTAAAAGATTAAAGAATATGCAAATTATTTGACATTGGAGCAGTATAAAAAAAGAAATGTCGATATGTAAAAATTTTGTAAATGTTATTTTTATAATAATTAAAAACTATGTGATGTATATATAAAAATATATGTATATATATGATATGAAAGAATTATATATATATATATATATATATATTAGTAAATGTTTTCTTTTATTAACTATACCTTAAGGTCTTAAGTTTTGCGTAATTTTAAGGGCTTTATTTCATCCTGTTAATTTTCCTAGTCATGAAGAGAAAGGGTTTATATTAGTGTTTCCAAACGCTGTTATGTCAAAAATGCACATAATTTTTTTAAAAACTATAACCCAAAACATCTCAACATTGGCTAGGTGGAATTTTGCAAATGTGTAATGAATATATGTATGTGAAAAAATTAAACTTCATATGAATTTGAAGTACGATTTCTGCGTTTCAAAGTATGTAAAGCTTTAATCAGTTTATCAAAATTTTTTTTAATGGCTTGTTTTGTCACAAATCGGACCACTTATTTTTGTATGCAACTTAATTTTTTAATAGAAATTGAATTTCAAAACTTTGGCTAACTTGTCATAAGAAGCATCTTCTATCAAAAATATGTAGCTCTAAAATGCATTCCATAAAAATATTTGAGAAAAGGTAATATGTCTATGTACATAGTATATAAGTTTTTGAATTTTCAAACTAAAAAAGGACAATTATTTTATTGAGCTGAATCGCCAAGTTTTTTACATATATTTTGTTAGTCGCATCATTTGATGTGATGGGTTGTTCTTGAAAAAGCTACTAATTTTCTGGTTGAAAGAAATTCCGAAATTTGAAATTCTATACAGAAAAACGAAATTCTTTTCAATAATATCCCATCACCTCAAGTGATGCGACTAACAGAATATAGGAGTTTATTTAAGGCAAACGAAAAGCGAATTAAAAAAAATATTTGGAAATCTAGTTTCGACTTGAAATAAGCGTGTCCAAGATATATTCGAAATTTTTTTTCTCTTAACATTTCTATTATTTTACCTAAAATTTTGTGCTAAGATTTGGTAAATAATTTTAAATTTACGTAATGTGCAGTCAAGTAACATTTTCATGAATTAGAAAAAAACCGGATTTTCATAGAAAAAATTAATAGAAAAGGGTTCCAATATCTTATACATACTTGATAAATTTCTTTAATAAGTACTAAAGGGTATGGTAAACTTTTCTATCACAATAAATGCAGTAACTCTTTTTTTCATTACTGAATCTCGTGCAAATATAAAATTCAAAATTATACAAAATTTTCTTAAAACTACAATTGCATTAAATGAAAGTTAAATTCAATTTTTCGAATTAGAAATATTTAAAACTTGTAATTACCTACGAGGGTCACTATTTATATTTCGGGTCTAGCAATAAAAAACAAACATTTATCATTGGAAATGGTTTTATTGTTTTTCAAAATATTCCCCATGAATATCAATACACTTTTGCATGCGCTGAAACCAATTTTCGTAGCACTTTTTCCACTCCGATTGAGACACCTCCAAAACATGGTTTTTGAACGCATCGACTGCTTCTTCAGGTGTTGAAAATCGTTGTCCACGCATTTTTTTTTTTATGTGAGGGAATAAGAAGAAGTCATTGGGTGTTAAATCAGGACTGTACGGCGGATGACCCATCAATTCGACATTTTGAGTGCTCAAATAGTCCATTGTTTCAGCTGATTTGTGAGAGCTTGCATTGTCATGATGAAGAATGATTCGCTGGCGCTTGTTTGTTTTCCTTATTTCTTCTTGGCCGACCTTCAAACTCTTGGTACCAGCGATTTACAGTGGTTTTTGATGGTGCTTCATCACCAAAAGTCGAAACAAGTTGATCGAGACACTCTTGTCTCGATAATCCGCGCCGGAAATTGTAAAAAATCATCGCACGAAAATTTTCACGGGACAATTCCATTTTTTGACCGAGATGAATTTTTCAAGTCACTGTAAACAAAACAATTCGCGCTCGAATGACAAAACGCTCTGAGTGAAGTTGTCCTAAAAAATGTCAAACTTTAAAATGGAAGTGCCAGATTGCACCTGGCAGCACTAGTATTGCCAGGACCCGAAATATAAATAATGACCCTCGTATTACTGCGTATTACAAAATTCAATTAGTAAAATAAATACAAAAAGTACATGCTATTACAAATTTTTAAAAATTTTTAATAATCTTTATATGCATAATAAATAAACAAATCTTGTTATGCATGAACATTTATTGTAAAAATTTAAATTGCAAGGAAGCACAATATTTCACTTTTGTAATTCATCTTCTTCGGATGATTCTTCTTCACTTGTTTGATTTAACCATTCAACTAATTTTTGCAAAGAATTTCTTAACCATCCGCATTCTTCATCTAAATCGTTGTGCCACTCCAAAATGGCATCTTCACTAAAATATTCCTTGTCATACAAGTAGTGAATTATGTTGGCTGCTTTTAATTTCAAAGATGTTTGTTGATTAAAACATTCCTGGCAAAACGGTTTTTGTTTGATTTAACTTTTTATTAAAATAATCAAAATTACCTCTAAAGCTCGCAAACCATCAATCATTGACTCATTTGTTTTTATATAATTGCTTACAACTGCACCTAAACGACTAAAAACCAGATTAACCGAAGAAAGAACTGTGGTCGCATCAGCTTCTTTTATTGGTGTTAAACTAAAAATAGCTTTAACAACATTGTAGTTTACTTCTTTTAAAGTCATATTATAAGCATATCTAGATGAATTAATTTCTAATATTAGAAAATCTGGGTTCGATTGCTCAGTGTATCCTCGAGCTAATGAATCAATTACTTCTGATAAAAATACTAAAAATACAAGAAAAAAATTAGTTTGTACTTGTGTATACTGTGATTATTGTTTTCTACTATTAGTATCATCAAGAACAGGTGACACAGCTCCAGATTCGTCTTCACCATCTGATGATGAGTTGTAGTCACTATCTTCAAACAACATGGGTATTTTTACCATTTTCGGTATACAACCTTTTGTTGGTTTCAACTCTTCGTCTTCAGAATCAGAGTGCTGTATCGCTTCAAACTCATTTATAACGTAAGCTTTTTCTCCAATTTTCTCAATATCTTCATCTGAAAAGATTTTATTACATGTAATTCACAATAAATATAATTTATTTTCTTCTTTTTTACCATCTAGAATTTCAGATTGTATCAAACACTTGGATTTTTCAGTTTTTTCTGGCAAAAAGACATTTTTTCCAATTATAACTCCGTCTGACAAAACACTTTTGCAGCCGATCTTAGTATTTTGTCCGACAAAACAATATTGTAATTTACAATCGTCTTCTATTGTAATTTCGTCCTCTAAAAAAACGTTGTGTAGAATGCAATTTTTACCGATTTTACAGTTCTTCCCAACAACACTTGATGACAAGGTCGTTTTATCATCAACATTGGTTCCACTTTCTATAACAACATTTTCTTTCAGTTGATATTTTGAAACATTAGCATTAGCACTTTTGTAAATATTATTTCGAAGAAAGGAATAATTTTGTTTTAAGCTACATATTCCCATATCTGGGACTAAAGGATATACCCAACGACTGATAATGTCATTACTAACTATTTGATACGACAACCAATTACCAACTTTACGAGCATAAGCATTTTTTTCTAATACACTAACATATATTCTGCTGTCTAAAATTTCCTCATTTATCAGTAATCCTTTTATAAAATCGTCACGTGTTTCAAAATCGAAATTATCACTAAAAAGAGACAACAATGAAGGAGAACAAATAGCTATTTGCGGATCCAATAAATTGTGATAAAGTGCTACACGCGAATTGTTAACAAATACTTCAAGCGGTATTTCAAATTTTTTTTCTTTTGAATGAATCTTTAGTCGCTGATGAAAATGCAACCTGTTGTTTTCAACATCCATAGCTATCATTACCTCATCTCCCGTCCGAAACTTTGTATTACCTTCCTTAAAAATAACTGTCAATGCAGCTCCCTTATCAAACTTTGCAGTTTTTCTAAAAATTACATTAATTTCATTTCCATTTTTTTCTTTTAATGTTTACACTTGTTACTTATGTTGCTCTAGTAAAGCTTTTAAATTTGCATTAGTTATTGAATTAGCACCGAGCAAGACAAAATGTCCTCGAATAAATCCTTTGGAATCTAAATCTCGAATGGCGTCACCCAAACATCTGCAACCTTCCGTACCTATCACTTGCACATTCATATTAATTGACCAAGTGCAACATTCTTCTATTCGCTTTCTAAAAAATTTAAATTTTTTTTAGTGACTATTATAATAAAATTAAAATAACCATACTTTATATACTCTCTGATGTCATTAATAAAAAAACTACTTATTATGAAGACCTCCTCAATTTCACTCCTGTTAAGAGATTCCAAAGCATAATCCAAAATTGGAACATTTACTAAAGGGATAAGAGCCTAACTTTTGTTTAGAATACATTATCTATTGAATTTTTAATATACTTACAGTAGATTTTTGCTTAGAAAATGGATTAAAATTTTCAATATTATTATCAGCAATTAAAACCGCTTGAATAATGTCTTTATTTTGAAATTTATCCATTGTTTAATATCTTTTTAACACCTTAATATCTTAGAACACGTAAATAAGATATAATTTTCATTTGCCGAATTGGCATGCTTTAACTTTTTTAAAGCTGTCAATCTGTGCGTGCCAATCATACGTAGCATTATTTTTATTTTGTAGTATTTAACGTGCAATGCTGTTATTAGAATCTTCAAAAAAATATGAAAACTTGATTAATCAATTCAAATTTAGTTTTAAGAATAGACGTGTAAAGTATATCTATGATTTCATGGTATAAACAGTATTATCGAGCGTTTACATAAAACAAAACAAAATTTTTATATTCCACGAAAAATTTTCCTTGCCGCTAATTTTAAAATTTCCAGCCTTATCGTATATCCCTCCTTTTATTCTCACTTTTAATTCAGTTTTAAATCACAATTCTCGGCTCTTCTAATGAATATTTCATTATTCCAATAAGATTACTTATTTTTTCAAATTGGATTTTTTCAATTTTTCTCAAATTATCGAGTGAATGCCTCACTTTCCAAAACAAAGTGAATAAATTTTGTATACATTATAGAAAAAAAAACGATTTACGGAATACCAAATAATTCTCACTCGAAAATTACATTATCATTTATCAAACATGTAGTTATTAATTTCCCTCTCACTCGCCGAGTAAAGTACCGAGGTAGACGATCAGGCCCTTCAAGTCAAGTAGTGTTAAATGAGCTCAAAATACATTTGAAGTCGGCTGCAAGCTAAATATAAGAGCAATAACTTGTAACAAAATTTTATTGGCAGCACAATAAACTGATAAATTGAAATATGTACTTCAAACATATGTAAATGTTGAAACATAGTATTTTGACAACTTCAATTTAATATTTATTACATAATGTAAACACAATACACTGTAAACTTTTTATGATGCTGTCTTTAAGTAAAAATAATGAGAATTTGAATTATTTAGGGGAACAACCTAAAATTTGAACTATTTAGGGGCGTGTAGTGCCCATACATTTTAAATCAAGCACTTAAATGACCTACGCTGCTACGCAACGTATTGGAACTTTTAATTTTGATAACGCGTAGGTATATTTTTTTCTGTTTTTTTGATTTTTTTTTTCTAAAGTCAAATTTATCTCCTTATTATATACATATGTAAAGCGCCAACTTAAAATTAAATAAGCATGAAATTTATAATTTAACAAACTATTGCAAATATTCAACAAATATAAACATCATCTGGAAAATAATTTTGAACTTTAGAAACTTAATTAATTATATAAACTTCTTTTAGAAAATAATTTTGATTTTATACCCGCATAAACATACAACAAAATTTGCACAATACATGTCAGACTATACGATGTGTTCAATTCCCTTATTCCTTATGCGTATCTACGTATCCTACTTATTATGCCCTACGTACCCATTAGGTTGATATCATTGTTTTTTTTACAATCTGGAAGTCTTGAATGATGGAATTCAATTTTTTTTGCCAGAAGTATGTCTATGCAGGAGTTTTTAGCCTTTTTCCAATTACTTTTTCTTGAAAATCTCAATAATACACACATACACATGTTAAATGAAAATAAAATAAATGAATGCTGAAAAATATTCCCGTCGCTGCTAAAAATTTCTTCTTGAATTCCCTTCAAAATAATTTGATAATAAAAAATCTATTATTATTTTTATAAAACAATAAAAAAATGCAATGATAATCTACAATGGCAGGTAATTTAGTCGCATTTGCACCATGTCGGTTAAAGTAACCAATGACTCATGATAAACTTCTAAAGAGCATACATATTGGCTTTTTTGACAGAACGCCAGTTTTGAAAGGTAACAAAAACTGTTCCATTTTTCTTTTCTGTTGACAATTGTTTGACGTTTCCAATAATATTTGTCAAAAGTATAGAAGTAGCTTCAAATATTTTTTTTTCCAAAAAGTTTATAAAAATCGTTATTAAGAATTAAGCAAAATAAAATGAAATATCTATGTTAAGTAATAAGAAATTTGGTTAATATAACAGTCAACCATTGATACTACAATATTAAGAGAAATCAATCGAAAATTTTATAGGGAAAAAATGACTAGTTGGAGAAGGTTTAGATATAGAGGTATTGAGAGAAAATGAATATTTTATTTGCAATTATAAATCAAGTAAAAAATAATGCGTAAATGTATTTATTTTATAACGGATTATTTATATTGTTTCTTGTATTTGGCTAAAAATTTTTGATATCTTTGAAATTACTTAAAGCAAAAAGGAATAAAAAAGTTAAGTGAGACACAATAATATTCCGTAAACAAAAATAGAGATTTTTTATTCCGAAAAATTTCTGATGATATGTAAATATTTTTCTGTTATGTGTTTATTTTTGGTTACATTGCTGCTATTTTTAGTTTCAGTTTCCGAGTTTCGAGTTTGAGTTATTTTTATTTCATTTAATTTTTTTAAATACATACATATAGGCATTTAAATTATTATGTACAGAGGCAATAAATATATTTTGCTTTTTAAAGTAATGAAACTATATATGTAGATAAAAAATAATTTGTTAGATAAATATAAGTACATATTGCAAAACCGACTGCAAAAAAATAAGAAAAAAAAATATAAACAAATAGAGCTAATGCTATTGAAGTAGGTTCTCTCTTCGATTATTGCAATATGTAGATCTCTGATATTTATGAATGGAGCGAAATATTAAATATACTAACGTATTATAATTTATATATTAGTATGTTTATCTATAAAAAAAATACAAAAAGTTACTATGTAGATACGTGCTATGTATGTATAAGAAAAAGAAATATTTTAAAAATGTCAATTATAAAAACGAAACAACAAATGATCAGTGAACTTATATTTTACAACAATTAGAATTCGTCATTACTGTTTAAAAAACTTATTATTGTTTTGTATTCTTAATAACATTTACAAGAGTGATTGACTATATATTTTAAATTATATATTTTATATCCATTATATACATAAAAAAAATTCTTAAACCGATTTAACTACAACAAAAAAAAATTTAGTATGTAGGTATCTACCTAGGTTTACTTATACTAATCATAACTAACAAAAAATCAATACTTGTGCCAAACTACGCAAAATAATTTGATTTTTAATTTGAATAGACGATCGATTTGAATATCTTTTTTGATCGATTTGAATATCTTTTTAATATGGCTTTGTTTTTTTTTTAGAATCTACTGCACCTGAAGATTTTTATAAATTAGATCCAAAAAAATCGAATTCGGAAAATGCTTATGATATTTTTGTTGCTTTATCATCGAAAAGCACCACTGATAACAAAAGATTGTACTTGCTGAACGGGTTTGCAACTTTGTTTCAACAATCTGATGATAATGGTAACCTAGGATTTACAACGGAAGAATTACTATACTGGTGCCTATTTATAACGTTAAAATAAATAAATTTCAACTAATTTTCCTTTTGGTTTTTATAGTTTAAGTACTTCATTAGTTCACAATTTATCACAAGTGAGAGCTGCAGCATTAAGGGCTATTAGATATCTATTAAAAACCCCAAAAGATCTTCACATTTTTAATTTGTTACAATTACCGCATCTTGTATGTAAAAGTATTGATCTTCTTTTAAAAGATGACGTGGAAAGAATGCAAGCGCTAAAATTGGTACTTCACATTGAATAATATCCCTTAATTAATAAAAAGTTTATTGTAAAAAATAAAATTCGCTAACCTGATCAATATATAAATTTTAGATTAGAAAAATGTTATCTATATCACCAGAAAGTATAACTCCAACCATCGTTCGTTGTTTAGTATCTATGGGAGATAGCGGAATTGAAGAACGTGATAGAATGTTACGTGCATGCTTAGCAACTTTGTGTGAGTTTGGTGTTCTTAATCCAACATTATTAATAGTTTGTGGCGGAGTTAGATCCATAACACGAAATGTGCTAGAATGCCAGAGCCCTAGAATTGCGGAAAGTTTATGTGGAGTTTTACTTCATTTATTAGAATGGCCGCATACAAGAAATTTAGCAGCCGTTCGACTTGATTGTTTAGCAGCTCCCTATTGTGATTTTACTTATCGCTTAGGAATCATGGATAAAAATAAGTAAAATTTGAAAAAAAATAAAAAAAGTAATTCTTAAATACATATATTGCAGAAACGCGAGAGAGCTAAGATATACTAGTAGCCGATTGGCTCTCTTATCGGTTCTGAGGAGCTGGGCTGGTACCATTGAGTTTTGTGATCCAAATAAACCATCTGGCTTGAAAGCAATAGTCGACGTTTTGTATCTTAATCAATTAGAAGTCAGGGTATAACAACTAATGTTCAGCTATTAAGTTTTATTATTTTTCAATATTTAAAATTTCTTAGAAAGCTATATTAGACCTTTTATACGAGGTTTTGGGATTACCACAACCTGCTTGGACGGATGAATATTCGGTCGCTTTACAAGCTGTTGATCCATCAGATTTTCAAGTAAAATCAATAATAGTTTGAGGTTAAAAACTTATATAAATTAAATAATTTTTAGGATGCTTGGCTGCTATCGAATGGGTTTGTTGCGATGGAGGGTCGTTCAATTCTTCCAAGTCTTGCAAATCGCGTGCCAAATATTTGTGAACAACATTTAGCCTTATTACTATATTGTTTTTTAGAAACTGGTTTAATAAATGCTCTCATTGAAGTAATTGTTTCTAGTGATACCTTTATTTCTGTTCGTGCAACAGTGTTAGTTGGTATGTTGGTGTTCACTTACACAACTTAATTTATTTCATTTAATTTTATATATTTAAAGGAAAATTGTTGCATTTAATGCATAAATATTTACCTGCTGATATATGTGCAACGAATACAACACTGTCATCCCTAATATCTCATGCAACAGCAGGAAATCACCAAGCTAACGCAGCAATTTCAGCTTTACAAAATTATAATCAGATGTTGAAAAATCGACCGGCATCCTGTAGTCTATTTTTAGATAACATTATTCAGGCAGGCAGTAAGTATTTTTTTTGGAAATTTATGTTTTTTTTTTTATTATAATTAAACTCATATTGTTTTTTCATATAAATTTAAATTTTTTAATTTTTTCAAGGTCTTGTTCATTCACGTATTTTTAAACGCGAAATTAATACTCAATATGAATTATCGAATATTTTACCGCCCTTGTTGAATACTATAGAAAGACGTCGATTAGATTCAGTTTCGTCTAGTGCAAGTGGTGGTGATGAAACAATTATATCTTCATCTATGAACACAAGTGGTCATCATAGCACATTAACATCATCTTCGCTACCGTCCAGCAGCTCAGGATCGGGTCTTATGAAACGTTCTAGTTTCCGAGTTAAAAGAAAGAAAATATCGCAATTTTTTGAAGGTTTGAGAGAATTCGATCGCCTTATTAAAGATTCAAATGTATTAGTTCATGCCGATGGAAATCAGTGGGACTGGGAAATCGTCATAGCTATTTTAAGGGTAACGTATTTGCAATCAGTTTTATTTGAAGTTCATTAAGATTATTTTTCTATTTTTAGTCCGATGCTATCGGCAAATTAGATGATACAAAATGTAGATTCTTAAAGCGTCTAGAACACTATTTTAAACCAAGTAGTAATCGTTTTTCACATCAAGATTTATCACATGGCCGAAATATACCCGCTTATGTAACTGCTGGTTTAGACCTTATAGATTGGATGCTTCAAAGCTCTGAAGTATTATTAAAATTTTTTATTATAACAATTTTTATTAATATTCTAATTTATTTAAGTTGGAATGCACGAGGCTTTTAACTGATCTCTTTCATGATATAAGCAATCAATTATTAGCTATAAGTACTTCGAATCGAGCACACGACTGTTTATTTAGTCCTCAACATATGAGCAGTACAATGTGCCAACATTATTTTCTATTTATTGGCCGAATGTGTCGTCATGAAAGAGGTTTAACAATATTATCAAATACTGGTGTTTTCAAACAGTAAATAAAAAGTTAAATAAGTTTATGCGTTATTGAGTTACATTTTCTACTTTCAAGGTTAACGAATCTCGTCACTACAACTTTTCATGTATGTTACATAAAATTAATTGTCACTGGATTAGATTATACATTGGATGCTGAACCCAGGAGAATTTTAGGTATTTGTTTAATATTTAGCATTCATTATATACGTGAATGTGTTGCATATATATATATGTTATTCTATAATATATGTATATTAAATACCAGATAGGATGAGATATGGGGTAAAATTATTTGTTAGACCATAAGTATGTATTGAAAAATGTAATGTAGAATTTTCAAATTAAATCATTGATTTAACTTCTCATATTGGTAAAATTTATTGAAATATTTCTATAAATTTTCACAGAACAAGCTTTAACCATCTCGAAAGCAAGAGATGGTCGATTATACGCTACGCAATTCATGTTAGTGTTACTACGTGCTAAAGTACCTAATTTTGAAATCTGGGGTATTCCTATGATAATTAATCAAATAAAAGATCAGGAAAGACGTGTTGTATTGGCTGCCCTTGAAATTTTAGAAGAAACTTGCCATGATAAGGTAAATATTGAAAAGTTTTATTTCTTGTGAATCTCTTTTACGAAGTACATGCATCTATATTTTTACAGCAAACATGAAGTAGACAATATACAGAAAAAAAAGTATCTTTTATTTCGGGTTATGATAGAATTACCCAAATTAAGAGATAATTTTTTTATTATTATTATGTGCATAACTACTTCCACGTGCTAATTTTTATTATGAGTTTTTTGATACTTTGTGTTTTATATTTTTTGGTATGATTGTTTAATTTTTAAGTTAAAAAGTAAAAAGTAATATACTTATAAAACTATATGTACTTTTAGTTATATTTGGAAGAACTTGTTAGTATTTGGCCTGATCTTACGGAAATGCGGGAAGCAGGTAAAATTTTAATGTCTCGTTATTATTCTATACCTCGAGGCTTGAATCACCCACAAGCTAACGTTAAAGTAGAGATTGAACTGTGGAAGAATGAATACAATAAGAAATATGTATTATTAGTGGAAGCAGAAACTCACGCAAGCTTAACGCTGCATATTAAAAATGAAGATGGTTTTTATAGCAGACGCACATGTCAGACACGCCCTGTCATAATTCCACCAAATATACAACCGCATTTATATGGACAACTTGTACAAACAGAGCAAGGATTTAAAGATTTAAAAAAGTACGGCGACATTCCATATTTTATTGATGTTTTAAATAAGAGTAAGTGTGCCGATGAAAACGAATCGTTAGAATTAAAATCAGCATTGTGGATATTAGGACATTTGTCAACCCATTCGAATGGAGTTGAATATTTAGTTGAATCTGCAAACAGGTAAAAATCAATCGAAGATTGTTTTCGTAAAAGCTTATTTTTTTTATCTTAATATTTTTTATTTATTCTTAATTTATAGGGTTTACCACAAAATCATATTTTTAGCGACATTTTGTGAAGTTTATTCTATTCGCGCAACCGCTTTTCATGTATTAGGTTTAGTTGGTAATACACATGCGGGTGCGAATGTACTTTACAAATTGGGTAAGATTTAGTTCCTAATTCTGATTCTTCTGTTTACATGATTATCAAATAAAATATTGAAAATTCAGTATTTAATTATTAATATTTCAGTAATTTCATAAATTTTTATTTTTTAACCATTAAATTATTAACAAAAAACTCTATTTTTCTGAAAATTTTGTTATCTTTTTCCTCTTATTTTGACGCATAATCAACTATATACATTAATCACTATTTTTTGGAGTAAAATGATTCAAATATTAATAGTTAAAAATTCTAAACAGATTGGCTGTGCGTTCGTCATGATCGGGACACTATGTGGCCGGTTTATCAACCCGAAGATTGGGAAACAAAACAGGTGACCCCGGTTCGTCACCAATTCGAGCCAGTGCCGCCATATAATTATGCTGGAATATCTGAAAATATTAATGGTTTTAATACAAGTAGTGATTCAAATTCTTTTCTAACGGATGATCACCATATAAATTGTGAAAGTAAAAATGGATCACTTGCAATTAAAGATGAAGTTAGTTTGCAACCACGTTCATATTATTAAAATATCAAAATTAAAAAAAAAATTTTCATTTCTTCCATGTTAGAACCCTTGTCAAAACATTGCAGCGACAAATAAATCAAGAACTCTACCTGAAAATAATTCTATGAAATATAAACACACTCGTTCTCTTTCGGAATCGAAGACGACTGATGTCATTAGTTTAATTTCAGCAAGTGGGTATCAATCTCATCATAGAACTCGTTTTAATTCTGGAACTGATTCCAATACATCTGGTGTTAGCAGTAGTGAGTCAATTTTTGGAAAAAATATTATTGGGTAAAAATAAAAAATGAAAAATATTTCAATAAAGTTCTAAAATCATAATTTTAGAGAGTATATTCAAATGCCATTAAGTCCTATACCAAGTACCTCAAACTTACTGGAAATACCATCAACAAAATGTCGCTTTAGGCGGGTCAGTTTAGTTAGCGGATCTTCAGTACAGGAGCCATCTATGAGTCCCCAAGATATGGAAGGTTATCGAATGTTGCGTCAGTTGCGAAGCCATACTAGGCCAGTTTTATCAGAGTCGGCTGCAGATGATTTGGCAGAAATAATAGACCGAGATGAAGTCATGGCATCCCTAAGGCCAAGAAAAACTTCAATTGGCAGTGATTCTCAGCGTAAAATGAAAGTTAGAAGCTTAGATAGGAGAGCAACTACGCAAAACATTATTTCGTATGTTAATTTAATATTTCTATTACAATTGAGATTATCACAGTTTTTTTTAGAAAACTGCATTCTGATGAATTTCAAGTTCCTTTGCCAACTCTTGCTGCACCTAAGTTCCTCTCATTAATTGACTCTAAAGGGCCATGTTATTCTGGTATCAAACATAAATTAAAATTTAAAAAACAATTATTCTAACAATTGAAAAAATATTTTTAGGTATTTGTCTTCCTAAGAATATTATTGATTTGTTTCCATCTAAAAATCAAACACAAAGTTATATAACACGTGATATACAAGATAATGATTTACTTGATATTAACTTATTAACCGTTAAACAACAATTTCTAAACGAATCTGTCAATAACGCTGTGGACGTGGATGGTGACAGCTCTATTGTTTCATCAGTGTCTGATATATCATCAGCAAGCAAGCACCGCGCGACGACAAAGTGGATAAGCAAACATACTCGTTCCAACTGTTTAAGTTGTGCTAGACTAAGATCGAACCGTTTACAACAAAATCAACGTTTGCAGTTTTTAACATCTAATATTATTGATGACAACAGCAATAGTGAATTAAATATATTTAAACGTAAATCAAATCAGAGCTCCTCGATTCAATTATCTGATATTAGCTTTAATTCGCCAGAAAGTATTTTAAGTGAAGAAAACATGCCTGATCGAATAGCTTGTAATATTTTATACCAAGTACAACGAATGTCAAATCCAATAAGTGCGAAATTGGCTAAAAATGCCTTATTGGAACTAAAACAAAAACATCCTAATTCATTCCAAGACATATGTTTGTATTCTGAAGTGTGTAAGGCAATTGGAAGAACATCACATCGTATGGGTGCAAGACGTTTTCTTCAAGAACTATTTTTAGATTTAAATTTTGATAGTTTTTATAATGAACCAATTGAAATAATAGTAAAAAAAGATAAAGATATAATATCTATATCAGAAAATTTGTGCGTAGATGATACCCGAAACAGTGCAACTGCATCAACAGTGTTAGTCGGTGCAACTAATATTCCAATCGAAGTTAATTGTATACAGTTAAAAAATTTAAGGGAAAATAGTAAGTTACATCAATCGAACAATACGCAAAATTCAGTATGCGCAAATGTAAATAATACGACTGTTACAACAAGCTCAAATTTGCTTTTGAACTCCGCAACAAAAAACGTTTCAACTTCCTCAACGTTATCATCAATAGTACCAACATCGGCAACATTATCATCAAGTGCTGCACTATATACAACGTCTCCAGTTTTGCAGTTAAATGCAAGTAATTATACTTCCTTTAAAACTCATATAAAATCTCCTCCATTAGAAAGTGTATATGAATCAAGTATCGAAAATATATCAGAACCATTTAAATCAATAAGTAATAGTAGTCATTTAGCTGACAATTCATCACACCATTACACAAAAGAACAACAACAATCGCAATATAAACAACAGCAACAACATCACCTATTAACAAATAGTAGCTGTATTAACAGTAGTGATAAAACAAATTTTGTTAGGAATTGTAACAAAAACACTTGTAATAATCATAATAAAGAAATAATTTCATTTGATTGTATTGATGCTAAAAATATGCCATCTGCACCTTCATCATCAGCAATACTTGCGGAATCTTGTGTAAATAGTTTAGATTTAAATAAAAAACAACAATATAAAACATCATCAACAAGTTGTTGTAGTAGTGAAGATTCAACAACATCCACATCTATTTCAACAATATATAAAAATGAAAATAAAAATTATGTTCGGGGTCGTTTCTATACGTTAGAACTAGATTTAAGTTGCACAAAAAATAAATTCCCAATAAGAGATCGTAGTAAACTACAATCTTCATCATCGGTATGCTCCTCCTTTTCAACAACGGTTACAGCTGCTACAAATAGATTAAGTTTACCAACAACAACAACATCAATACTACTTGGAACACCCTCGTCTGTAACAACGCCGGGAATAAATATGGAACGCCAAACATCAAAGTATTTGAACCCCCTAAATTGTATAGATTCCTCCAATGTTGTTAAAAGTTCTATTACACCAATATCATCATCATCATCATCATCAACCTCGACAACTACAAATTATTATCCACAGCAATTATATTTTACAAAGAGCTTATCGGCGTCATTAGCTAAACCAATAGGTAGCTTATTCTGTGAAAAACGGTTGCAATCTTCAAAATCAGAGGCTGTTCTGTCTAAGGCTAAACAAATTAATTGAATATACATATATATATATATATATATATATATATATATATATATATATATATATAATATATAATTTCTTTTTTATTTATTTTATGTCTTTCAACAATAAATTGGGATATTTTACATACATACATATTTTACTTTTTTTGTGCAGTATTTCTATTAAATAATTTGTTTTAATTATTGTCTGAAAATTTTTTTGTAATTGATGAAATTTGAAATTGCATAGCGTGTTACATGTCCGTTCCAGATTAAGGTAATTTAGAAATTTTTCTTATACATAGGTTATTTGATTTATTCTGCTGATTTTAAAAGCGTATTTCACAAACTATTTTAATTTCCAATCACAATAACAAACGGTGAATTTTTCTATCAATTTTTATGACTTATGTATGTAAAAGGTGAAAATTAAGGATTTGAAATTGAGGATTGAAATTTTTAGGACCTTGTAGTGAATTTCTTACGCCCTAAAGTAGAAAACTGACATAATATCTCTGTACATTACTTTATAACGTGTTTTAGAAATTAATTGAAAACACATTAATTGATTTTATTTTTTTTTTATTTTTTTCATTAAAATTTACACTGAATTTTCTTTATTGTGTAAAGAATTTATTTTTCTTAAAAGGCTTTATTAACTTTTCATTCAGTTAAATTTCATTAATAATATATTTACATTATTGTGAATATATATAATGTATTTTAATATTCAATATCTTTAAATTTAAATAGTAAAAAGTTGTAATTAAGCTTGAAATAAAATTTGTATATATATACGTACATGTTTTGCGCTATTATATTTAAAACTAGTCCAATTTGTTTCTAATTTTTTCGGGCACTTTCGTGTTACAATTTTTCTCTTTTAATAATATATTTTTTTCCTTACATAAAATTGCTCGTTGTTTTCAATTAGATTTGATTAAATTTGCTACCTTTAAAAACAAAGTGATAAAGGTTGACTAAAGGCTGATATAAAAATTGAAAAATATTTACCTACCAAAATTAAAACTTTATTATACGAATGTATAATAACCGCACATCTAGCAGATTGAAAAAGTGTGGTATAGAATAAGACATTACAAGTAAATTGCGAAAATCGATTTTGTTATTTTTTTTAAATTTATTCAACATAGATTAAAGCATAAATGTTTATTCATGATTAGTTTTTTATACTAGTCACCTTTTAAAGTTTAAATATAATCAAATACAAAGATACATACATATGTACATAAATACATATATTAGAATTTTTTTTTTAGAGAACGTTATTCGACTCCAAGAACTTATTGCAGAGATTTGAGTTAGCACTTTATCAAATTGTTCGAATTTCATCAATGTTTGTAAAATTAAAAATTGAAATTAAAACTTTCATGTTCAATACCCTTAACATTTTTATGTTTTTTAAAAAATTTGTTAAACATAAATTATTTATTTTGATTCAAGAAGAAAAATTATTAATTGCTTTATATTTATTGTAATTGTATTATTAGTAACTATAATTTTGAATTCAAAAGTCAATTTAAAAATAAAAATTTTTTTTCTTATAATAAAAAAAATATATATAATAAAGTATTTTCGATTTTAATTAAATATATTTTCCTATTGAAAAAATAAAGAAAATTTTAACATGCTTAATTTTAGTAAGGTAAAAACTGTTTAATCTTTTTATTATTTAATATTTAGGATTTTAAGTTAATATTCAAAATTACAATAATTACAATATTTACAATATGTATATTAAACTTGCGTAATATTGTATATTTTAAAGAATAAATTAAAAAAGAATTTTAGTTTATTAAAAAAAAATAAGTTGAAGAAAATGAAATAAAATTAAATTATTAATTTTTTTCTTTGTTTTTTCTTATCTAATAATGTTTAACTCCCATCATTTTCAACCATAAAATATAGTTAATCAAACGAATAAACTCTTAAAATGTATTGAATTAGGTAAAAACATTGATATATGCAAGTCCTTAAAGCACTGCATTACATATACAATATTCAAGATTCAAAGAATGAGTTTGTGTAAATTTTAACTATGAAAAAGTTTTAGTTTTTGTCACTTATATTGAAAAGAACTGACGTCAATGCCCTTATGAAATTTGTTGTAATATTAGTTTTTAGATTAATTTAAGCTCTTCTTTTAGCATACATATAAAACGAATTCATAACGTAAGTATTTATGAAAAAATTATAGCTGGTAACAGTATAATGGAGCAAATAAATATTTAATAATCAAAAATTATGAAATACTTAATTTTTTGTATACAGTTGCATTGGCATATAGGGGTTTCTATTGCGTGTTTCTGCTTTATTTATCCTCTAAAGTGGATGTCCGCTGTTATAGCACCGCATATGTTGAATATTTTGATATGTTTTTATTTCGGTATATATAGGTTTTTTTCTTTTGTTCAGAAAAACATTTTACTCGACCCATACCCTGGCAATTTGTAGATGTAACACTAAAATAATGCCACTGCTATTTTTTTGCACGTCTGTTATTTCCTAGGATTATATAAACGGCGAGTACATAAACGTACTTTTTTCTATAAGTATAAAGAGCTGTTGTAAGGAAAAAATATTTCTTTTATTGCAACAAACCAGCTTCTGCCTCAAAGATTAATTGAGTAAATTTCATCTCTACAAAACTTTTCTCTTCAGGTAAAAGAGTACGCATTTTTTTATTCAAAAATCCCAAAAAGAAATCTAAGTCATCCATTTCATCAAAGCTTTTATAAAAAGATAAAGTTTCTTTCTTGTTTTTAGTAAATTTATGTTTTCCTTCCTCCAAATAAATATTTTCTTCAACGATTTCATCGCTTGCTTCATTAAAATATATAGAGTCTTCATTGTCTTCTAAGCCTGACTCTTCAAAATCTGTATCATGAAATCTTTCAACTACAGTCTCTTCTAAAATTTGTTCTGACCCTATTGTTGAATTTTTTTTGCTTTCACATGAAGAAGAATTTGAAGTTTTCGATCTGGCGTAGAGACTTTCTAAGAATTTTAACTGATCAATAAATTTCGTTGTTGAAGTTTTGGGATCCCTCTTATATAGGTCGTACAAGCAACGCAGATTGCGCCAGCATTGCCTACATTCTATTTGCGTAACTACAAAAAAAGATAATATAGTTTAGCTTAAATTTTCAAGTAAATTTTGGAAGGAAATTGTTTTTACCCTCACTTCCTAAAGCTTCTGCAACCTCTTTCCACAATTTTTCTTGAGTTTCGCTATTCCAGAGGTTGTCCCTTGAGAATTTGTATAAAATATTTCCTCTTTGGCGCACTAGCTCTATTAATTTCTTAACATTGTTATCATTTTTGAAGAACTCGACTTTTTCTATGCTATATAAATAATATGAATTTAGGGAATAATTTTTTGATACGTTAAACATACTTTTTTACTGGATCAGGAAAACTGTTTTTAATTAGCGCTCCACTTTGCTCATCCAAATGTTCTGCATGTTTTCTTCTTAAGTGAAGATGCAAATTTGAAATTGAGCCTCCCTTAAAAGACAAAAAAGCTAAACACAAATGACATTTTGCTTTCAAGTTATCTGATGATCTTGTGAAATATCGCCAAACTTTACTTCTTTCTTGATGAAGTTGTGCCATTAGCAGATGCTAATTCAAAAGTAATATATGCATATATATATACAAATTTTTGAATAAAACTCGAAAGAAAATTTCACAAATTCATATATGTAAATATTCAATTTCAACAAACTTCAAAATACATATGTATTTTGTTTTGATAACAAAACATCAATTCAGCTCGGTAATTGATATTGCCGAATGAAATTGATGGTATCGTTTACACATAAAGCAAAATTTGATTGCATGGGAATTTAATGAAAGTTTGATGTGTAAACGTCCAATCAAATCAAGCAAAACCCAGTGAGAAAATTAGAGTCTTGCTCAATTTTTATCAAGCTTTTTTGACTGAAATAAAATGTTAAGCGTTATTCGCTGTTTTTTACGATGAGCTGCTATTGTGGTCAGCAAAGTTTATTTTACTACGGAGCTGATTCTTTATATTAATAGACATACAGTCTGATCGTGTATTCGGACGATAAGGCCCATAATATAATTATGTGTATTAATACAAAATTCAATTTTACCGCTGGCGATTTTTTTAACATTATCTGTTCTTATGTTAGTATGACATTATATGTAAAATACTGAATAGTTGATTTCGCTGTTGTTCTGGTCCCCCGTTGCCGGTTACCGCTATGGTTCAGCTTTAACAATTTAGGTCAGTTTCTTTCATTATTTTAATCATTATCAAATGAAAATAGAAATAAAATTCCAAATTTTGCTTTTTTTCTTAGAAAAGTAAGCGACGCTGATGAAAAAAAATAAACAACATTAAATCTGTCAGGGATAAAACTTGAAAAAACTTTAAAAAGGGAAACAATGACGTAGTTTCTCGCAAAAAGAAAAAAATTCTCACTTAAAAGAAAAATAAACCAGACGGAAAAGATGAAAAAACTTTTAAAAACTTTATAAATAGGTGACAAACATCAAATTTCAAACTTATCAAACATAAACAAATATTTTTCGGCCATGCAAAAAACCGAAAATTGCAATTTTGGATTATTAAATTGTGAAACTTAGAAAATATATTTGGGAATTAATTTTGCTTAATTTATTTACATAATCAAGGAAAATATATGTTTCGACCGCTGTAAGATTTTAAAAGTTTCCAGAACATTAAATTTTACTTTACCAATTTTAAAAAATTTGAAACATTTATCAAAAGAAAAATTTATAATGTTTTTTCAAATTCTAAAAACTTTCTTATCCCAGATAGACCTGTTATCATTAATGTTAAGAAAAATGTGTTAAGAAAGACTATCCAATTTCTTACGTCACTGAGTTTATTAGGTAGGTGACGAGCATACCGTAATATAAAAAAAACTATCTAAAAAAAGAACAATTTTTCGGGAAATAGATAGAGGTGCATAATTCCAAATTGTTATTCATTTGAGAAAAGAAATGGATTTTTTTTACCATATTCATGTGAATATTATTTATTTCAATAATTAAAAGAAATAATTATTCAATAGGATTGAGTAAAATTCATAGTTCGAAATTTATTAAGTTTTTAATTTTGGAAAGAAAACATTTCTTTTTGTTTTGTTTTTACCAGGAGTGGATTTTTTTCTAACCAAAATTAGTTTGTGTTTAATAAATTAAAGCATATATGCGATATTTCTAATTTTCGAATTACTTTGCGGTTTTATACATTTTGACGTTTGTCAATACATCAAAAACAGTGGAAATAAACCATTTCAATAAAAAACATTTGTAATATGTAATTTGAACTCGTTATGCTTGCCTTACGGGAAACTTGGATTGTTTATCAAACGCAATTGTAATTTTTTTTTACATCATGGGCCTCTAAAGTATGTAAAGTATAATGCAAAGTTGTCAACTCGTTTAGAAAATGAGGTTTAAAATTTGCGAATTTCTTTCTAATGAAAGATATCTAAAATTGTCTCGAGCAGCAATATCTCGAAAATTTGTGGCATTTTTATTAAAATAGAGAACTTTTTTTTGACAATTTTTTAATTACTTTATTGAACTTTAATTGAAATCTAGCAAAAAACCAAAAAAAATTTAAAGTATTCAAGGTATTTTCTCAGAATATTTTGATATCAGTACTTTTGACAGCTGACACATATTAAAATTAATATTTGGATAAATATTTAAAGTTTTTAATAATAAATTTTAAAAACTGAAAATTTTATTTTGAAAATATTGCAAAATAACGTGTCAATAAATAACGTGTCTAAAAAGAACTGATTAATTGCAATTTAATTTTAATTTTGTAACATTAGCTAAAAAGTGTTTATAAATTTTTCAGAAGGCAAAGGTGGAGTAAATTCTCAGAATGTTAAAATTACAAACAAAACGCAAAGTCTTCAGTTTAAATCCAAGTTTAATATGCAAAAGTAAAAATCTAGTTTTTTAAATCCATTTTGTGATTCTTTGTTGTTATTTTGCTAAGGAAACCCAAAATTTGTAGGGTAATATTTCCACAGTGCTGATAATTATAGCTTCACGGGAGCCAACCGTTATTGGAAAAAGAAAGATGGAACTAATTCTAGTCAAAAATGTTTTTTTTTAATTTAATTAAATACAATTATATTATAATTAAATACGTAACAAAGTCTATTATTTGTGTTTTTAGAACGAAAAGGTATTGTAAATCAGCATATTTATAAACCAGCACCTTTTGTGTGACAGTTTTGTTGCCAAATTCAAATAAGAAAGGGTTCGTTTAGAAATTTCAGATGATATAACCTTCTGCACTTTCACACAATCTGCAAAAAGATTTTAATTTCACTTTGGAACATTTACAGTTGGTGCCATTTTGAAATTGTACTTCACCCAAGAAAAGGCAAATAATTTTGAAGCGACACGCTAATCGCGGTAAAATTTTTTTGAGTTTTAATTTAGTCTTTTTGAAATTCACAATAATAATTTAAAAAAAAAGTGTTGGAGTATAATTATTATTATTTTATTAAAAAAAAATAAAGTTTAGATAGTCGTAAAGGGTAAAATTAAGTTTACATAAAAGTGCCGGACATTTAAAAGGTAAAAACGAAAATTTATTTTTAATTTCTAATTGTAGAAAAATTTTATAGAAAATGAGTGACGATGAATATTCGACTGTTGCTAGAGGAAAATTAAAATTAAAAACTGATTCTGAAAATTCTATAAAGAAAAAAAAAAAAAGTAAAAAAAATAAAAGTAAAGAACGTGAAAAAATTGAAAAAGCCTTAAAAAAAGATGGCGGCGAGCAAACTTTTGTTAATACTCCTCAATCCGAAAGTAATCCCAGTACTCGCCAGTTAACGAAAGCTGAAGTTTCCTTCAAAAAACAGCAAGAAAAAATGGTACGTCAATAAAAAGTAAAATAGAAATATTCCAAAATTTAGAAAATTTTTAAAAGAAAGCAGCAGTTAGAAAACATATTTTAAAGATGGATTATAAATGTATTTTTCATTCAGAAGTTCAGTAAAATTTTCCCCTTGCATAAGTTATTTTGTTAAAAACTCTATCGTCGAAACTCAATAAATACTTTAAAAATGACTATATGATAATTTTTTATGTTTTAGCAAAAAAAACGTATATTGGAGAAGGCTACGACGACACATAAACAAAGAGTAGAGAAGTTTAATGAACACTTAGACTCTTTGACAGAGCATTTTGATATACCTAAAGTTTCGTGGACAAAGTAAATATTCTGGAAATGTAAGTATTGATCCCAAAAAGATTTCCTTCAAGTATATCGGGAAATTGACAATGATATTTTTATTCGTTTATGTTCAAAGTATGCAAAAAAAAAGATTTAATGTAGGTTGTTAGATTATATGTAGTATTATATTATGATTGTATCATAGTATTATATTATGATTCACACTACTCTATCGGTTAAACAACCAATTTTTGATTTTACTTATTTTCCAAATATGTAATTGAAATTGTTTAAAACAAAACTAAAATTCGTCTTTCGGACCCTTAAGTAATATTAAACTAAATATTTACAATTTGATTTGCAATTTCAAAACAAATTCTTGCTTTTATTACTCGCATTATTATCAATTTTACAATATAAGAAAATTTGAATGTAAATTTGTTTTGCTAATTACATAAGCAGACTGCGAGATCAATGAATAACGATTAATTGCATGATTAGGTCAATAACGATACCCCAGAATTTCATTCACTGATTGGAATCCGAAACAAACTAATTAAAATTGGTAGACACCTTAGTTTTTTTTATAATAAAATATATTAATAAGACATTAACATGGGAAAAACTTAAAACTAAGTCTTAGTTAAAATTGGATGTCTAAATTACAATATATTTACAAATTCTTGTCAAATATATGTATGTAGGTAGTTACACGATTCAATAAAATTTTTAAAATTTATTAAAACTTTTAATAAACTTAATTAATTTTGACTTATTTTTCCGTTAAATTTCTAGTTTTCGCTTCCAATCGCTGTTTTAATTATGGCTATTTTCATTTATATTTAACATAGAAGCAAAATGTGAGTTCATATTATTATATTTAAAATTGAGAAAATGCTTATAATTTTATTGTTTTTTTTTAGATATCAAACAATATTATTTGTAAATCAAAAATTGCGTCAAGTTTTCCTGAAATTTTGGATTTTAAATTAAAACACGGTAAGAGTTTATTAACGTAATTTTAAAGTTTTGTTTTCGGAAATACAAATAAGCAAAAGAAATTGAACAATTGCAAAAATTAGAAATATTGAGGAGTTCTTAAAATATTTTTTATAGTTCTTTTATGTCAATAACGTTAAATATGTATCGCATATAAAACACGGATTAAAATGGCGGGTACAAGCAGTGATCTAGATTCTAGAATAAACGAAACAATGTACTATTTTTAAAGAAAAACTTAAATTCATATGAATTAGCACTTAACAATAAAATATTCATTTTCTACCGCAGAACTTCAGTCAATACGAAGAATTCGTGATATACTTTCATTGTTATTTTTTTTATTTTTTAGGTCTATAAATGCATAATAAGCACATAGAACAGTATGTGCTTATATATTAGAATACTATGTACTCAAATTTTAATAATAAAGAATACTATGTTCTAATTGCATTTTTTTGATGTTTTCTGTTTTGTGTTTAACTTAAAATATATTAGTCTTTAAATTTAACTCTTAAAGTTCGATTGTTGATTTTAAAAATTTGGAATCAAATTTTGGTGTTGGAATATGATTATTACTACTTTTATTTTATTTTATATTGATTTTAAATTTCTGTTGCAAAAAATAATTCTCTGTAAATGTAAATATATTTCTTAATGAACTTAACAGAATGAAGATCATAATTAACAAATATATGGAAATGATAATAAATATCGTCTAGAAGCAAAAATATTAAAAGTTTTTTTTTTTTGATGTTACAGATCCAGTTAAATCAAATTCAACGGTAAGTCAATTTTCGATTATAAGTGCATTTTTGGCAGCTGCGTTAACATCAGTATTTACTGTTGCTGATACAAAAATTGAAAATCAACAAAAATTAAATTTGAAAACAAAATTTATCAACGTTTTAAGTAAGCACTAATTCAAATTTTAAACTGAAACAAAATCTTCATATTTGATTTGTTATAAAGTAGATGTTAACTTAAAATAAACTTAATAATTTTATGTGTATAAATATATATATATATATATATATATAGGTAAATATATATATATATATACATATTAAAGTGTATAAGGATACATATATACATGTATAAGGATATTCGTAGATATAATTCAATTTTTAGATTAACCTTTTAAAAATTAAATAAAATTTTTTCTGATGTTTTAACATTAAAATCAGAAGTACATAGCAATAATAATATTCTAATTTTATTATTTTTGGAAACTAGATTTAAGGAGTATAAACATTTTTATATAATAAATTATATAAGAAAATCGCAATTGAAAAAGTTAGCAGCTCAGAAATATTTTTAAATAAGACATTCAAATTAAATAGTATTCAGAAATTTATCCTAGTACGCTTGCTTTTCATAGCAACTTATTAATATTTTTCCCAAATTTTAATGTTTAAATGTCGATATAATTATATACATACACTTATAAATATTTTTTTTTAATCAATACATATATTTAAAATATTTTCAAAAATATAAAAACATATTAAACAGAGTATAAAATTTCAATTTTATTGTTATTGAAGAAAAAAGAATGTAATGCATTTTTCTATATGAAAAAAATTATATTAAAATAATTATATTTTAGCTTCAATTTTCTTGGATATTCAAAATGTCTGTTCATTATAAATTTAAAAGTTCTAAAGATATCGATACAATAACGTTTGATGGCCTTCATATATCTGTTGGCGATTTAAAAAAAGCAATTATTAATCAAAAAAGAAAGGGTCATGTGTGGAAAGCAACAGATTTTGATTTACAAGTTATTAATGCCCAAACAAAAGAGGAATATAATGAAAATAACATATTGATACCGAAGAACACATCACTTATTATTGCAAGAGTACCTTTAACGAATCAAAATAAGGCACAGTGGAGTTCCGATTCAACACACTCAATTGATAAAAATCATTTAACAAGTACCGGGAATAATAATTTAGAAGGCTTAAGGGGTGAATTAGATTTATCACAAATGAGCGGCACCGAGGAAGACAAAATACAAGCAATGATATCACAGAGTACAATGGATTATGACCCTAATAAATATCAAAAAATACGCGGCCAAGGGCAGATTGGTGAAGTTCCTATCAGTTATCGTTGTTTCAAATGCCACAAATCTGGCCATTGGATAAAAAATTGTCCTCTTAATAGCTCGAACGATTCCCATAGTGATCACAAACGTGTTTCTGGTATACCGAAGTCTTTTTTACAAGAGCGTAGTAACATAAATAATGAAAAAAATGAAACGAAACTTTTGCCGCAAGATATTCAAGAAAAAGAAGATATTCCTGAAGATTTAATTTGTAGTATATGTAAAGATTTGTTCTCAGATGCCGTTATGATACCTTGCTGTGGAAGTTCTTTCTGTGATGAATGTGTACGTACAGCTCTACTGGAATCGGAAGACAACGAGTGTCCCGATTGTAAAGAAAAAGGTTGCTCGCCTGGTTCTCTTATACCTAATAGATTTTTAAGAAATTCTGTAAATAACTTTAAGAATCGTACGGGCTATGTCAAATACCAGCCTAATGTGAAAGACACATGTAAAACAATTAACCCTACAAATAAAGATAATGCAGAAAAATCAATTGAAAAAAGTAATAAATCTGATACAAAATTGATAGCGAATGATCAGTCAGTGTCACCTTCTGATTCAGTTAATGTAAAGAAAGACAATGTGAAAAAAGACAGTGTGAAATCTTTAAAGGTCGTAGAAGAAAATGTTGAAATAGGAAAAAGTGAAATTAAACAAATTTCGCCACATTATACAGAGTCTAAAGAGAAGGATCCTGATTCAGATTATGAAGACAATATTACTGTAACAATATCCCCTCGAAATAGAGATTCATCTATAAAATCAAAATCATCAGATAGACGACATAAAGATGGCATTCACTCATCCAGATCACCATCTAACGAAATAAAGCCCTTGGAATGTTTAGATTCATTTCAACAATCTTTTGATTCCAATGGCCCTATACAACAGATTCAGTCTATTAATAGTTCTGAAACTTCTGTTGATCCATTTACAAAATCAAATGCGATGACTGGTTATTTTAAGCCTATGCCAGAAAACATGGGAAATTTACCACCATCCAGACCTCCGATGCAACCTGGTCCATATGATCTGAATAATTATAACAGAATGCCTCATTTAAGAGGCTACATGTACAACGATAGACGTCCGCAACATCCAGGCTCATATCCTCCAATGCATGCTAGACAAATGAATATGGGTGGTCCAGGTCCTCGTTATATGGGACCATCTTCGAATTTAATGTCAGTATATCAAGGAATAGCCAATAAAGTTGGTACAGGCATCATTGACGATCCTTTGGAAGCTTTTAATCGAATCATGAGAGAAAAAGAAAAACGAAAAGAGAAAGAACGTAGGAGGTCTTTTGAAAGACACAGGTCTATGGAGAGACACAGATCGCGGTCGAATGAAAGAAGATTTCCCATGAACAGAAAAGTTTCACCATTCAATAAAAGGCTTGGGCGTAACAGATCTCCAGAGTATAAAAAAGAACGAGAACGACCAGTATCTCGTGAAAGAGATAGAAAACCGCATCATTATAGAGATGTAGAAAGAGATAGAGAACGTGATAGAGAACGTGAAAGAGATCGTGATAGAGAACGAGATCGTGATCGCGATAGAGATAGAGAAAGGGATAGGGATAGAGATAGAGATAGGCGTCCTGACAACTATAGAGATGTTAAACCAGTCGATGATTATAACAGAGAGCGAGACAAAAGAGGTGTAGAAGAATTTTATGACAGAAGGGATGACTTTAGAGATAGAAAATTGGATGATTACAGAAAGGATCGGGTTGAGGATAAACGACGACGGAGAAGCCGTTCAAATTCCTTTAGTGACCGAAGCATACGAAACACTCCAGAGAAACGTTTTGAACGCAATAGCATCGGACGTTTTGAAGGAAGAATGCGCTTATCACCAGGAAGATTTTCTCCTGCTCCACATTCTAGACATTCACCTATGCACATGCGACACTCTCCTGGAGCCTTAAGACATTCACCCATTCATATACGAAATTCTCCAACAACAAGTTCTCGTATGTCACCTTGCGGGCATAGTAGATTATCACCAGCATCACATTTGCGTCCTTCTCCGTTATCACACGTCAGACATTCCCCTCCTTCTCATGGTCGGCATTCACCATTATCGCATGTACGCCATTCTCCATCACATTATCATACTAAAGATATACTGCAGAGATATGAGGAGGCCCCTCCTGGAACTATTGAACCACCTCCACCAGGTTTTGAATTTCCCTCTAAATCAAATTACAATATTTGGAGCCCAAATGAGTTTAACAATGCACCAAAATCAACAAAAAAAGATTTTTATGGTGAAGATCCATTTGATATGTATTTTCCACCTAAGGAACACTTTGATGATGAGTCAGAAGCTATTTACGGAGATTTAAACATTAAATCAGATCAAGAGAAAAATAGACCTAAAACAAGAAGCCATTCAATTGAATCACTGAATAGGTTTAAAGATATCTCTCGCAGTCATCAAACATATAGGAAAAAAAGTCGTAGTAGAAGTCAATCTTCGAATAAAATTAGTAAAACTATTCGAGAAGAAACGCTTCAGGTATCGCAGAATAATAGTAGTCATAGTAAAAACAAATCCAAACGTAGCTCAGAAAAAGAAAGATCAGACACTAATAGCAAATATTTGAAAAATCAACAACAAAATGATGAGAACAAGAGAGAGAATGACGATCGATATAACCAACAGTCACAACAAAATCTAATGAAGGATGATGAGAAAAATAGAAAATCGAGTGAAAAATTAAGTAAAATGAAGGTATCGAAAAGTGAAAAACATAGTGATAGTGAGAGTGGGAAGAAAAACAAAAAAGTAAAAAAAGAAAGCAGGAAAAAGAAAAAGGAAAAAGAAGATAAGGACAAAAAACATAGAAAAAAAAATAAAGACAAAAAAGATAAACTTAAATCACAGAAGTATTTAAGTAAAGATTCAAATAAAACAAATACTCCACCTAAAACTACTAGCGAAGATGAAAATGACAAAAAAATAGTTGCAGTTCAAAAAGATCCAGCAGAAATCAATGAAGAAGTAGATAAAACTTCTCTTAAACCAAAGGATAAATCAGACGATGATGATAAAAAGTCAAGAACAAGTAGCAATGATGGTACTGATGAGACTGACGAACATTTTGATGAAAACAGCGGCCGGGAGAATGATTTTGATTTAAATACGTCAGCTGAGAGTGGTGAAATTATTGATGATAATTTCGAAACATCTTTTCAGGCAAATAATATTACACCATTACCTGAACCATCAAAGTGGGAACTTGATGATGAACTTGTGATTTACCAAGGAGATCGTGAGCGTGAGGATAAAATTGATGTACAAAACCGTTTAGATAATAATATTAAAAATTTACCTGGCAAAGTAACAAGCGAAGTTATAAAAAGAGCAGAAAATGCAATTTTTACAAGAACAACCACCCAAATAAGACCAATAGAAATAAAAAAAATTGGTTCAACAAATGATTTTGATTCTTCTTTTGATAAAAAAGAAAATTCAATTAAATCTTTTACAATAAAACATAAATCGATAAAAGATCGTTTAGGACCCCTGATTAATCCAAATAATTTATTATCATCGTCCATGCCGACTGTTATAGCTTCTTCATTTGATAGAAGTAGTAATAACAAAAAATACGATTTAGACAATGATAAAAAGAACCGTAATAAAGACCAAAATAACGATGATAATATTAAAAATATTAGAGATAATAAAAATGTTGAGCATAGGCGATTGAGCAGAAGTAGAAGCAGAGACCGATGTAGAGATAGAGAAAGAGATCGGGACAAAGAAAAAGATAGAGAAAGTAAACATCGCGAAAGCAGAATAAAAAGCAAATCAAGAAGTAAAGAAAAGCAAGAAATAACCTCCAGTAGAAGAAATAGTTTTGATAGAAGAGATCTAAAAGATGTAAAATCATCAACCGGAGGAATTAGTAATATTTCAAATAGTAGTTATAATAAAGATAAAAAACGTGGGAGATCTCCATCCCCTGATGAGATAAAAAACAAAAAATCCAAACAGGAACATTATAATAGAAGTAGAAGTCAAAGAAAACGATCATTATCCTCATCAAACAAGGCAATAGCTAAAAAAAGAGATTCATCAACAGCACACAGCACAACTGATTCAGAGGAAGACCGTAATCAAAGTAAAAAAATCAAACATAAATATAATGAGAAAGATAGAAGAGATACAGTTTCAAGAAGGTCATCATCCGTTGATTCAAGAAAAAGTTCAAAATCTAAGAAAAAGAAAAAGAAATCAAGTAAAAAAAAGAAAAAGAGTAAAGATTAAAAGCCTTATTTTTTATTTCAAAAATATTTTTCAAATAAAGTAAAGTATATTCTTTAATTATAAAAAAACAAACAACAAAAAAATATTTTTTTTCTTTTTTATGTTATTAATTTCTTTTTCTAAATTAAATTTTTTCGTATTAAATGAAAAAATAAGAGCATATTTTGAGACTTTGAATTTATTTTATTTTTTGAGCGACTCTTACATGATTTTGGCCAAAAATGATTTTACAAACGAGAATAATTGCAAATAAAGAAGGAAAGTTGTTTCGTTTAAGGATAAAACGCTTAACGATTGAACGGTTTGTTTTCAAAGAAATACTTTTAGATCCAAATATTTTTTATCAAAATATAAAAATAAAATTATATTATTTTGAGTTGTAAAGTTGAGTTGAATTAATACGGGCGGTACATACATACTTCTTCAAAATTATTTGAAATCTTATTAACCAATTGAACTAAGTATTCGTAAGCCTTCACAAAATATTGTAACAGACAAAAAATTAAACTCTAGAGGTTTATTAAGGAAAAAATAATTATAAGAAATGTAATTTAATTTTACAAGAATGAAATTTAGAATGAGTATTTATTTGTTTCATATTCACCACAATAAGAAAACACGGATACAATACTGCTTACTTTTCTAAAATCAAAACTAAAGATAGATTTTTTATTTTCGTTTTGTTTTTATGAAAAATTTTAATAATATTTTTATTCAAGTGATTGGGGGATAGTGGCGGTTATATTTTTATTAAATTTCTATTCAATTTAACTTATACATATTTGATTTGATTCCAAAATATCAAAATTATTTATTGATTTTACAAATTATCAATAAAAAACTAACTTCGTTTTAAAAATTTCTAGTCCAGCTTCATTTGGTCTTACTTTCATTTCAATAACTTTATTTCAGTTAAGTAAAAAAATTCAGTAACCAGATAGTAGGGCAGTGCTTGAAGGTATCAACGAGGTATTTTTGCTTAGTTTTTAAAGCATATTTTACATCTTAAATTTTTTGGTTTTATTCAAATGGATTTAAGAGGTATAAAACTGTGTGACTTGGAATAATGTAGTGTGCCAAATTTAAAAATTATTGAACGTGACTAATTAATGTGTTATATGTATTCAAGTATATGTATTCGCTTTACAGTGCATTGTTATATTATATCTTCCTATATGGGTAAAGTTTTTGTATGAAGACAATGTTTTCAACTCAATAGGTTTCTAGATACAGGTACTTAAAGCCAATTTCGATTGTCGCCTTTACCTCTTGAAATATTAACTATCTCCGTTTTTATAGACGTTTCACAATATTTTTACGAAATAGTAAAATTTATATGTTGCTTATGAAGTCAATACATTTTTGGAGTAATTGAGCATTTAAAGTTTCTTTTAAAATTGAGTAAGGAAATATACTCAATTTAATAAACTCCACCGGTCGGTTTCTAAAATATTAATATATATTTAATTTTATTTTTTACTTTTGCAATATTAAAATTTCTTTACAACTTTAAAATTTATTCTTAAAACTTTTTTTTTACATTTATAAACGTTATTACAAAACCGCTTTTTACTTCTATTTTTTTAGTTAACTATATAACAGTTAACTAAAGAAATTGAGCTTATATACACTTTCAATATAAATTTTTATCAATCATATATCATCAGTTAAACAAAGCACATATTTGTATTTTATATAAATTTTTGATGAAAAAAATTAAGATGCAGCTAACATTTTAAATTTACGAAATTGAATTTCATTATTATTAAAAATTTTGGTTTTGGAACTATTTCTTATTTGGAAGTATTTCTAAATTTTAGTTTCAGATATTAACTGTTTCTGTCTGTCTTTATAAATACATATTTGATTTTTCGTCTTACTAGATGCTTCAAGAGAATACTCCCTAGCCAAGTTCATGGCATTCTCTTGTCTTCTGTATTTTCCTTAGTGATATAGTTATATTGGCTCCTCGTACTTGGAACTACATTCACAAATTGTCTTGCCTAATTTTGTATTTTTCAAAAACTTTGAGTTGAAACAACTTCCACTGAATTTTTTAAGATGTCCTTTTTTTTAAAAAAGAAAGCTCTGTTTTATTTTTTCTATTTTTTGAGGCTTCAAATTTGTTACCTTAGTATGGTCCTTAGAAAAAATAAATAGATAAGATTTAATTTTTTAAGAACCATACTAAAAACTACATAGGGTTATTTTCTTATTTAATGTAACCCTAATCTTGTTCTTATAGCTAAAGTTCTTATAAACACAACAATTGCTCAATAACCTTTATTGTTTCTGAAAAAATAATAACACGAACTCGGTATTTGTGTAATTAATTATATTCAATTTGTTGCAAATATTTCATATTTTAATATATTAGTACATTTATACATCAAAATATTTACATATATTTTTCCAATTTTTTAAAATAAAATGTAATATAAATTAATGTGAAAATTTAAAAAAAGATAACATTTTTGGGAAAATTTATACACCAAAAAGAAAAATTTGCCTATTCGTTAGAAATATAAAGCCCGCTTAACTCTAGTGTCTGGAATGTATCTGGAACAATTGCAGGTCGTTGGCTAGGTAACGCCAACTTGAGCATTGTATATAGAAATTTTGAAGCTACAGATGTGTACATCATAATAGCAGTGGTGTTACAAAAAAATAAATTTTTAAAATTTTATTAAATTTATAATAAAAATACTAATAACACATATTTCGTCATTTTTAAACTAAAATCATAATTCATAGTTATTACCTCTCTTAAAAAGAAAAAAAAAAACAAAAATAAGTGTTTTTGAACACAGAAAGTTGTGCATTAAAATAGCAGTCTTAACGATTAGAATTCTTCCGTTTTGAAGAAAAAGTAAAATAAATTGAAATCATAGGACTCCATTTATTGTTCCGTTAATATTTCGTTGTCTGATCAGAATTTTTTATGACTGCTTGACATCTCCGATTCGTGGGTCCTACTAAACTTTGACATCATCTTGAAGGAATTGTTTGCCAAGATATTTGTACAACTTATTAAAGCTCTTGCAAATTTTTCGGTTTTTTGTCCCCCACTGACTTTTTAATATCAATCCAGAGATGTTCAATAGGATTCAAGCCAGGAGGTTGTGCAGGCCAGGTCATCAAAGAAAGGTACCTCCTCTTTTAACACCGTTGCGTTTTTCAATTTTGTTTTTCCATTTTAACGCATTGCTTATAATTTTTGCAGAACACCCTAACACCCCTTCAACAAACTGGTAAGATTTCTCTCTAATATCAATTTTCCAATTAATTTCCTTTCAGATACTCAGGAACCAATTTAACCTTCTTTTTAATTCTCTTCTTCAATTTAAATTAAAGAACCAATTTCCAAATTAAATATTATTTGTCAACGCACAGTTTAGTTACTTTCAAAATTGAACAATTAATGTTAGTACTTTTTTTTAGGCTTCTTACCACAAATATTTCAATAAATATTTCAATAAAAACTGCTATTTCAATGCACAGGGCAATATATACTCTTTCGATTTAGTTGCCGGAAGAGTATAAATTTCACAAACTGCGATAATGCATTTCTATTAATGCATTTCTATTATGCATTATCACAGTTTGTGAAAACCTATATTAATATTTTACGAGTAAGAATTATACAGTTATTACAAACATTTTATATTCATTGTTAATGTTATCAACATCTGATCTGCTAGCCTTAACTGAAAAATAATTTAATTTAAATCCTTTCAAGACATCAATATAACATTTATGACAATAACAAGTTAAATTAACGAAAGATAGTTGAACATAAATATCATAGATGTTAACGTTAGTAACTGGGTTGGGACCAACCAAGATAAGGGATTCGGACTATTGTAAAATGAAACTTTAGCATCTTCAAAATGTTGTTTTCGGATTACACTCTCTTTTAATTTTGTGTTATGGTTTATCGAGATATTTTATAGAATGAATTAACACATTTGAAACAATCATGTAATCCCTTGAATGAGTTTGATAGACAATTCATTTTCATAAAATTAAATTCACTATAACGACTTATATTTCCGTTTAAGGTCTAAATGAGCTTTTCAGATGTCGCTTCTTCAAAAGACATTAATTTCAATCTCAACAATAATTCTCGCCAAAAATTTTCTTCGATAACATAACTTCAAAATTATTAATTCTAAAAATAAACTTATTATCAAAATAAGTCAAATATTTGGTTGTCCGTACATATACAAACATTTTGAACTCTTTCGGAGAATATTGCTCCATCTCCTAAACTAAAACCCTATAATGCTCATTCATTATCTTTTTCAATTATTTTCTTTTTTCCTAATTATAATCTATCCGAAATAAATAATGCATCTTCATGCATGCCTTTTCTAATTACTTTTCCAAAATGGGTCAGGCTTTCAAAGTACATCATTCTTTCAATGTTTTAAGTTTTAAGTTAAAATTTGTGAGATTCACTTCTTCTAATTACTTTTTCAAGGTGGATCCCATAAATTTTTCAGCATTGAAGAACATCATTCTTTCCAAATTTTAAAAACTTTAAATTTCAAAATTTGGTAAATTGTTTTTAAAAATATCTCACAATATCTCAGTAATATCATAGAAATGCAGGATTACAAAATTAAATTGCATATGAAACTGAGAATTCGCCATGATATCTTGGCGAATGTGACAGTTTCATATTATGTATGGCAAATTTGCTGTTTTTCATTACGAATTCGCAAAAATCTGGCGATTGAAAAATATGATGTGATAAGTACGTCCCATTGTGCAAAAAAATTGGTGTATGAATCTATACGTCATACATAATACAAAATGCTGGCGTAAAGTAATTAAATAAAAGCTTAAAATAATACACTATTCTTAAAAAGCCAATAAATATCAGTAAATTTAAGCATTTTCTGCACAAACATCGTTTTGCTTTTAACGGTTACCATGATTTCTTGTACGTCATCTTGCTACTGCCTCAGGCAATTTAATTGTCGATGGATTTTCTAGTTGTAATAGTGTCCACTTTATGTTATTTTCTTATATATTGAACGTACAGCTCTATTTAAATTATTTGCTGAAATGGCGAAGTGACTATTTCTAATTGCAATACAAATAAAACTCATACAGAAAAAATATATATGTATCATTTAAAAAATTCAATCAATATTGCTGTAATATTGCAATGTGTTTTATTTCATCAACAACAAATATTTTGACGAATTCTACTTATTCGAAGTAAGACTTTCAGAATTATTTATTTGTTAATTCAGAAATAAGTTTAATCAATTATGTATTGTCATTTGTTTCATGAAATTTCATTAGTGAATTTTTTCTTTTTAATTAATTATCGCCGAATACAAGGTTCTGTTGTTTAATCGGGTAGGTAACTATTTCTTTTAGTAAAAATATGTCATTTCTTGCATACACACTTCATAAGGTAACATGCACTATGACAGAACTTTTTTTTTATTTTTGTTTTCTTTAATTCCTTAAATTGTGTAATGCATTTTATATAATTTTTAAAAGAAAACACTTATTTTTCCTATTTGTTTTGTTATTTTTTAATTACTTTGATAACGTTTGCTGGTCAACCGGTAAGTGTCACACACTAACGTTGACTGATTGTTTATCTTTTTTAAAAACCATGCGATCTTTTCTTTAATATCAATTTTCATATAAAGAAAAAGATGGCTTCAAGCGTCTCAAATTTCAAGTGGTAGATTGTAGATTTGTTTAACGGGGGTAACAGTGCACCGCGACCACGTATAAGGATCTATTGTGCGCCCCATCCGAGTGCGGGACATGCCCTACAACACACGCTCGAGACCCACCCTCCTGATGAACTCAAGCAACTTATGAGGACCAGAAGACCGCAACTCCGCCACCGTTAGAGCAAAGCCTCCCAGCACCTCTCCCCTCCTACGAACAAGAGCATCACACTCCCCCAGGAGGTGTACCACTAATCATTGAAAATAAATAGAACTTCACATAGTCCATTTCCGTATCTTCTTCCCAACCATTTGAGTAGTATCTTCTAGCTATCATACTAAGCATTTTACGTGAATGTACAATGTTTATAAAGTATGTAAGAACTTCAGCATTGCTCGGGAGAGTATTTAATCGTCTAACGATTCTATCAGCGATATAGCCCATACTCCCCACAGAATCTCCACATCTATAGCCTGCGAGGATGCGGAGGGCATGCCATTCCTCCCTTTCTCGTTATTGCAAGGGGTATCACGGAGGTTAGTCTTCGTTTCCCTTGCAACTTCCCTTTTTTGTTTTGTGCGGTTGCTCCCGGACCATGACGGTGTTTTCCGTCGTATCGATTTTTCTGTTTTTGTTTTTTTGTGTCCTATTCATGTTTTGGTCCCACGAGTAGCTAGGGAAAGGGTATTCCGCTACGCCAGAGCCCCGCATGACGTAGTAAAGTCAAAAATACTCTCTGAGGTGACTCGGTATCAGAG